TGGTAATATAGTCTATTCAAATTTTATTAAATGTACCAAAAACTAAACCTTACACCCATCATTATAATTCATTCATCGTAATCCCCAACCCTATTTTATCTTCTTATTGTTTTACTTTGTCTTCTACTTCTTTCATACCTTTTTTCTTCATTTTCTAACATTTTTGTCTATTCTTATCCAATTTTCTAATGTATTTTTCTATTTATTTTTCTTCATTATCATTTTTTTATTTCCTGAGTTTTATTCGTTTTATTCATTTTATTTAAAATTTATTTTTCAAATGGCTTTATATTTTCAACATCTTCTTCAATTTTTGTTTTTTCTTTCGTTTCTCTGTCTTCGTCTTCTAACTCCCCCCCACCAATCATGTTTGAGAAATACAAAAGATTTCCCACTTGTTATTTTTTTCCCTCTTATTCTTCTCCAATTATCACATATTCTTCTATTTCTTTCAACTTTTTATTCGTTCTCATCATCTTTTCTTTTTTTCTTCCAATTTTTGTTTTTCAATCTTTTTTTGTGTCTTTATATCCTTCAACTCACAATTCTTCTTTCTCATTCTAATTTTCTTTACATTCTTTTTCCGGTTTTTTTTCTTCCTCATTCCCCCCCCCCCTATATCTTTATCATCTTTGTCTTCTATAATATCATATTATCCTAGTTTGTATTTATCTCTTCTTTGTTTTTTTTCTCTTCACATTCCATTTTTTCATAATAATTTCTTTTCCTCATATTCAAATTTTCTTCTTCCTCTCCAAATTTCCCATCTTCCTTTTCACTGTCTTCTTTTCTTTTACTCGTGTTTTTATTCGTTTCTGTCTACGTCTTATATTTCACCTATCAATTCATTCGATAGTTTAAATTTTCAAATATTTGTAAAATAGTTTCTATTAATATATAGTAGAGATCTTTTAAAATTCTTTTGGTTTTGTTGTCTTTCGATTATGGATTTTCTTTATTTGTTTTAGTATTTTTTATTTGTGAATGTAATTTAGAAAGAAGATATTAGTTTTTAATCAATGATTTTTAATTATGATATTCTTCCATTATAATTCAAAAAAAAAAAAATGGTTCTGAATTTGCTTTTCTTTTATTTTTTTTAAAGAATTTTTTTTTGTAATTGTTGTTTTCTTCTTCTTCTTATTCTTCTCAAGTGATCCTATATTCTTCTTTTTTTTCTTCATTTTTTTTATTAGTTTTCATCATCTTTTTTTTTCTTCTTCTTCTAATTATTCTTCTTCAATCTTTTATTATGTCTTCATATCCTCCAACTATCTATTTTTCTTTTTCTTTCTAATTTTCTTTACATTCTTTTTCCGGTTTTTCTTCTTCCTCATTCCCCCTTTCTCTATCTTTATCATCTTCGTCTTCCGGTTTTTGTTCTTCATTGATTATTTACCCACCTTATCACATTCATATGCTCTAACCTCTTAATATTTATTTCAAAGTATATCTACTTCTTATATTTTGTCTTACATTTCTTCCAGATTTTGTTTCCTTCATTTTCTACCATTATTTTTATTTGTATCCAATATTTTAATCTCCTTTTCTTTTCCTCTTTCTTCATTGTCATTTTTTATTTCCTAGAAACAATATATGTTTTCACACATAACAAATTTAAAACAATATATGTTTTCATTTTTTATTTTTAATTTTGATCTCATTTTTTATATTTTCCTCTTTTTATATTGTCATATCCAATATTTGTTTTCTTCCTTATATTTACAAATTTTTTTATCAATGGTTTTAATTTTGATCTCATTTTTTATATTTTCCTCTTTTTATATTGTCATATCCAATATTTGTTTTCTTCCTTATATTTACAAATTTTTTTATCAATGGTTTTGTGTACTTATTCTTCATTTTTCTTTATCTTTTGATTTTTTCAATTTTTTATTTGTTTTAATTCTTTTCACACTTCAGACAAATAAGACAACGAAGCCCCACATTCCACACTTGCTCGATTAGCTCACAATGAAAAAGAAGGTGATCTCTTGTTTCACAATGGGTGATGATGCAAGTACAACAGCTAGTAGTTGGGCTTACTCTCCAGGCTGATAATCTTTCTCGCCAGGTTGGCGATCCAGAATGTAAAGGCTGTTTAGGAACATGGCTTTTAAACCAGACAGCTTTGAACCAAGTAGTGGTTGTGGTTGTAGGTCTAATTTTGCGCCAAGTATGGCTCTGGAGAAGGTGTTTCTCGTTGAAGAATATGTCTCCCAGGTTCAAAGATCATCACCTCTTCAAAAAAACAAACATAATCATATTAGTCTTTTGAAGAGATTGAAGCTAGAAAGTGGTTGTTTGGGACCTAAAGACTAAAGGCATTCACGTTACTCGAACAATACACATATGATTAGATGGAAATTAAACCCTAAAACAATTAAATATGATTAGAAGAAAAAAATGAAATAAGGGAATCAACCTTTTTTGTCTTGGTCACCATTGGTCCTGTATCCGCCGTGTTCCTTTAGGTGCTTCAACTGCGGTATAGGTAGAAGAAGCTGGTACTTCAGGATATGTGTCATCAATATATTGAAAATACGCAGCAATGGCTAGGAGACATCAACCAAAACACAAAAGCTAAAGCATATTATCAAACCTCCTTTTAATCCCCATCTAAATCAAAATCGATTTGCAGCTCTTTTTGTATCTGAGGTAGATGAGCAAGTTATATATTTCAAATAATTATTCAAATATAGTTTTAATAGAGAGAACAAAAATAACATCAAAGTTAATTAACGTGCTGCAAGTGTATCAGATATAATGTCAACTTTCTATGTACATGATAATGCAATATCACTTTTTTAAGCGAGAATTAAAAACAGTCACAAACTCACGATGAAAGTTTCGTTGATTGATGCAGGACCTAGAGTCACATTCTCTTCCATAGCTAGGTTCTCGTCTTTCTCCTCGACTATAGAAAAATATTCATAACACTCAGTTGCATTTTGTACACTTCTATGTAAAACAGAGCGTCCAATCTAACCTAGCACTATCCCAAGAATAACAGATCATGATCCAAAAATATATAGATTTCTAGCTCCAAAGAACCCGAAAGGAAATTCAGATCGGGAAAACGAAACTTTTCTATATCCTAATCTCTCAGAGATAATCAGAGAAAATAGAAAATTTTATAGAGACGTATTGTACCATGGTTTAGGGCAATCACATGTAAAAGTTAACTCCGATCTTAGAGATACTTCATCTTGTAGTTCCGCCTACACACCTAGAGGGATGCAAGACAAAACGGGTAAAGGAAGAGTTCAGGAAGGTTACATGACTTTTCCCCGTTTCATTCCCGTCTCATTTTCTTTAATTCCCGTTCCAAAACCCGAAATACATAGGGAATCAAAACACAGCTTTTTGATATGAGGGCTTTTTTTGCAAAGAAAAATAGTTTGAGGTTTTGTTTGCACAAAAACTTATTTTTTAAAAAAAAATCATAAAATGCCACGTCATCAATATAGGCAGGGGCTATATTGCGGGTGACTTTAAAGGTGAGTGGTTTGACTTGCATTTTTTTGAGCTGAGGGTTTTTCTTGCAAAAATAATTTAGTTTGGGGTTTTTTTTGCACAAAACCCTATTTTTAAAGTATTTTCTCTTTTAATATATTAGGGATCAGCATGCAAAGACCAACTTTCATCGATTCCACATGAACAAACTCAACAAACAACCTCCTCCACTTGTTATCGTCATATATTTTCCACCTATATTGCTCGTGCTCGTAATCTACTTGGAAGAGCTCGGATATTAGCGAGTAAACTTCGTTATCACACATAACATATCAAGCCCTCTCTTATCGAACAACCACAAATCAGCAATTTGTTCTCCAACAAAGCTTTGGCTGTTAATAACACGATGTTTCTTTAGATGTCCGATGAAACCCTAACTTTTGAGCTTTTTATATTTATAGGGGTCTATTACAGGTAAAACAATTAGGGTTTCAATTGAAATAATAAAATCCTTTTTAATATTTTTAATCGATGGTAGAAGAAATTTTTTAATGATTTTTCATTAGCAATAAAAGGATATTTGTTAGATTTTCATAAAAAGAAAATTTTAAAGATTTTATCAAGATTTTCATTAAGGGTAGTTACGTTATTACGCGGCTGAGAGTTAACGTGGTGGCTCCATTCGAAATTCTGACTTCGCAAATAATAGTATGACACTAATATAATAAGGTCAATGAATAAAACTGCATTGAAAATGTAAAGTGACATTTTTTGTAAAACAAAAACAAAATTCTAAAATAACACTCTCTTTGTGAAACGAAGGGAATAATTTATATTATTATTGGGATAATATATTTACCTAAAACTTTTTAAATATTACTATATTATCATTTTATCAAATTTTGTTATAGTGGAACTTTATATTGGAACCAGATAAAATTATTATTTTATAGTTTAACTAATTGATCAAGTATTAATTTATAGAAAATCTACTATATCTCATATTTATCCGGTATTAGATATATTTTTCATCATCTCTTCATTTTCTTAACTTTTAAAAAAACTTCGTTGTGAGAACCCATTAAAGTACTCGATAGAATACTTTAACTAATGTACGTATATCGGTGTATGTTTGTGTTTATGAATCAACTGAAAAATAAAAACCAGCAGGATGCAACAAGAACATGTTCACTTTCACAAAAGTTATTTTATAAATAAATCCGAAAAGGCTAAGCTGGTTTAGTAAATCATCTTCGGACTAAATTAAGGTTATGCTAAAAACCAAAACAAAAGCCAAAAGCCAAACAACATTGTGCACTAGTTTATCTCCTTCTTTTTCCCACCTAATAAACAAAAATCTGAACTAAGCAGTTAAAACGAACCTAATAAAACAAACTTATTTTTTTTGAAGTTATATATAACCAAGAACAAACCCGAGAGCCCAGCCCCCAGGTCCTGTCCGCAAATTGTCATTGTGGATATAGTCATGTTAATGACAATGCGTCACGTTGGCTACGCCTTCCATTGCATCAATCAGCACATCTTTAGACAGCATGAGTCATGTCCGAACCACCACCACCACTGGCTGGATTGGGATGAAACGCTGATTGCCTTGAGGACGACCCTCCAGCGAGTCTCAGCGATAGAGGCTGTTCCGATACACCGCTTTGGCTGGACTCCCCAAGGCTGAGCTGAGACATACCAAGAAGTTGATCCACGTTAATGGGTGCGGCTTTTGAGTGCACAGCTGTTGGCCTGAGGATCTCGTGAGTCTCCTCCTTCGTCGGCTCGGTCACATACGCAGCAGACCATAACGGGAAAGGGTAGAACGGTGAGAAGTAAGCCGGATATAGCACAGGGAACGAACCGAGTGGTTGTAGCTGCTGCTGCTGCTGGGTGGTGGTGTCTTCTGGTCTGAAAGAATCAGAAGCTAGCTCCTCCGTGCTAGAGTTGGTGGATTCAAACTCTTCAGGTTCAACGATCAGTGGAGCTGGAACAGAGTCAGTGCTCTGCATTTCCGTTTCCAACGGAAGGTTCTCTGATTGCATTTCTTGAGAATCCATCGGAACGTCTGTTAGCTGCGCAAAGGAACCAACTTATTGCTTTTTTGACAAGTTACAAGCTAAAACTAGCTTTTCAAAGGGACTAACAACACTTAACAAACCTCATCAGGAACCATATCAAAGAGACTAGAACGTCTCTTGCGGCGAGACACATTGGATTGTCTGATGAAGTACTTCTGAGCGTGACTTGCGACTTGTGTAGGTGTCCTCGTCGTCACATAGTTCCTTGAGATACCTCTCCAATCGCCTTTTCCAAGCTTCTGCAGACCCATCAAGAACATCCTGTGTTCCTCTTCTGTCCATGGATGTCCTAACATTTTACAAAAATCCATCAAAATAAAGGTAACCTCAAAACCAAAACAATATCAATTAGTAATTGAGAAACAGAATTCGTTTATTCCAATCAAACATAATTAAATTGGCTTATTGGCATATGAATTTTCTAAAATTCTCAAAAAAAAAAAAATCATGATTGTAAAGAGAAAGGACAGTAAAATAAAATCGATACCTTTCTTTCGCTCGCGGCTAGTGGATGAGCCGGGAACAAAATCCTCGGAGGCGTAACCGTCGCCGACGCCGTGGTCCAAGCCATCACCGGGAGAGCCAGGAGTGGTAGACCCGGTTGCGCCATGCCCGCCCAATCCAGAGCCCGAGCAGTGGCTGAGATTGCCCATACTTGCGCTTTTCCGGATCGAACCTTCTGTGAGACGAACACCGAAGAGCTTAACACCGCGATTCGGACATGTACGTGAGTTGTGGCCATTCTGGTTGCAGTGAGAACAACGGCGAGTCATATCCGATAAGGATTGTTTGATCCTGTTCGGATCTGATCGGGCTCGATTCGGGTCTTCCGCCGTCGACCGGATCGAAGGTAATCTCGGAAGCACAGAAACTGATAAAACGGGGAAGAGAGAGAGAGAGACACACACACACAATTTATAAAAGGAGTTTATCTTGTCGGATTTATTACTAAAACCAAAATTAAAAATATCAAGTTATATGCTGTGTCCACAGGTAGATTTTTTTCATTTCCTTTTTCCGTTGACTTCTAGTCAAACCAATTTACTCACTTTATTGTTTTTCTGTAGAATACTTTTGAATTGAATTATTGCTGTACAACTAAAATTGACTAGTATTCATTTTACATCCTTTTTTTCTTAACAATGTCTGTAGTTATGCTCTTAGATTTGATTTGATTTTGACCAGGATATGTTATTTAATGGTTTGAGATATTATCATTATACCATTACCAAATTAAATCTTGTATCCTACATAATTGTTGATTTTTTTTGTAATAAAAACTACTTATTTATATTTATTTTTAAATAATTTATTATGTTAAATTTGTTATAAATAATAAAGAGGAAATTTGGACCAATATTACATAAATTAATCATATTTTGAAAACTAACCCACTTTTTAAAATGTTGGTAAACTAATCTTTCTAATATTTAAAATTACTAAAATACCCTCAATTGTTTTAGATATTAAAATTGTTTTAAATTTCGTTTATCTTATTTAAAATTATTTAAATTGTAAAAAAAAAATCTGTTATTCTGTTAAAGATAATTATAAACAATTATTTTTATTTTATATAATAAAAAAAACTTTAGTGTGGGATATTCTCATAAAATCTGAATAAAATTTACAACAAGAAAACAAAAAGATATTTAGAAAATTTTATTTGAAATTTAACATGTCATAAATATAGAACATGAGTTAACTTTAACACATTCCATCATTTTTTTAAGAATAAAATGTGAGTTTTTCTTTGTTCTAAAATGATATTTATGTGTATATATTTATTGAGTTTGATTCATTTTTATGATAAATATGAATATATTTTCAAAATAACATGTGTATTTTTAAATATTTATTAAAAAATATATAAACAAATTTTCGAAAATATCTTATATATATCTAAATTAAATAAGAAGTTTTTTTCTCATTATTAATAGGAAATGATAATGGTTTTATTGTCTTTTCACTTATTAAAAAATTTAGTTTTCAAAATTTTAAAAATCAATGTTAGTTTTCAAATTATGAATTTTTTTAGTAATATTAAACCAACTCACCCTAAAATAAACCAACCAAATAAAGTTGAAATATATTCTCTCTCTTTTATGTTTTTAGTTGTCGTTTTGTGTTTTAATGTATATTAACTTATTAATTTTTCATATCAAACAAAACAATATGTTAAATAGAAGTAAAACAAAACTTTTTTTTAGTTTCTTGTAGAAAAATTGAGAACGACAAGTAGAAAACAACAGAGGAGTATGTTGATACAATAATAATAATAGTATATCAATGTTATTAGTATTAATAATTCATTGTAATATTTCATTTTTTTTCACGATGAGTATTATTTGACTTTGTCACAAATATGTATTAAGATCCTCTATATATCTTGCTTGGATTTATTATTATCTTGAGAAGTTACATGTAGAACTATCTCCATGATTTCTGTTTCGTAGTCTTGAGTCATCTCTTGACTTACATGAACTAACTTATCGGTCACAATGTCCATGATTTAACTTGCAGCCAGAATGAAAAATTCAGTTAGGGATATGCAAGCTCAGGGGAGAGATCATCTATGGAAGACTCTTCCTTTAGACAAGGATCAACATTCAACAGTATCGATGGAGAAATCGCTGGTCTCTTTGGAGTCTTTGATGGTATTTCTTTGTTAAAGTCTTTGATGGTATTTCTTGACCATCTTTGTTGTATTTTTCATCCATACGTTTGGTTAAGTTTTATGTTTTTCAATTATCTGCGTTACTTATTTGTTAAACTTTTATTTGCTGTGTATGATTATTTGAACGCTGCTATGGTTTTAAATCTAATTTATAATTGTGTATTAGTTCAACTTAATTGCAGAGCCTACGAGGTCTCCGTATTCTAGAGGTACTAATGGTCTTTGCCTCTCATGATATCATTGATGCGATCTTACGACCAGCTCAATGGCCACAATACCGTGCGTTTCTGGATTATATTACTCAGCTTGCCGCGTCTTTCACAAGCTGTTCTTAATTAATACAATGCAACTCCCCATAGCTCAAGATATTGCACCGAGTGTTACACGAGCAGGGCCAAGCTTGAGCTAATTCTAACAATTCTTTAGAATGAGCCTCAGTTTTTTTTTCTTGTAAATTTTAGGGTCAATAATTTTTTTATTTTTTATTTTAGCTTAAAAATTCAATTTAAAGCCCTCAATTTCCTCTTTTGATTTGGACCCCTAAAATGTCAGGTACTTACACGACACGGCCGTTTTCAGTCGCAACTGTATTTTGGGGATCCATTCTGGCTCCAAGAACCCTTTTGGCGAGAAGCTTCATTGAGCATCTGAATAATCCTTCCTTTAGGATTTTTATGCTTTTTGTTTTATCCCATTTTTGGTTTTTGTAGTTACTTTGGTCACTATCAGAGCTTTGCTCTCTTGATCAGTGATTTCATACGTTAAACTTTTTTCTAGAGAACAGGATGAATACAACCTTTGGGATCCAACGATGACTTATTTTATGATCTTTTGACAACAAATATGATTTATTTTGATGTTGATGATGATATCTTTGCCCATGTGAACCATTTGTATACACCACAACTACAGAACCTGCCGCCTTCGCCTTCACTCTTAATTTTTTTGCATGGTCCTAATCAGCTTTTAGTTTTATTTAGGTCAATCTAGATAGTTGGTTGTTTTTATTGCATTTTCCAGTTGATAAATTGTCGTGGAATATGGAGATTTGATCTTATTCTCTTTTAATTCTTAATCTTAAGTAAGAATTATGAGTCAAATATATAATAAGTCTATATAAACATTACGAATTTATACCAAAAAAAAAGTTATTGTGGATCAACTGTTACATCCGTACTACATGTTGAATCCGAGATAGCACTCGTCAAGACGGGCTATCAAAGATGTGAGTTTAGGAAACTGGAACGCTTAATTCGACTCTTAGATTATCAAGAAGATTACAAGAGAGCAATCTCGCTAACAAGCCTAGCGAGATTATGATGGTGAACAAGAGGATAGAGTAAAAGCTAATGTGAAGCCTAGTGATTCTAGATGATTTCGGATCCTTCTCCAATGGGGGGGTCTTCAATATATAGTGTTGATAAGTCGGCCGAATGATGAATATTCTCCTTCAGGCGAGATGGAAAACTTCCTCTTTTGCGATATGGAAAATTCCCTCTTGTTTTTGGATCTTTCTCCATTCTTTAAGTCGGCATGAAGATTTATTTACATTTCTCCATGGATTGTGCCTTTCTCTTCAAGTCTTGCCTTTTTCTTGAAGATGTTAGGCCTAAAATCGGATTGGGCTTTGTACTTTACTAATGATGACGGGCTCAGGGAAATGTGCTAATTTCTCCTCTAACAATAAGTCCCCCCGCCAGCTCGGCAGGTCAAATGTAGTTTGATCTCGGCGAGCTTCATGAATAGAGGACGAGCTTGAGAATCATTAGTAAAATACATCACTTCAATCGGATCTTAGTGCCTAGGTGCATGCTGAATGTAGATTCGTGCCGCCTCATTAAAACCTTGGTACGGAAAAACCCAATTGGGACAAAAACCATAAAAAGGAAAAAGAGTACGTTGACGTCATCTAATTCATGAGTAATTGCTTCGAATGATTTTTGCCGCGACCAAAAATGCTTTCTTGGTTCGAATGTGACGGGTTCGGTTTTCAGCTGTGACTGGGCGATTTTGCCACGTCACTGCCCAGGGACCTGTTTGCAATTGCGTGGGCTGAGTCCGATAGTCGATTAAATCGCGCGGAGGCCCAAGCCCATTAGTGCTTTTCCATTGAGCGGGAAAGAAATGAATAAAAAATTCATAAGGGCAGTTGTGTCCCTTGGAAGTCGCGCGATCTCTATTAAGAGACCGTTCGAATTTCCTTTATTCATTTTTGCTTCTTTTCTTCTTCTCACTCAACCGTCCCGACGAATCAAAGGTAACTTCCGCAATCCGACTTCAAATCTTGCCTCGATTGATTTCTCGAATCGATTTTCGGGATTTAGGACTAGGGAATACGAATTGCTCGGATCTAGTTAGGTTGCGCTCCGATTTCGTCTTCTCATCCGCCGATTCGGGTTTTAGGGTTTTCGATTCGTCAAATATTTCGTCTCGGTCGTCGAGTTTTTCCGATCCTTCATTCAATTGAGATGAATCCAAAAGACAGAAAGGGAAAGGGCATCGCCATGGATGACGGCGATGAGACGATTGCTTCGATTGCGCGTCAGACGCGATCCTCCGCTCGTCCGGAGAGGCTTCTTGGTGGAGCCATCCAAGCGGATGCGGCGGAGCGTCGCAGGAAGACGGTGGTGGATGAAGCGACGGCCTGCTGAGGCCGAGAAGGTGGTCGAGAGGCGAGATGGAGGAAGCGGCGAGAGTCGCCGCCGAAGCCGAGCGTCGGGAAGAGGCTGAGAGAGTGAGGGGAGAAGAGCATGATTCCGGCGACGAAACCGACTCTGATGAAGACGAAGAGCGGGGCCGTCAGGCCAAGCGAGACTCGAGGGCATCCCGGATGTAATCAAGATGCCGAGTCGTACGCCGCCTACGGGCCTAATCCACGATGGGAGGTCGTGGATGACGGAGGAGATCCTTCGAGACCTCATAGCGGAGGCCGAGTTCCCTGACTCCGTGGAGTTTCGTATCCCTGGCCATCTTGAAAGGCCCTACGATGCTCCGGCTGGGTGGATGTGCGTTTACGAGTGTATGTTCACCGAATTTGGGATGAACTTCCCTCTGTCTCCTCTATTTTTGCAATTTGCGGCTGATCGTGGCGTTCCTACGAGTCAACTGACCCACGGCGTGGTTCGCCACATCGTTTTTACCGAGGCCCTGGCTAGAGCCGCCGGAGTTGTATTCGACCGTCTCTTATTCGAGCACGTTACTGATCTCCGGGCTTCGTCGCGAGAGGGAAACTTCAAGCGGTTTCATACCACGATGAAGTATGATATTGTTTTCGGGGATTACCGAAACAAGATTCATTGGTGGAAGAAATATTTCTTCTTTGTGAAGATAAACCGAGCCTCAGTCGGGAAGATCAAAGCTGATCAGATTAGGACAGAATGGGTTAAATCACCGGGTAGAATTCTTGATTAGAATTGCTATCTATGCTGCTGAGTTTGCGTTTTCTGATGTTGTTTGTTGTCTTCGCAGGACCGTCCAGGCGAGCGAGACCGAACGCGAACTCAAGGAGAAGTTCAGGCTGCTGAAGGAGCTTCAGCCATCGATTGTGGCCTGAGGTAGTGGCGGCGCTTGAGAAGAAAAGCAAGAGAGGAAAGATAAGAGGGAGGGAAAAACAAATCTGCCATCCCTGCGACTCCGATATCTAGTAAGTTTGCTTTTTTTTTTTTTTCTTTTGCTTGGTTCTCTTCGGGTATCTTAATGTTTTGCTTTGTTTTGCAGCAGCGAAGCCATCCCGTTCTAAGAAGAAATCGATGGGTCTTAGGAAGAGAGCGGCCGTGCCTATTGACGACGTCGTCGTTGCTTCCGAGCCGGCGCCTAAAAAGAAAAGGGTCGAGTCCCCCAGACTGAGGGATTCTCCTCCTTCTCCCCTTCGGAGCTCTTCCATTGCGTCGCGTACGAGGTAAGTCGCCTATCGATGGATTCAGGAGATAGGAATTCCGATGTTAATCGTAGACGTTCTTTGCAGGGCTTCGACGAGGAAAGCCTCGACTTCTGTTCCTGAGGGCGTTCCGGAGCAAGTGATCGAGCTTGACTCTCCTCCTTCCTCGGATCATGACGAGTCTTCCCATCACGATGAGAGTGCTTCTCATCACGATGATGGTTTGAGGACTCCGGCGCGTGGTGGTTCGCCTTCTAAGGGGGACGAGTTCCTCACCCCTGGTGGCGGCGTTCCCTCCTCTGACCGGCGTGATCGTGGTGGTTTCGAAGGAGGGGAATCATCTCGGCGTCCAGGTGAGAATGATGAGGCGGCGTCTCGTCACTCGGAGGCGGGTGGTTTTGCTCCTGGCTCGAACCTCGGTGCTGAGGGTGACGCCGGAATTCCAAAGGATGGTCCTGAGGGCTATAATCCTCACGCGTTCAAGACGTGGTGGAATGGCGGGAGTCCTCTTATGGAGGACCAGGATGCTTGCGGAGGGGCGACTTGGATGTCTAAAGTTCATCCCGGCTTGGGGATTCCGCGTGAGGAGCTCACCTTTAGGACCGATTTCGACGAAGCTGCTCAACATCATATTATGTCTGGCGGGAAGTTCACCGCGTTGGTCCAGAAGTACGAGACGGCGCTTCGGGCAGCTAAGGACGAAGCCTTTGTGTTGCGGCGGAGCAGGAGATGGCCAAGGATGTCGATACGATGGTGGCTGATTAGCAGGATAAACTGGTGCTTGAGTCGAAGGTCGCGGCGCTGAACAGGGAGATAGTGAAGACTCTCGGACTCCAGGAGGTGGCAGACAAGCTGAGGGCTCAAGTGAGTGATCTGGAGGAGAAGGCGCGTCGGGATGCAGAGGCTTCTGCTGCTGAGATGGAGCGTCTCCGACGGTCTCGTCGAGAATCGGTCGAGGCGGCTGTGACTCAGGTCTTCGACTCGGTGAATGACTGGTATGCTCCTCGTCTCCATCGCTTGTCGGAGTTCGTCGCGCAGCGGGACATGGTTGAAGCCGCTGTGGGGAGGAGGCAAGTCGACGAAGCTCTCCTCAACTTCGTGAAGAAGATTCGGGGAGTGGATCTGAACTTCGACGCGTGGAGGAGAAGCTCGCGGCTAAGCTGGCGAAGAGCATCGCGGATGGGGATGCGATTGACGAAGTTGTTATCGATGATGATGACTTCGCTCCGCCTAACAGGTGAATTTTTGCTTCTTCTTTTTTGTTATGTCGTGCTTTGCGTAACGTTGTATTTGCTTATGCGTTTGCTTGCTTTTGTAGCCTTAAACGGCTGGTGCTGCCGGGATCTCCTTCTCGTCGAGATGGTGATGGTGCGGATCCGGGTGCGGGACCCTCTACTTCTGGGGCCAAGTCTGCTTAGGCCCCATTTTCATTTGTTTTAAGACTTTTTGGCTGCGGCCTTTTTGTTGTAATAACATTGCCTGGGAAGGTTTTTATCCGTATGCTTTAGGATTTGTGCTTTTATGCTAGATACTTTAAAGTACTTTAAGAGATTTTTTATTGCTTTGCGTTTTTTTGCTTGCGTGTTCTGCGTGTCACGGCTTTTAGACATAATTGATTAGTTCGCAGCGCAACGAAAGTAATCCGGCTTTTGGTTATGTCTTTTAATAAAGGACGATGGTGTCGTCAACCGCATAAAATGAATTAAGTACTTGGTCGTCACCGAGTAGGAAATTCGATTATCGGGATGACTCGTTACCTTTAAGTGTATCACGACATGGTGCGCGTGATGGTGCTAGTGCGTCATGACTAGACGCGATGCTTTCGGGTTTCGTCATGACTTCTCATTCGAGACACCGACCGGCGCGTATTAGGTCTGTGTGCTTAGGATGTTAAACCTACTTTCAGCGACGAGCTCTAGAAACTCGATTTATGCTTCCGACTTCAAAGCTTCGTGCGGGTGACGAGGTAGCGGTTTTTCGCTCGTCCGACGAACTGAGAGCCGTGCGAGGTGCGTGCTCTCGGCTTAATGAATGGGTGATCAGTCCATGTTTTTAGGGTGCAAAGTGCAAGTGCTTATTGAGTTTGCCTCAATAACTTTTTGGTTTGACGTCGACAAGTTTAGCTTATGCCGAATGAGGCGCGCTTGTCGAGAAAAAGGTTTTAATAAAATTAAAATTTTATTAAGTATTATAGCTGCGCCCTTAGAAAGGCTGCCTACGTACCCGTGCCGGGATCAAGCCATTCGTAGTTCGTTACAAATGTTCATGTGGACATGTCTTTTTTTTTTTTTTTTGCTAGCGCGGTGCTTCGCGTCTAGTCATGGAACTTGCGCAGATCCGACGAGCTCCAGAGGCGATCGGACGTGATGCCTAGGTTGTCTTCTAGCTGATAGACTCCTGGTTTGACGACTTTCGCGATGCGGAATGGTCCTTCCCAGTCGGCCGAATTTGCCGAGACCATAGATCGTATCATCATCGGTTTTGCAAAAGACGAGGTCGTCTAGTGCGAAACGGAGGTGTTGCTTTAGGAAAGCGGCTGCTAGATCGTCGAAGCTGTCGATGGAGTCGGCCGGAGGTTGCTGAACCATGTTAGGGCATCGCCGCGCAGTGTTCGGCGAGGGCTTGGCAGAAGTGCGCGCTTTGTTCTTCCGGCGATGTGTATTTCTGTCTTCTCATGGCTATCATGAAGGACGTGATCCATGCTTGGGATCTTCTCGGCCGTCGTAGAAGTTTAGGTGTAGCGAAGCGCGCTTCTTCAGTGGTACCTCGGATAGGCGGCTTGTCAGGGGAGTTCTTCGAATATCGGCAATGATCTCGAATATCTCCTGATCGAGAATGAGCATTGGAGATGCATGGCGATCTGTCTTCGCATGATTCCCAGATTCTTTCCGATCTCGTCGCTCGGATAGGGGTGCATCTCGGCGAGGGGAGACTCGTGATAGCATCTTGGTGCTTTATGCGTGGTTTTTCCGGGCGGAGGGATGATGACCTTTCTTGTTTCTTAACCGGGTTCGAGGATTTGGTCGGATCGCATGTACGGATGTCCTCTCGAGGCGATGTAGTTTTCAGCGCGAAGGAAGACATCCTTCAGTGTGGAAGGATCGAATGTAGAAGTCTTCACGAAACTTAGATCGATACCAAGCCCCATTGGAGGCTTGGATGAGCGTGTTTCTGCGATTGGGGGCTCCCCGGGGTCTCGTCAAGGTCGAGGAGCGCGCTTTGAATCTGTCGAGGTAGCTCGCAGCGGTTCGTCCTCGAGTTGCTTTATCTCGAATAGATTGGAGAGTTCTTGGTGTTAAGGCTGGACCTTAAGTCGGATTTCCAGGCGGGTTCGGCGTTTGCCTTTGCCGAAATGGCGGTGCTTCTCCCAGCGTCGTGGCGATGTATCCAGTTGTATCGAGTCCGTCGGTCTCGTCGTACAATACTGGCTCGATCTTCGCGAGGTGTTGGTTTGAGGGTTCGGCTATCATAAAGGATGATGCGGTGCGGAGCTTGCGCTCGCGAAGGAAGCATGATCGCGTCACTCTTTGATCTCCACGCAAGGTGTAAATTCCGGAGGCGTTGGGAATTTCACGCACTGGTGGAAAGTCGAGACGACGGCCTTCATTTCGTGGAGCCAGGGGGTGCCGAGTATTGCGTTATAGATGGCCGGTTTGTCCATGACAATGAACTTCAAGAGCTTCGAAATTCCGCCGACATAAACGGGGAGCCGAACTGTTCCGCAACTGTAGGTGTATTCGGCGGTGAAGCCGGTGAGGGGACGGGATGTAGGTTTGATGGATTCCTGTTCCACTCCCATGCGATCCAGTGTCTCTAGGAAGATGAGGTTCACCGTGCTCCCGGTATCAATTAGAACCTTTGCGACGTCACAGTCGTGAATCTGCAAGTGACCACGAGGGGTCGAGGTGGGGATATCTAATCCGCTTGCGTCCTTATCCATAAAGGAGATTGTAGGGATCCCTTTATGGATATACGGGTAGCGTTGTGCCGCGACGGCCTTTCGTTCGTATTCCTTGATCGCCGATATGGAATCGTCGTTATCCAGGAGGCCTCCCATGATCATGCTGACTTGTCGCTTCGGCGGTGGAGGTAGGTCGTCGTGGTCGTCACGATTCCTTTTCCCGGGCGGGGCTTCCGCCTTTTCTGCATCCTTCTTCGGACGGGGTTGTCGTCCGCGCTTCTCCTGTTGCCCAGATTTTGGTGGTCTCGGCGGGAAGCTTTTTCCTTGGGACCTATCGCCGTCCATTGGCGGGATTTCTCCTCGATGGTACATGCGCATAAGGTTGCTCATAGGTGTTTGCAGTTTTCAGTGGCGTGGCCAGTTCTCCCGTGGAACTTGCAGAAAGCTTTGGTGTCGTTGTCATCTCCGAGCGAGTTGATGTCTTGTGGCATCGAAACGGCCGCTGCGTGTTCTTGCTCGGACTCATCGTCGGCTGCTGCGAACGCTGCGAGGAGAGACCTCTTCGGATCGTGTCTTCTTCGTGCCTCCATGGGTTCTTCTCTGGGTTTCGACGAGGTTGCCCTCCTATCTCCATGCTTCTCGGCGTAGAAGCGCTGGTCTTCCTCGAGGAAGATGTAGTTCCGAGAGCGGTGGAACGCGTCCTCCAGAGTCGCAGGGGGTTTTAGTGACAAATCCTCCTTAAACTTGGAGTCGTACCAGAGGCCGTTGCGGAGTGCTTCCAGCGGGACGCTATCGGGCATGTCGCCAGTATCGCGAGCTGCTTGTTTGAACCTTTCCATAAAGCTGCGCAATGGTTCGCCTTGGGTTTGCGTTGTGGTGAACATGTTCCGAGTGATTCGGGTCATGTGCATGGAGTAATGCTTCAGAAAAGCATTGGTTAGGTCGTCGAAGTTATCGATCGACTCGGCGGGGAGGTTAGAGAACCAGGTCAAGGCATCTTTCGCCATGTGCTCGACGAATACTTGACAGTAGTTGGCCTCCCTTTCATCGTAAGATTTGTATTTCTCCCTCCTCATGGCGAGGTTGAACGCGGTTAGCCACTTCTTGGGGTCTTCTTCGCCGGTGTAAGAGTCGATTTTGAGTCGAACTCTTTCGTGTAGTTCGATCTGGCGGAGCCTGCGGGTGAGCGGGCTTCTTCGGGTGTCGGCGAGTGCTTTCGTCAATTCCGGAGCTGAGCTGGTGGCGCGATGAACTTTCGAATCGACCTCGTCGAGGCGACGATTCATCCGTTCGAGCTCTTGGGTGGTAAGTCGCCTGAAGTGCGCGGGACGGGGGGTTGTTCCGTCAGTGGGACTTGACGGATCTTCATCGTCTTCTCGTGCTAGGGCTTCCACCTGTTCCTGAGTCTTTTTCTGCTGTGCTCGCATTGACTCGAAACCGTCGGCGAGTGGCTTGACGAGATTCTCCATGAGTTTGAGGATCTTCTCGCTCGAGGAGGATTTCTTCGAGCTGCGGGGTTTGTCGCTCGAGGAAGATTTTCTCGAGCGGCGTGGTGCGGACGGAGGGGGGCTCTCGTCCTTTCTTGGCGGAGGGGATCGTTGCGGCGAAAGATCGATCTTCGCGGCGAGACGGATCTCTGTGGCGAGAAGATGGTTTCTTGTAGGGAGCAGGCTTGTCCCTGCCTTCAGCGGGTAGCGACTTGTCTATCGTGCTGGTAGACTGTCGCTTAAGTTTTCTTCTGAGGGAGACGGGCTCCCGGTGGGAGTGTTCTCTTTCGAGTTACCATCGTTGCTAGTTCGTGAAAATCTAGATATCTTCGAGATGAATAGCGAGAAGCGTTTCCAGCCCCACGGTGGGCGCCAATTGTTGAATCCGAGATAGCACTCGTCAAGACGGGCTATCAAAGATGTGAGTTTAGGAAACTGGAACGCTTAATTCGACTCTTAGATTATCAAGAAGTTACAAGAGAGCAATCTCGCTAACAAGCCTAGCGAGATTTGATGGTGAACAAGAGGATAGAGTAAAAGCTAATGTGAAAGCCTAGTGATTCTAGATGATTTCGGATCCCTTTCTCCAATGGGGGGTCTTCAATATATAGTGTTGATAAGTCGGCCGAATGATGAATATTCTCCTTCAGGCGAGATGGAAAACTTCCTCTTTTGCGATATGGAAAACTTCCCTCTTGTTTTTGGATCTTTTCCATTCTTTAAGTCGGCATGAAGATTTATTTACATTTCTCCATGGATTGTGCCTTTCTCTTCAAGTCTTGCCTTTTTCTTGAAGATGTTAGGCCTAAAATCGGATTGGGCTTTGTGATTTTACTAATGATGACGGGCTCAGGGAAATGTGCTAATTTCTCCTCTAACACTACATGAGAGCAAAATTAGGAGATTATCCTAAAGCAGAATATTAGATGTTATCGTTTTACTGTAGTATATATTGTTAATTGATCATATATCCTTTTCAATATTGTTTGTATCGTTTTAAGTCGTCTGCATGTAACTGCAAGAGATGATCTTTTCTTTTACAATAGTGTGAGATTATTTTACAACATTAAGATTATAAGTCTTTTGTTTTCTATTTTCTGTAACTTTTTCGATGAATACCGATCATTGGAGCCTTATAGCAAAATCTTGCAAAACAAAGAAAGAAGAAAAGTGAAGAAGAGATCCAATGCAGTCAACTTTTCCATGCAGCAAAACTGCTATAAAACATCGCATATGAAGTATGAGCTCCGTCGTACGATGAGCCAACACATGGCTTCTTGAACAATATATATTGGGTAAAACAATATTTTTTATTTTCTTACATTGTATACAGTCATGTGCTGTTAGGTAACAAATTTTTTAATTACTTTGTTAATGTTTTCTCCTTTTTGTTTAGATGTGAGACTCATTTTTGGTTTTATTCTTTTCGTAGTGTTTATAGTTTTGAGAGGACAAGACGTCCCTGGAAACCATTGGTGAGATTTAATGTCCGCCTATTCCCCCTTCAACTAAATTGACTCTATCGAGATTTACACATACTTTTCAATCCTTTTCAATTCCATTCAAACTTTTAATCGCTGTCGATTTCCCCACTTGTGTTTTTATTAGCAAAATCCAGTTTCCGCAACAGTGGTTGCCTGTTTAAACGCAGTTGACCCGAGTTTTTATCCGTAAACCTGAGGTTTGTATAAGAAACCAAGACCCGATTCTCTTTTCGCCTAACCCGATTCCACCACACACTGTAGCAAATCAAAATAGATTTGGGGAAATCGAAAATCTAGGGTTCTTCAATTTGCATCTTTGAATCCACTTTGAATCTTTCTAAGTTTGATCAGTAAATGTGTTCACCAAAACATAAAGTGAATACAATATCTCTCCATCTCAATTGTAATCCCTTGAAAATAGCATTAATAATCCAAAAAGAACAACAAGAGAACATCCAAAAGGAGGAATCCAAATTCCAAGTTTTGAGCATTTATAATCCAAGAAAGAACAACAAAAGAGGAATCACAACAAAAGAAGAACAATCCGCATAAAGTGGAATCCGAATTCCAAGTTTTACTGTTATGGACATCTACCCACAATTGAAGAACCCTAGATTTCTGGTTTCCCCAAATCGATTTTGATTTGCTACAGTGTGTGGTGGAATCGGATTAGGGGAAAAGAGAATCGGGTCTTGGTTTGTTAAACAAACCTCGGGTTTACGGATAAAAACTCGGGTCAACTGCGTTTAAACGGGTAATCACTGTTGCGGAAACTGGATTTTGCTAATAAAAACGCAAATGGGAGAATCGACAGCGATTAAAGTTTGGATGGAATTGGATAGGGCTGAAAAGTCTGTGTAAATCCCGATGGAACCAATTTAGTTGAGGGGGGAATAGGCGGGCAACCCTGCAAAGGGTCATGTTCTTTGTATAGTCAAAGCTATGTAACGAAGATGGAAAATTGTTCGGTACTACAAGTTATCTCTCATTATATATAGATTTTATCATCTTTTGAAGGAATCCATCTATTTTTTCCATGGATTGAGATAGAATAATCAAATTATTACATTACCAGTTTGCAGATGTATGGTGTAACATCCGTAAACCAAATTGTTGTTTTCTGGAAGTTCGGTCGGCACCAGCTATTGAAAATCGAATCCAGTTCAATTCAAGTCGCCTGGTTTAGTCGGTTTAGGCAGAAAGCCTTAGGTTTTGATATAAAAAGAGAACCAGCCGCCTTGTTTAGTCGTTTTGCGAAGCAGAAATTCGAGAGAAGAGAAAAGTGGAGTTCTCGAGCGTTTTGAGGAGAAATCCGAGTGTTGGAGGCTGAATCGAAGCTTGTTCGTCGTTGTCTCACTCGTTTTCCCCTTTTTAATCCGTTTTAGAAGTGAGTGCGTGACTGTAGGCTCGTGAATCACTAGAGATATATTTGTTTGTTGTGTTCTTGAGTTGTTCATGTTGAAAACTGAGTTTGTGATTGTATTTGGGTGTTGAAACGCTTGATTTCGTGTTTTTCTGCACTGTTCGTTGATTTGGGTTTCAGGTCTGCGAGTCGGTGTCGAGTGTCGAGCGACACCAGGGGATGTCGCTTAACACCAGAGCATTTTTTGTTATTGTGTGTTCGTTGGTTGCTGTTTTTGCTTGTATCTAGTGTTTTGCGTAACTTGTTTGTAGGCGGTGATCGTCTCACTAAGTATTTATGAAATACGTACGCATCTGTTTCCGTTATGTGATACAGGTAAAAGAAATGTGTGATCGCGGAATCAAGGTGAAGAAGGGGATGATAGGATTTGATGTTTAATTGTTTAAGTTGTTAGAACATGGCGTTTAGGTTTCTAGTTTTATTTCTTGAATTATTTGTTTAATCAAATTGATTATTTAAATTAATTGATTTGTTTTAAGACTTCCGCTGAGTATTGATTGTTTAATTATTATTTTTTTTTAAATTTGGTTGTTTTATTTTGGTATCAGAGCTCTTACGGTTTTAGGAATGTTAGAATTATTATACACTACAAAAAAAGTGTACATTCATAGCATGTCCTAATAGCACGATTTGTCAAACTGCTATTGAAGATAAGTTTGTAATTCCGGTTATCATATTATAGCATTGAATGAACGCTATGTTAGTGTTTTACTAAGCGGGAAGCTAATTACTCTTATTCCACCAACACTTAGTGAAATTTAGTCATTAAGCGCCATAGACTTGCGATTTTCCCCCTTCTCTCTCTTTCGAAAAACCCTTAGAAAAAAAATTACCCAATCTCTCTTTCGAAAAACCCTCAGAAAAAAAATCTCACTACTTTTTGAATCATTCCATCTACAATCGCCGTCGCACTGTAGCTAATCGGAACTGTATCTCCTCAGTTCTTTTCCGACTTCCTCTCCGTCGCCATTGGGCTCCAATCAAAGGCATGCATTTCGAAATCTGTTGTTGCTTTTCGTTACTACCTATAAAATTGATTTTGCCTTCGTGATGCTAGCGGAATTATGAGATTTCTGTGTGAATGTAGTACATTGCAGTTGATTGATTATAGGATTTATTTAGCTAATTTGAAAGTGGGTTAAAATCCGATTTCTGTATCAATGAAGCATATTGTAGTTCATTGCATGCCAATGTTATTTGCGAATGCACACTAATTTCCGTGTATGCTGTTTGCTCGATTAGACTTAATGCTAGTTCAACAAGTAGGATGAACAACTTTTGTCTTCCGATGTCTAGATTCACAAGATGATGTGGCTGTTTATGTCTTTCACTTGTCGTTTATTTGTTGACTGCTGCTAGAAACTACATATAGTGTCTGCAATCAGTGTTTTTCTGGTTTTCTGATTATTGATATACCGGTTTTACATTTGCCCTGACAATGAAATGTTGATATTGTTTGATTTGGTCGTTATTAGAACCTGTGATCCGAGTATATTTGTCTGAATTTTGACTGATTTTTGTGATGCGTTGCACTGATGGATTAGACCTGATATGCTGCTTAATGTGTAAAGGGCTAACATTACGGTAGAACTTAGAATGGTGGACAAGGCTTGGGTTCATCTTTGCAGGTACATTGGTAAATTGTATAGGTTAGGTTTCAGGTGAGTCTAGAGTCTTTACTGTGTTTTTTTGTTCTTTCATTTCTGCGACGAAGAGCTGATCCTGGTTATGAGAAAGGGGCGTCAGAGTTTGTTAGAGATGTGGCTGCGGCTCTGGGAGACGTTGATATGATCGTGTGTCCTTGCATCGACTGTCGTAACATAGATCGTCATTATAGCAATGTTGTAGTTGATCATCTTGTTACAAGGGGAATGGATGAGGCGTATAAGAGAAGGTCTGATTGGTATCATCATGGAGAAATGAATTATGGTGTAGAAGGTGAAACAAAATCAAGTCAGGGAATGATGAGATTGTCGGTCTGTATAAAGCTGCTGGATTCTTGGATGAAGAGTTTGGTACTGCTGACTTTGGTGAGATTGCAGAGGGAGAAGACAAGAAAGAAGATGAGTTCCTTGCAAAATTGCTGATGCTGAAACACCATTGTATCCAACTTGTGTCAACCACATCAAGCTTTCTGCGATTGTATCCTTGTTCAGACTGAAGACACAGAACGGCTGGTCAGACAAGAGTTTTAATGATCTTCTCGAGACTTTGCCAGGGATGTTACCAGCGGATAATGTGTTACACACATCACTTTATGAGGTCAAGAAATTTCTGAAATCATTTGATATGGGTTACGAGAAGATCCATGCCTGTGTCAACGACTGCTGCTTGTTCAGAAAGAAGTACAAGAAGCTTGAGAATTGTCCAAAATGTAAGGTTTCCCGGTGGAAGACAAACATTCACACTGGTGAAGTGAAACAAGGTGTGCCACAAAAAGTTTTACGCTATTTTCCAATAATCCCAAGACTGAAGAGAATGTTTAGATCAGAGGATATGGCTAGAGATCTAAGGTGGCATTTCACTAGTAAGAGCATCGACGGCAAACTCAGACACCCGGTGGATTCAGTTACTTGGGATCAGATGAACGCCAAATACCCTTCCTTTGCATCAGAAGAAAGGAACGTGAGGCTTGGACTTTCCACAGATGGCTTTAATCCGTTCAACATGAAGAACAGTATGTATAGCTTCTGGCCTGTTTTGCTTGTCAACTACAACTTACCACCTGATTTATGCATGAAGAAGGAAAACATAATGCTTACATTGTTGATTCCTGGTCCACATCAGCCTGGAAATAGCATTGACGTCTACTTGGAGCCGCTCATAGAGGATCTAAACCACTTGTGGAATAACGTAGAGGTCACATATGACGCCTTCAGTAAGTCTACTTTCACTCTTAAGGCAATGCTACTTTGGACGATAAGTGATTTCCCGGCTTATGGAAATCTTGCAGGCTGCAAAGTGAAAGGTAAAATGGGATGTCCTTTGTGTGGGAAAAATACTGATTGTATGTGGTTGAAGTTCAGCAGGAAGCATGTGTACATGTGTCATAGAAAGCGGCTGCCACCTACACATAGTTTTAGGGGAAAGAAGTCGTGGTTTGATGGCAAAGTGGAACTGGGCAGAAAGGGAAGAATTTTAAGTGGTCGAGAAATATGTCAGAATCTCAGGAATTTCAAGAACGAATTTGGAAACTTGAAACGATCTGGTAGAAAGAGGAAAAAGCCTGTGTGTACATCTGTGGGCTCTGAAGTTGAGGATTTATCTAGTGAGTCAGAGGAAGAAGAAGAGGAAGAATTACAAGTAGATGTGGAGGAGTTACTGCGATGGAAGAAAAAATCAATCTTTTTCAAGTTACCTTATTGGGAGGTAAGTTTACATTGTCATGTTATTAGTTGTTATCAATATACTATCAAGAAGACATGTTTATTAACTCTGGATTTCTTTTTGTTTTTTTCTTTGGTAGGAACTCCCTGTGAGACATAACTTGGACGTAATGCACATTGAGAGGAATGTGGCTGCAAGTATAGTGTCTACATTGTTGCATTGTGGCAAGTCGAAAGATGGTCTTCAGGCTCGTAAAGATTTGGAGGAGTTGGGTATTAGGAAGGATCTACATCCAACCATCAAAGGGAAACAGAGGTATCTACCAGCAGCACCTTGGTCTCTTTCCAAGACAGAGAAGAAGATTTTTTGCAGGCGCCTATTAGACTTCAAAGGCCCTGATGGATATTGCTCAGACATTTCAAGAGATGTGTCATTAGATGAGTGTAAGGTCACTGGCCTGAAATCACATGACTATCACGTCCTAATGCAACAATTTCTTCCAATTGCCCTTAGAGGCTTGCTACCCAAAGGTCCAAGGCTAGCAATTGTACGCTTATGCTCGTTTTTCAACCATTTGTGTCAGCGAGTCATAGATAGAGAACAATTGCTGGTAATGGAAGCTGAGATTGTTGAGACTCTTTGTATGTTCGAGAGGTTTTTTCCCCCAAACTTCTTCGATATTGATGTGGAGTCAGGTTTTACCAAACTCCTAGACCTCTGCAAGTGCACAGATCGCGGAAGTATGGGTATCGAACACAAGGACTGGCTATTGAGTACACTTTGAAACTATGGATTTTGGATCAAGCTAAAACAAAAGTATGATTTGAGGTTGTAATGGTGAACCGAACTAGCAAGTATAACGAGGTTGTAAATCAATAAAGGGGAAACGCTAGGTCATAGGGGCTATCGCAGAGAAGCAAGCAATGATCAATGAAACAATGATAGATGAATTGATTAGGGATGTTGGGATATTAAGAACCGTCTAGAACACAGATCACGAATATAAAACCATTCCACTTTCGAGGCTCCGGCTCCTTTGTTAATCTACCTAGTCGCTAAACTTTTGGTATGTCCCTAGGTGATTAAATCAAGCTTTAGAATGAATAGGTTCTGATACAGTTCACTAGATTATAGTAGATCAACTTTCGCAGTCTAAGAAACCTAGCTTGTCAAAGAATATGTCCGGCGAATGATACAACACTGTCGAGGCTCAAATCAACCTAAGATCGGATTACTAGATGCGCGGTAAAGCAATCAGCATTAGTTAAGTGCACAAGACGAGACAAAGACTCTAATATAATCCCTAGCTAATCATCGAAATCAAAGATCATGCAAGCAACTCATTGAATAGTAACCCTAGCAACCTAACTAGTGGATTACTCAGACATGATCAAAGCAAACACACATAGAGATGAAGAAAACATGATTGCAATAAAACTTAGAGTAGGAAATCGAAATACAAGGGCGGCTCTCTTTTCACAAGAGGCTAAAAAGCTATATATATAGTGCTAGGTCTTTTGAGGCGGCTTAGGGTTAAGCCGGGCCTTGAAAATATGAAATCGGGCTTCAAAACGGGCTTCGGGTCGACCGCGGCGTTGGGACGGTCGGTCGGGACGATCGGCCGGACAGTCGGGTCGTGGGCGATCGGAACGGTCGTGGCCGGATGGATTCGTCGGTCGGCCGGCGTGGTCGGACGGGTGATGGATTGGCCGATGTTTCTCGGCCGGACGTGGGACGTTTCCCGGCTCGGACGGATGCATCGGCCGTGGTACGCGAAGGGTTGCGCGGCCGCGAGGCTTTGTTCCCGGCTCGCGCGGCATGGTCGTGCGCGGCGTGGCGTGAGTTGTGGCGTGGCCGACCGCGGGATGTTTCCCGGGTCGTGATGCGTGATCGGCCGGTCGGTTTGAACTTTGGCCGAGACTTCAGACGGACGGATATGATTTGGCCGAGCGTGAAACATAGTTTCTCGGCCAGCCGGACTGCGCGGTTGGGCGCTGATTCTCGATAGAGCCGTCTGGACAGTCTTCACTCTTTTGGTTATAACTCCTTTTCTACTCATCCAAATGAGGCCATTCCAGTTGCGTTGGAAAGTTAACTCAATCAGAGCACGCAGGGAACTGGTCTTGATGAAATCCATTGAGTAGATCTTTTTCTGGGCCCTCTTAAAGTTGGTGCTTGTGCATGGAGCGGCTTGAAGTGCAAATCCTATGGTTTTGCTCCAAAATGCATCATTTCACCTGTTTAGACTCTAGACACTATAAACACAGTAAAACTACCTTTTTAGATAGAAAACCTGCCAAAAACCATTAGAAAACAATACTAAAACAGTATAAAAAGCATGTAAAATAGAGGTATATCAACTCCCCCAGACTTAGATCTTTGCTTGTCCCCAAGCAAAAGAATCTAAATCCGTGAAAGAGGTTTGAAAACGTGGAAACTCCCTTGCTCTTTTGAATATCCTGTGAAAGGTTCCTTTCCTGTATTCCACTATGAACATAGACAACATAAGGTTAGCTTCACATACACCCTGCAAGTTTAGCGAACAATACCAACCCAACTAGTCTCATCCAGCAATCCAAACTCTCTATTGCTAACCTCTTGCATAAATTTAAAGCGTGAATTCTTTATCAAGGGAACATCGATCAATTGAACTTGTTCTTACCCACTTGATCTTCTCCAAGATTGTCTTTCAAGTGCAATGAGTTCTTTTCCTCTCTCTTTCTCACATCAGAACTTTGAAAGGTCAATTTCTCCCTACTTTTCTAGGGTATCATTTTATTTTTTCTATTGACCCTTCTTTCAACCACAGGATAAGTCTTTAGCTTGTTCCTTGTTTGACTAAGGTATTCCATAAGCAGTGGCGAATCCAGAAATTTTTTTAACCGGGTTCAAAATTAAATTATATAAAAAAAAATCGTTTTAATTGCAGAATTTCGATGGGAAGATGAAAAATGTCTCACAGAGATTTTTTTTTTAATTTTAATATCATGTTTAGTAGTTAAAATTAAACTAAAAGTTAACTTTGAATCTCTTTAAATATGTTAATATGAAAACCTAAAAATAAAACATAGACTAATATCTAAAATTTATTTATGGGTTCAGACTAAATAAGATAAGATTGGGAAAAGAAATAACTTATGGGTTCAATTATAATTTTAACATGGTGTTAATATTAATAAACTTTAATAAACTATAAACAAATTTCATAATCATATGGTGTCATTTGACACCGTATGATTTCACCTACGTTCGCCACTGTCCATAAGACATGAAGGTACAGACATATGCATTCCTCATGCTTACTTGTTTTCCTTGTGCTCTTTGAGCTTTTTCTCATAAACATTACTTACCATTTGGGATGGGAGAGAGAGGAGAACTCTTTAAAGATTAGACAAATCTTATTGAAAATCAAGCAAGGAACTGTCGACATGTATGCCAACCCCCTTGACAAGAGTGATTAAGATTGATTAAGGGTGAGGTTAACTCTAGATTGCTTGGTTACCTTAGAAATTTTGCTGAGCTAGCATGTCGATCCACTGTAAGAGCTTCTGTTAGGCTTGTGCCTTTAGCTGGTTTCTGCTCTAGGGTCATGGATTGTTAGCATAACACTCTCAATTCTCAAAGCAAGTTCATAACTTCCGGACTGGTTTTTGACTCAATAAAACTTTTTGAAAAACATGAAACAAAGTGAATAAAACATAAGAAAAGAAAGAAAAATGCATTAGTAACACAATAAAACTCCCCCCAGACTTAACTTGCACCGTCCCGGTGAAAGCAAATCACATTAAGGTGAGAGGTAATATTCAAAGTAAAAGAAAAATAAAGAGAAATTCATTAAAATGAGATAGGGATAGAAAATGGAGATTTGTAAGTGTCCATTGCACTAAGTACCACTTGAGATGACTATGTGTGGCAGTGAGAAGAACTCTCTTCCTCATCTATGGGGTCATCGCCTTCTGAACCAAGCTCTGAGTCTAGTGAGAACTCACCAAGGTCAGGCTCATATGGCTCTCTAGCGGTGGAAGAAGGGCGAAAGAGTCTCTCCGGTGCAATGTGGCGAACTACACGAACTAGGCGTGAGATGAAGCGAGATTGGCATTCCACTATCTTCTCCAGCTTGTTAACACGGTCTAGAGCTTGGTGCGCGGCCATGCCAGTAGTGAGAACATGGCGTTCTTGGTGGCGGCGTTGAGTCTTGACTGCATGCTGAAGTGTGCGATAGGTGAGCATGGGGAATGATGGTTTCTCACTTGATGGAACATAGAAGTCTTCCTCATTGGGCTGGAAAGTGACAACACCTGAGCGTAGGCTTGGGATGTCTTCATGTGGCAGCAAGACAAGGGAAGTGTTGGCTGGACCAATTGGAAACTCATAGCAAAACCGAGTTGGGTCTTTAGTCCAACGGTTTAGGAAGTGGATGTGCTGAAGAGCATGGAGATCCAAAGGGGTTGGCTTGGGTAGTGGCTCATAGTTGGGAATGTCAATCCCCACATGTTGTACTATGGCCGTGATAAGCCTCCCAAAACGAACACAAAGCTTCTTGTTGCCTTCCAAGTCTTGAGCTAGCTTCCTCACATTGATAAATGTCTTGGCAAGTAAAAGACCAAGGTTGGCCTTGTACTCATGCTTGATGAATGGTGTGGTGAGGATGTAGAACTCATCAGTTGTGACCTTGTTGGCTTCTTGTTTGCATTGGAAAGTGGTGGAGATGAGGCGGTGCACATAGCGAATGGCTGGATGAGTGATTCTAGACACCTTTGATCTTGAAGGCAAGAATGGTTCATTGGCAAAGTGTGTCCAATCAGCAAAGGCAGCTTGTTTCCTCTTTGAGTTCTCCTTGAAGTCATGTGCTGTCTCATTGGGAAGTCCAAAGAGTTGGCATAGAGCTGAGATGGAGATGCGCCCATTGGCATCGCCTATCTTGAAGAGTAGGAGTCCATCACCAGCTGGTTGGTCTCCATTGTGGTTGGGAAAGGCAAGAGCTACTGTGGAGAGGAACTCCTTGGTGAGTTGTGAGTACTCACTACACTCTAGCTTGAAGAGCTTGCTCAAGCCTAGCTTCCTTATGTACCATGTGACATCATCTCTTATCTTGAGAAGGTCAAGGGTTTGGGTGTCCATCTTCACACATGGTTCGATGTTCACCTTCTCCATTGCCTTCTTGCACTTTCTTGGGTCTTGGATTTGTTCTCCAACAAAGGTTACAAGTGCCCAATCATCTTCTCCTCTTCTTGGACTCTCCACATGTTCTTGATTGCATCAATGGAATGTGGTGAAGTTGGTATTGCTGCTCTTGCATTGGAGCTACTACTCCCTAGCTTGATTTGTTTCTTTGGTGGTTCCATGAATGGGTTCTTCTTCTTCTTCATACTCTCATTTCCTTTTGTCTTTGCCATTGGGTACCTACAAGAGCAAATTCTTGGGAAGAAATATGAGTTTGTGATTAATGCAAAAGAAGAATAAGCTAATTGAGTTGTAATAATGATATGGAATAATGGAACAACTCAAGGCTTAATCATGAATCAAAGAGACAAAATGGAAATTTCACTTTTTCAAAGTTAATTTTCGGATTTTACTGTTCATCCCAAGATTATGGTGCTTAAAATCAAAATTTTCAGCAAATCAAGAGAAATTGAGTTTCTAATCCAAGTAATCACTAGATAAACTAATGAATTGAAGTATGCCTAAGCAATTTCACCTTTGAATAAGGGGTTTGGAATGCCCAATAAGTTTTGTGAAAAACTATTCAATTGTGAAATTAAACTTCAAATAACTCTAAACCACCTAGGTTCCACCTAGCAAGTTCATTACAAGACTAATAAGGATGTAATTTCAAGTTTAGACAAGAGTTTAGACCAAACATGAAACTTATTGAAATTTCGATCTTGCATAAACATAGGATTAGAGTTAGAAGACATACCTTGTGTGTTGAAAAGTGAATAAGGTTGCAAGAGCAAGTAAATTCCAATTTAGAGTTATGAACAGTAAAAGTTTTGAAATCAAAGCTCTTAGAGTTCCTCTAATGGAGTTTAGGGTTTTGGAGAAGAAAGAGAGGTTCTTGTTGTTTTCAAGGGAAAGGTAAAGTAAATAAGATCTAATCCTATCAATTTTCCTTTTCAAATTCGAATTTTGATTGAAAACCGGTTTAAGTTGGTTTAGGATTGGTTAAAACCGGTTTGAATTAAATGAAAAGGGGACTTACCTTGGCCGAGAAAAGTTTTGGGCCGATGGCCGATGGATTTGTCGCGGTCGAGCGATTTGGTCGGCCAAATTCGAATGGACGAGAATTTCGGCCGAGGCCGATCGTTTGTTTCCCGGATCGACCGGCACGGTCGGTCCGTTCCGATACGAAATTCGGCCGATCGCGGCCTTTCTTTCCCGGTTCGTGCGTGCCGCGCGAACGGTTTTGTCGCGATAGATCAATCCGGCCGAGCAAGCCGTTCCTTCCCGGCTCGACCGTAACGGTCGGCCCGGTTGGAAATTGCTCGGCCAAAATTTTTGCGCGTCCGCGGCCAATGTTTGGCGCGGATTGTGTTTTCACACCTTTTTCTCCTTCTATCCTATCTTAAAACAAAGAAAACACAAAAGCAAAACAAAAACTAAGAAATTTAAAGAAAGAAAAGTAAAAGTACCTCATGGGTTGCCTCCCATGCAGCGCTTGTTTTAAGTCTTTAGCTTGACTGTAAGGCTTGGCGCTCAGGAGAAGATGGAGACAAGAGGCATCTTTGATCCTCCAAGTCTTTTCTCCTTGCAATGAGTATCTGGTGGGTGATTCACAGCTGGATAGACAATCTCTCCATGAATGTCCCTTGGCACTACTGCCTTAGGAAAAAGCTTTAGAGTTCTTGTCACTTTCTCCTTGAATCCTTCTAGATTCTCATCAATAAGCTCCTTTGGGAATAGAAGCTTCATGTTGCGGCCAGACCTAGGCTTTCTAACCTTCTTCTTGGCTTGGCCTCATCTTCAATCTTGGTTGATCCCTTGGGCGGTTTTGGTGTAGGGGCCTTAGTCTTACTCCTTGCTTGTTTGGCAAGCTGCTTGGGCTTAGGAATGGGATCTTCCTTGATTGTTTCTTCAGTTTCTCCTTCTTGGGGTGGCTTCAAAGTAACTTTCTCCTCTTGGACCATGTCAACAAAAGAGTTCTTTGTTGAACACATAGGGAAGAACATACCCTTGTTCACCTTGTTGAAAGAGATTCTTTGATTGGGGAAATCAAATATGGCACCCACAGTAGACAGGAAAGGGGTTCCAAATATGAGAGGTCTATGGCTACTCTCTCTCATTTCCACAATCTGGAAATCAGTAGGGATAGAGCAATTTCCAATCTGCACCATCACATTAGGCACAAAGCCATAGGGGTTTGTGAGAATGAATCAGCATAGTTGATGGAGATGGATGATGGCTCTATCTTGGTGAGGCCTATCTTGTCAGCTATCCTCTTAGACATGATGTTCACATTGGCTCCTGTGTCACACAAAGATTGCTCAAGAATGTTACCTTTGATGATACAAGGCACACAAACTTTCCTGAGTTATCTGTCTTGGGGATAATCTTTGGGAAGAGTCTTCTCTTTCTAGCTCGATTGGACTCTCTCTCTGGGTAATTCTCTTCAGGCCAAATCATGCAATCAACAGTAGGTTTTGAAAGCATCCATTCTGGAACTTGGTCTTCAAATCTTTCTTCTATGGCGGCTGAGTTGCAAAAGGACTTCTTGGATTCAGCTTCCTGTCTCTTAACAGCTTCCATAGTTTGAGTGACTTGAGTCTCTAGTTTCTTCACATGAGTGGCAACAGCATCATACTTGGTGTTGAGATTGCTGAACAAAGTGTCCATCTTCTCATACATCTCTTTAGTGTTTCTCTTCTGGCCATCCATGATCTGTTGGAGGATTCCTTCAAATCTCCCACCTTGTTGGTTTGGAGGAGCTTGATTTGGTGAAGAAGCATATGGCTCCTTGGGCGGATATGATGATCTCTGCTCATATCCTTGCCTTGGCTGAAATTGACTTCCTTGAGATTGGTAAGGAGGTCTTTGTTGTTGTGGATACCTTGGAGGATACACTTGGTCTTGAGGATTCTCCACATTGGGGTTTCTATAAGACATGTTGGGGTTTGGGCGATAGCTTGGATTGTATCCCTTGTTCCCATAGTTTCCAATGTAGTTCACATCTTCTTCATTGGCTTCATTAGAGAAATCTCCCATGCATTCTCTTGATGGGTCTTCATTAGCATCACTCATCCCTTCTATTGCATTGATATGCTTGAGCTGTCCCTTAAGAACTTGAGCCATCATGTTCTTGAGTTCAGTCATTTGAAAAGAATCAGGGGAGCTAGTAGTGGTGCGGCTTGAGCGGTCATAATCAGGACAGTTGTTACAATCACTAGCTGCAAGATTCTCAATAAGAACCTTAGCTTCATCAACAGTCTTGGTCATGAAGTTTCCATTGCTTGCAGTGTCCAATGAAAGCTTGTACTTGTGGTCTATGCCACGATAGAAGATGTTCCATAGGTTTCCCTCATTGAAACCATGATTAGGGCAGTCCCTAATGTACTCCTTGAATCGGTCTAGCGCCTCATAGAAAGATTCATTGTTGGCTTGGCGAAAGTTGGAGATCTTGTTCCTCACAGAAATTGATCTTTGCTTGGTGTAGAAGTGGTTGATGAAAGCCTTGTACTCATCCCAAGTGGTAATGGAGTGAGCTGGCAGAGACTTCAACCATCTTGAAGCTTTGTCGCCAAGAGAGAATGAAAAGAGCTTGCACTTAAGGTAGTCAGCAGAGACTCCATTGGATCTTGTAGTGCTGCAAATTTCTTCAAAGTTTTCTATGTGATCAAGAGGGTGCTCAGCTGGAAGTCCATTGAATTGGTTCTGTCTAACCAATGCTATGATCTGAGGCTTGATCTCATAGTCATTCCTTGCAGGAAGTGGTGGATGGATAGGGTTTCTATCCATGAAGAAAGCATCGGCAGAGTCATAGTCTCCGATTGTAGGTGCTCCAGCTTGAGGTTGTGCATTCACATCTCCAGCAGGATCTTGTGGATTAGGAGGAGGAGGAGGTGGATCTCTTCCTTCTTCTTGAGCGCGCGCCACTTCAGCGGCGTGAGCGCGAGCTGCTTCGTCGGCCATCTCTTGGGCTTTTTGCTTCCTAAGTTGCTTCTCAAGCTTGTCTATCTCTGGATGTTCAACTAGGTTGTCCTTGTTGGACCTCCTAGTCATGCACCTGAAAAGAGTCTTGGAAACAAGTTAAATCAAAAGGGAAAAACAAAAACAAAAGCAAAAATCAAAGAAAAGAAATCAAAAACTAAAAATTCAAAAGCAAAAGAAAAGCAAAACAGGAAAAGGTTCTAGACTAGATCCTAGTCGAGTTCCAAAGGTACTGCTGCAGTCCCCGGCAACGGCGCCAAAAACTTGATGTGGAGTCAGGTTTTACCAAACTCCTAGACCTCTGCAAGTGCACAGATCGCGGAAGTATGGGTATCGAACACAAGGACTGGCTATTGAGTACACTTTGAAACTATGGATTTTGGATCAAGCTAAAACAAAAGTATGATTGAGGTTGTAATGGTGAACCGAACTAGCAAGTATAACGAGGTTGTAAATCAATAAAGGAAAAGCGCTAGGTCATAGGGGCTATCGCAGAGAAGCAAGCAATGATCAATGAAACAATGATAGATGAATTGATTAGGGATATTGGGATATTAAGAACCGTCTAGAACACAGATCACGAATATAAAACCATTCCACTTTCGAGGCTCCGGCTCCTTTGTTAATCTACCTAGTCGCTAAACTTTTGGTATGTCCCTAGGTGATTAAATCAAGCATTAGAATGAATAGGTTCTGATACAGTTCACTAGATATAGTAGATCAACTTTCGCAGTCTAAGAAACCTAGCTTGTCAAAGAATATGTCCGGCGAATGATACAGCACTGTCGAGGCTCAAATCAACCTAAGATCGGATTACTAGATGCGCGGTAAAGCAATCAGCATTAGTTAAGTGCACAAGACGAGACAAAGACTCTAATATAATCCCTAGCTAATCATTGAAATCAAAGATCATGCAAGCAACTCATTGAATAGTAACCCTAGCAACCTAACTAGTGGATTACTCAGACATGATCAAAGCAAACACACATAGAGATGAAGAAAACATGATTGCAATAAAACTTAGAGTAGGAAATCGAAATACAAGGGCGGCTCTCTTTTCACAAGAGGCTAAAAAGCTATATATATAGTGCTAGGTCTTTTGAGGCGGCTTAGGGTTAAGCCGGGCTTGAAAATATGAAATCGGGCTTCAAAACGGGCTTCGGGTCGACCGCGGCGTTGGGACGGTCGGTCGGGACGATCGGCCGGACAGTCGGATCGTCGTGGGCGAGTCGGAACGGTCGTGGCCGGATGATTCTCGGTCGGCCGGCGTGGTCGGAGGGATGAGATTTGGCCGATGGTTTCTCGGCCGGACGTGGGACGTTTTCCCGGCTCGGACGGATGCATCGGCCGTGGTACGCGAAGGGTTGCGCGGCCGCGAGGCTTGTTCCCGGCTCGCGCGGCATGGTCGTGCGCGGCGTGGCGTGGAGTTGTGGCGTGGCCGACCGCGGGATGTTTCCCGGGTCGTGATGCGTGATCGGCCGGTCGGTTTGGAACTTTGGCCGAGACTTCAGACGGACGGATATGACTTTGGCCGAGCGGAACATGTTTCTCGGCCAGCCGGACTGCGCGGTTGGGCGCTGATTCTCGATAGAGCCGTCTGGACAGTCTTCACTCTTTTGGTTATAACTCCTTTTCTACTCATCCAAATGAGGCCATTCCAGTTGCGTTGGAAAGTTAACTCAATCAGAGCACGCAGGGAACTGGTCTTGATGAAATCCATTGAGTAGATCTTTTTCTGGGCCCTCTTAAAGTTGGTGCTTGTGCATGGAGCGGCTTGAAGTGCAAATCCTATGGTTTTGCTCCAAAATGCATCATTTCACCTGTTTAGACTCTAGACACTATAAACACAGTAAAACTACCTTTTTAGATAGAAAACCTGCCAAAAACCATTAGAAAACAATGCTAAAACAGTATAAAAAGTGGGTAAATTAGAGGTATATCAGATATAATGGTGCATCTGATGGTACATCTAGGAAGGGAAGCACAACTTGGTGGTCCAGTCCATTTTAGGTGGATATACCCATTTGAAAGGTATAATTTTCATTACATTTGACTTTCCTTGTTGTTATTTATACAATTTATAACCAGATACTCTTCAAACTTTCAGGTATATGAAAGTTTTGAAGGATTTTTTCAGAAATCCTGCTAGACCAGAGGGATGTATCGCTGAATCTTACCTTGCTGAAGAATGCATCCAGTTGTGTAGTGATTTTCTGAAAAATACTACAAGTGTGCAAGAAAAACTCGATAGAAACACCGAGTACGAGAACGTATCCATTCTGGAGGGTCGTCCAATCTCTGCAGGCTCTCCAGTAACTCTTACTGAAATGGAGAAGAACGTAGCCCATCTTGCTGTCATCCAAAACATGGCAGTCGTTGAACCTTACGTAGAGTAAGTTTACATTTGCATTTCCTGATCATCTTCTTCTAATGTTTCATAAGCTCAATATCTCATTTTACTTGTTTATTCTTTTGCAAGTGAGCACCTGCAACATCTACAAGATAGATGTAGACGTGATGCATCCGTACTCTGGAATATGCATACACAGAATTTTGCAACTTGGCTAAAAGAACAGGCTAGTTATAGATAATTTATATTTCTTATAATTACCATTTATATATTACAATGTGTATAATATTTACATATTTACACTTTTGTCAGATCCCTCTTGATTATACACAACATGGTGATACACTTAAGTGGTTGTCATATGGACCACGTTGTTCTGCAAGATCGTACACAGAATATATAGTGAATGGGCAACGGTTTCACACAAATTCAGTAGATAGGAAAAGTCAGAATAGTGGGGTTTTTTATGAGGCAACAGCAGTTTGTAGATCTAGTGCGAAAGATACATCACAGGTGGTTGATTGGGTGTCTTATTATGGCAGAGTAACGGAAATTATTCTGTTGGATTATAATGTATTCTATGTGGCTCTATTCCGGTGTTAGTGGGCAGTTCTTGGAAATGGAGTTAAGAAAGAAGATGGTTTCACACTTGTTAATCTGCATCACAATCAGACTTCTTTCTTACGAGATCCATATATTTTAGCCTCACAAGCGAAGCAGGTTTTTTACTCTAGGGAAGATGAGTCATCAAGTTGGTATGTGATTATGAGAGGGCCTTGTAGAAGATACAGTAAGGAAGAAGTCCAAGAAGGAAATGCAGACATTGGGCCATTGCCATCTACTATTGTCATGGATGTTGATATGGATGAGTCTAAGAATTCACGAACTTATTGTGAAGGCATATATGTTTGAAATGTAGCTTTTTAATCACTAGTACTCGTTGATGCATCTGCTGTCTCTATTGTGTGGTTTATCGTTTTGATTGTGTGGTTTTTTCTTTTTAAATGATATGCGTGACTTACTTTTTTTGATTATTAATTGTTTCAGATAGTTTAAAATGGCTCGGACCAAGCGAGGAAGGAAAACACATAAGAAAATCACGCAAGTTACTACTGAGGTGGTGGAAGATCAGCCGGAGTTAGGAGACGATGGACCTGTGGAAAACCAGCCGGAGTTAGGAGATGATGGACCTATGGAGGAGCAGACGGAAGTAGGAGGTGATGGACCTTTGGCAGATGAACTTGATCGTGAAGAGGAGGAAGAACATGAAGGTGAAATTGTGTTATCAGAACATGATGACTCTGCAGCTGAACCTAGACGTAAGAGACAGCGAGGTCCGACTATGATGAAAAACATAGCCAAGGATCCAAACAACAAATTGCGAGTAGAGTATACTTTCACAGGTGAACCATATGGTTATGGATCAGTAAAAATGTCTTCATACTTAGGTCCACTGGTCTGAGAACATGTTCCTGTGACACTTACAAGCTGGACAAAACTTAGTGAAGCTCTGAAGACTTCTCTGGAAATCTGTGCAGGTAACAGGATTCTTGAATAAGTTGACTAATGATTTTACATTTCTTTTGGCTTTTAATGTTTGCTTACTAAATTGAATCAAGCAAGATTTGAACTAGATGAAGATTATCAACGGAAATCGGTGCTGAAGCAGTTGGGATGTCTGTGGAGGTCATCAAAATCACGCCTTGTTACTCAAATCCTTGAAGCGACGAATAATCAACAGAGGATGAATCTAAGACCAAAGAATGTTTCTCCAATGGATTGGCGCAAGTTTGTCAAGCTCAAAACCAGTCAAGAATTCAAGGTATGATTAAGAGAAATCAAAATTATGCTGATATCATATATGTAGCGGATTATAATTATCATTCATTTGTTAGGCTGTTAGTGATAGCTACAAGGAAAGAAGGCGTAAACAGATTCCTCACACTTGTAGTCGCAAGGGAATGGTTAGACTTGCAGAGGAAATGGTTAGTCCACTCTTAACTTGTTAAATTATAAGTTCAGTCAACTGTAACATTTTTTAATCGTTTTCTTTTTTCAAAGAAATCTGTTAGTGGAAACCCCGATGAAGTGACTCGCTTGAAGGTGTGGGTGAAGTCGCGTACCAGAAAAGATGGAACACCGGTGAACACAAATGCTGCTGACAAGATGGTGAGAATCTTTGTTATTATTACCAATATAGCTGATTTCTGATATGTGACTATTTGAAGTCAATACTTACCCAACTGTTAGGACCTGATAATCCTGGCAGAATGAGGGTCTTGGGTAGGAACATGACTAAGACGAAATTAGCTGCTTTCGAAGTTAAACACAAGTGTATGACTGAGATGCAAGAGAAACAGTTTCATCTCCTGCAGAAAGTGAATGAGTTGCAAGATGAAATTACAAATCTGAAAAAACAGGTTAGTAACAGAAGATATTTATAGGTCTAGTGATTACAATTTTGGTATAGTTACTTATTAGTTAATGTTTCCTTGCAGCGACAAGAACCAGAAGTTGGTGAAAATTCGGCTGCAAAAGTAAGTCCTGATTCTTACACTGTTGAATTATTTGTTCATTCATATACAGCGAGTAGAATCTGACATATGATTTCTGCTTGTACTCTTTAGAGTGTCAACAAAAGATTACAACCCAAGTGTGTTCTGGTTGACTGGGCTGGAACAAATGAAAACGTTGCTGAGGGAAGAATTATTTCTTCTGAACCAGATGACTTGGTGAATGACACTCGTTTAGGCCCCACGGATGTGAAAGTACTTGTTGATTCCGCAACTGTTCCAGATGCATTTCTTTGGAGACCGGCAAGTAACATGTTCACAATGGTTGAAGCTGTAGTACAAATGATTGCATGGCCTACCTCTAAGTGTGTTGATCTAGAACCAGTGACAGAAGCAGTAGACATTACACCACTGGTATAAGTTCACTCACTCTCAAAACTCATCTTACTGATCAATGAGTTTATGTTTATGATGGTAAAATAGTATAATAAGACTGTGTAATTGCTCATTGCGTTTGACAGGGTTAAAGAGCGACCTCAATAAACAAATGCAAACTACTTGATTTGTCTTCAGATGATGTTGTTGTTGCTGAAGGACGCTGGCAGACAGAAGAACCAAAAGCATTGGTTAATGGTCTACCTCTTGGGCCAAAAGCTGTTAAAGTGTTCCTACGATAGAAACGACATACCTTGAGGACTGTCTTCTGTCTTTTGTAGCATGGCATGCCTGCAAAGTTGTCTTCGAGAACAGAGGAGAGGTTGGAACAGGGCATAAATTTCCGTTTGACAACTCTGTTTCAACTGATCAAGCTTTGGGAGGTAAATCAGTGGGCACTGGTTCACGTTCTGTGGAGAAGTCATTTAGATTTGATGCAACTGGTTCAAAGTCAGCGGCCAGAGTTTCAAAATCAGCTAGTCAGAAGTCTCCAGAAACAAATCCGGTAAATGCCTTTTAGAGTTGTTTAAATATTGCTTGTCTATACCATTTTATGTGTATAAAATGGTTGATACTAAGAACATGGCAACTTCAACAGGGAGCAGAGGTTATCAAAGAAAATCAGAAGTGCAAGCTGATGGATATTGGTGGAAGGAAGCTGGTTGTTGCTGAAGGTCGTGTGCATTCGATCAATCCATATCAAATGGTACACTTTGTTAGATTGGGGTCTGATGCAGCAAGAGTTTGAATGGACATAGTCAATGTCGATGATGCAGCGGTTTGGAAGCCATCAGATGAAATAGAACTCTGAAAGATGCGCACGGTTCATCAATCGCATGGCCGATGGATAAATTGGTCATCTTTTGAGATTAAGCAGCACCAGGTATGTTATGTGGTCTGTGTTTATTGTTTCTGCGTCTCTTTTCTCTTGAGCAAGTGTATATGGTAAACTGATCAAAGACATGCATTACTGTTTGTTGTAGGGGGATGAAGCAAGTTTGGTCCAGATTGGCTAGTTTTAACTTGTTTAAGACTAGACTAATCTAAAAGTTTGACTTGTGTTATGTGTTTGGCAGTTAGACTTATGTGTACTTGTTTGAATGAATATTCACACTTATGTGTGTTTGTTGTATTGTATTCAGATTTTTGCATTGCTTTTTTAAATGGAATACATTTATGGAAAACAAGATCATATGATAGTTATTAGGAAATTCATATAACAGCATAAAAAAGAAAAACCAAATCGTATTTAATAGCAATAAAAAGGAGCCACTAATTACTGTATTATAGCAGATCTCAAAACTACGCATAGCATTGCTGAAAAGCTATAGTATACGACATGTTTTATAGCAACGAATATGATTGCTATTGTATAACGATCCACCATAGCAAAAATAAGATTGCTATTGTATGGGGCTCTACCACAGCACGTAATATGAGTTGTCAACGGATTATTTGTAGCTTTAAAAATTTGCTATGATACCTGAATCTATCGTAGCATTCTGAAAAAATGCTATCCTATGGATACCATCTATCATAGCTGCCGATGTCATAGTATATGTGAAAACGCTATCTAATCCATATGATGGCAAATTTGTCGTGCTAACAATGTAGATATTTCTTGTAGTGATAACTGAGTCTATGTGTTAATTTGATTATGTGTGTTAGTCAGTTAATAGTCATAGGGGGTGGTATTGGGAAACAATTGTGATTAATATGATAAACTCTTTCCCAAATAACACGAGCATTTTGATTCCATCTTATATGATTAGTGATTGCTTTCAAACGTCTATTTTTGCATTATACCATAAGTCTTTATGTTATCAATTCTCTTTGTTTATTTACCATTACATGGAACAAACTCTGCTTCTTCGCCATCACTTTTCGTTGGATCCGTTTCTCCGTATAGTAAGAGAATTTAGATGTTTAATAGTGATTCAAGATGGAAGCTGAATCATAATAGTTTTAAAATAATAAAGTAGTTTTAATTATAATTAATTGAAATGTTTAGCAAATAAATTAGATTTAAAGTTATTAATTGAAAGGAAAATGAAAAATCATACTATATATCAATCACATAAGTGTACATGTGTCGCATAAATGGAGAGGATTAGCCTCTTTCTATAAATATGATTTCTTGTAAATCTAATATTAGATTTATGGATTGAGTCCTACCCAATTAAGTTTTTCTTTTGGTAAAACAAAAGAAAATTTATTAGTTGTCTTAAATAATTGAAATCTCAAATACAAAAATTGTTATGAAAATCTGTTTTAAATCAAATGTTCCACCCAATTTAGTATAAGATCTTTGTCAATTGTCATGCATCCAACTTTTAATATAAAGATTTTTCTCTCGTAAAGCTTCTTTATTGATTAACAAAAAAAACAAAAGTTAACACTTATTTCTGTATATAAATACACAAATGTCTTCCTCGCCTTCTCTTATATTTACCATCTCTAGCGCAAAATAAAAGCTTCTGAAATAAAAAAATAAATAACAAAAGTTTCTCTTCAAAGCATGGCTTCTGGTTTGTTTTTTTTTGTTTTTGTTTTTTATATTATTCATGCTTCTTCAATAGTTAACAAAATGGTTTGACTATTTTCTTTTATCGGATTGATTATTTGTATATGACAATTCTATATATAGGTAGTGGAAATGTTTCCTCGAAAAATAATAAAGGTAAAGGTAAAAAAAGCGAACCTGTCGTGAATTTTGGAGTGACCAATATTATTAAGCCCACAGGAACTCATAAAGCCACAATAGTCTGGCTGCATGACATCGATAACCCAGGGTATCCCCCCTATCCCATGCTTTAATTTTTATTTTTATCTTTGTTTTTAAATAAAAAGAAACAACTTATTATCCAATCAATTACAAACCATGCTTTTGAAGTACTTGTCTTTTCTTACAAGATATTACGTTCGTTTCACTAATGTTATATGTATGTTCACTTTTATATATGCAGAGCAATAAGATATCTGGAAAAGTTAAGACTTCGCAATGTATGTATCCATTAACATATCTATTTTTCTTATAACCAAAGTGAAAATTTAAAGGGTTTTTTTCACTTCTAGTACAAGATTTGGGGTCAAATGCAAAAGTAGTCTCCATTGTAAAATATGATTTTTCCTTCCTTCTCTATCCTCACCATATTCACATAATAACGAAAATGCCATTACTTTTTCCCACAAAGTCTAACTGTGAAGTCTAATTCACAAAATAAATATCCAAAGAAACCTCATCTTCTTCACTTATTCACGAAAATGCCATCACCATCAATTCATCCAACAACCATTCTCAACCAAAATGAAGCTTTGAATGCAAGATTTATTCTTCAAACATATCTACCAACTCATTATATCATCTCATAAACTTAGTTTTTCATCTTTCTTCTCCATTTTCACCCAAAAAACTTATTTTCATCTTTTCAAAATTAAGGTTCTTAGATCTTCCATTTTCGGTGTGGGAGATCATTATAACGGTTGGGGAAGTTTGTGAAGCTCTAAATCGAAGTTCTAGGCCGTCAACAGAAACTTAAGATCACGGCAAGGTAAAATTCTGATAGATCTGAGTGAATTTCATATTTTTGCAGGTCCTTAGACTTCATAACGAAGTCTAACAAACTAGTTTTGCAATTGAGTTTTCAAAATTTTAGAGAGTTAGACTTCACAATGAAGTCTACCCATATTCCTTTGAAAACAAAAAAATATGGCATAGACTTCAGAATGAAGTCTACAAACATATTAGTTTTGCAATTGACAGAATAAAACTTTTTATGAGAAGTCTATCGGTGAAGTCTGCTTCGAAAAAAGACTAGTTTTGCAAACTTTCAATAGTTTGTTTTATCGTGAAGTCTACCCCTGAAGTCTATTAATGCTAGTAGACTTCATTTCAAAGTCTAATACAGGGTTAGACTTTATTTCGAAGCCTAATTCTTGATAGACTTCTTTTGAAGTCTAATAGTCAACGTTTGTCGGAGTAGACTTCACGATGAAGTCTATTTTCTAAATTCAAAAATTCGATCAATTGCAAAACTAATCCCTATGAAGTCTAATTTATGTTGTAGACTTCACCAGTAGACTTAATTCTCGAGTTAGACTTCATTTTTAAGCCTATTCACGATAATGAAGTCTATTTGAAAAAGTCAAAGTTGGTCAATTGCAAAACTAGTCTTTTTTTGCGGTAGACTTCACGTGTAGACTTCATAAAAAAATTGTCATTTGAAAATTGCAAAACTAGTCTATTAGACTTCACAGGAAGTCTACGAGATACACTTCTCGTGAAGTCTACTATTTAATGTTTTATTTGAAAACGCTTTTTTGGAAAATCTATAACGAATTTTTAAGATTTTCTTGAACAATTGGTTGAGTTAGTCTGTTTAGTTGATTGTGTGTTAGTTTGACATGCTTATTCGTTATATACAAAGCGAAAACGATTTTCTTGTTTGGTTAGCACATTATATATTACCTGAAGTCTACTCGGTAGACTTCTTGAGAAGTCTACTATTTGATGTTTTTTTCAAAAACGCATATTTGGAAAAGTTGTAATAAATTTTAAGATCTTCTTGAACAACTAGTTGTATTATTCTGTTAAGTTGTTTTGTGTGGATTTTACATGCTTATATTCATTATATACAAAGTGAATATGGTTTTCTTGTTTGATTAGTACATTAGATCATTACTAAGTAGAATTCTTTATGAAATCTATTTGTGAAGTCTACTCCTAATATCTAATATCTGTTTGAACTTAGTCAATTTAAGCTAGGTAAATTACATCAAATATGCTTTTATTTGGTTTTTTCAGAACAATTGTGAAGTTTACCCGTGAAATCTGATATTTGTTTGAACTTATTTTGTTTTAGCTAGGTAAAATGCATAAAAGATGCTTATATTGAACTAGTAATGATGAGTATTTGATCATTACGATAAGATTATTATGCTTCTATTGGACTAGTAATAATCTACTAGTAATGATAAGTAGATTATTTCTTTTGGTAGTATTGTTTTAAGGTTTCTGTTTGTGAATTCTCTCTTATTGATCATCCAAGAAGAAAAGTATTCATATCCGCATCAAAGTTTTCATAAACATAAGAAACAATTCAAATCTCAAATGTATGATTAGACAGATTATTATATATTTTTATTTACAATTCAAAACATTCCTTCAAAGTTGAACTTTTACACCATGATGAACTAACATGTCAAAGAACGTTTCCACTAACAAACCCCTAGATCTATATAGTTTCTTTCCTTGTTCTGGTGTTGGAAACTTGGAATCATGGCTTTATTGATCTATGTTGCTCTGCCTTCTATGGTGAAAAGTGATGATGGAGAATTGCAGATTTTTGCGGTCTTTGTTCTTGGAGAGATGCTCAGGCCTCTCCATGATCCGCCTTGTTACAGTAGTGGAGCTGATGGGAGTAACTAAAGCTGGTGTTCTTGCAAAAGATGGTAAAGCCTTCACCTATAAGACTTCCAACACAAGAAGATCAGTATAAGCAAGAATCGGAGAACTACAACACAATTAACACACTAGACCAATGTATAGCACAGAAACTTGGTCAGATAAACAGAGAACCCAGAACCAAAAGAGAAGAGAGTATGAGTACTGGCTATTTTTCTTTTTTTTGACATCTTTAAACAAAGAATTTTAATCGACAACATAAAAAAAAAAAAAACAGCATCAAAATTTACTTTATGAAGGGACTGAGAGTCAAAACATTACTAAACTTATCAGCAAACACTTCTCTACCACTCAATTCAATAAAGAAATGTAAAAAGGATATCGAACAACCAAATGGGTACATCGCTGGTAAAGGTGAGTATAGTACTCACCTCCAAGATTTTCTGTTGCTTCCTTAGAGACTTTTTTCTTGCATCTGCGCAAGAACCAAAGAAAAAAAACATAATTAAGAAGACCCATTCAGCTCAATACAAATACACCCTGCAACACAATTAAGAAGCTTCAGCCTAAATTTTTTGTCTTTCATAACTCTATAGAAACAATCATGAATCAAAAAGCTAACCTATTTCTTGAATAAAACAAACAAGAAAAAAAAAAGAAGCAATTAGAGACAAATAGATCATAAAGGGAGTTGAAATTGGCACAAGACCAAACCACAAATACAATTTCGTTACAGGCATAGGCACAAAGATACAGTCCAAAATGAACACACAAGCAAAAATACCTAAAGGAAAGAGAAGAATAAATAGAGAGATGAAGACGGAGAAAGAAGAAGAATAAGGGCTTACAGTTATGAAAACAGGCCAGAGATTTTGCGGAGGTTCACGGCAGGATCTGGAAGATTCTCGCCGAAGATTCAAAGGCTTCTCTATCTCAAACATTCCATCACGAAAAGCTACATAAAACAAAACCAAAAAGAAAAACCCGTCAAACAACAAAAACAAGCATGGAGCTGCAGTAATAAAGCGTAGAATTTGACTCATCCACTCAAAGAAGAGGTTCAACACAGCTTACTTTAGACGTTGAGCAGCAGCAACCTTGGTCCCGATCTCACGGTTGATGCAGCATTGGTTCCAGCGATTTTTGAACTATCTTCGTTTAATCTCCAATCCCTGTTAATCAATCAAACACCAAAGATAAAAATACAAAAAAAAATAATCACTAAAAGACCTAAAATTAAAGAGACATGATTTCTGATTTCATAGAGAGCTGTAATTAGCATCAGATCTATACCTCTCTAAAGGTTTCTTCGCCTTCTCTAACTCTCTCTGTTTCCTCAAAGCCCTAGCCTTTGTCTTATCGAAGGGGCCACAGATCTCCTCTACGGTTTCCAGAATCCAATCTACCAAATCCCCAAAAATCTTACATATAACCTAAATGAGGCAAAAGTATACCTCATCAGGCAGATGAAAACCAAATTAAAAAAAAAAAAACCCCACATTCAATAGATATAAGAACACATTCGCAGCAAGAACATTGAAAACAGAAATTAAAGTGGAAGAGAGAAGCGAGATAACACTTGTAAAAGGATGAAGCGAGAGAGATTCACCTTGCAGGGAGGGAGATCCAATGCTGAGAGGGGAGATGCGAGGAAAAATGAGCAGCATAGAGAGAGAAAGGAAAAGACGAGATAACGAGGCAATTGAGAGAGAGTACTGAGATAACGGCGGTGAAAGGATGAAGCTTTGGTGCGTAAGGAGAAGGAGAAGGAGAAGGGAGAGGAGGCGGTGGTGAATGGCGAGGGAGAGGCGGCGAAGGGCAACGGCGACTGACTTGCTCATGCGAGAAGCAGCAGTGGAGATGCATTGGAGCGAATAGAGAGCCGCCATTAGCTCAGGCGAGAAGAAGCGGCAGAGGTTCACGGATAGATAAGAGAGAGAAAAGCCCCTCGAGATACATATTTTTTCTACAAAATTAGGGTTATTCCTTTATATACCAAGATAAAATTTTCGGTTAGGTGATAAAATTTCCGGTTAGATGAAAGAAAATTTTGGTTAAATTTGGTTAAATAGACTTTTTCATGAAGTCTATAGAAGAAGTATATATACGAAGTCTCCCAATCCGATTTAATTTGTTTGATTCCCGCTAATTCTTCCAAAAAAGAATTCATTTCCCGCTGAATTTATTTTTGAGTTTTAGATTTTATTACAAAGTCTATTTATAAAGTCTACTACTAAAGTCTGCTTAACCCTAATTCATAAATCAAATATTTTTGACCAAAACTTATAAATAACATTATTTGTGCTTGCATATTCACAATTTACACTCTAAAGTATGAATATATATGAACTGTAAATCATTAAACGAACTTGAAATAATTTTTCAAATCAAAATTCTCTAAACCCTAACAAACACAATCATAAACCCTATATATTAACCCTCAAATACTAAGTTTGGTGATTGGTTTACTCATAAAACTTATAATTTGGTTCATTTTCATGAAATTTTATTTTACATCGGTAGAACTTGTCTTTATTTAAATTATGTATAACTTTATTTATCAAAATTTATTTTTTTTATAGATTTTAAACTTTAAATTTATGATTTTTTTATTTAGTAGACTTTTTGAGTAGACTTCACACAAAATATATCCGGTTCCCGCCCAAAATATTTCGTTTCCCGCTCACTTTTTGGAATTACAGACTTCGTGACAAAATGTAACACTGAAGTCTGACTTGCCCTAAACCCTAAAACAAATTTTTAAGATCAAGACTATAGGAAACATTAATTATGTACACATAATCACAGTTTACATTATAAACTACGAATTGGTAAGTTTTAAATTGTTAAACGAACCGCAAACATTTTTTTTGGTCAAAACTATCTAAACCCTAACAATGCTCTTGATAAACCCTATACAATATACCTCAAACACTAAGATGTTGATTTGTTTACTCATGAAACTTATAAATTGATTCATTTTCATGAGATTTTATTTTTCATAGGTAGGACTTGTCTTTATTTAAATTATGTATAACTTTTTTTATCAAAATTATTTTTTTATAATTTTAAACTTTAAATTTTATATTTTGTTAATAAGCTGACTTCATCAGTAGACTTCACACAATTTTTTGGGAATTTTATCATAATTTGTCTTACTTGATTTAAACTGATCGGTTTATATGTAAATTTATTTTTCATCAATAGTACATGTCTGTGTTAAAGTTATGTGTAAATTTCTTTACCAAATTTTTATTTTTATAAATTTTAAAATTAAAATTTAAGATTTTACCATATAGTAGACTTCTCGAGTAGATTTCACACAATTTAGAGGTTACAAACCTAATTAATCTTAGTTGACTTAAATGGATTCATTTATATGCAATTTTATTTTTAATTGATGCAAAATGTTTTCATCTTATTTATGTATAATTCTTTTTAATCAAATTAATTTTCTTTAATTTTATAATTTAAATTTAAGTTATGATTAGGAATTAGACTTCATCATGAAGTCTACTATGTAGTAGACTTCATGATTAGACTTTAGATAGGGTAAAACAGACATTATGACTCGTTTTTTGTTTGTTCATAAGGGTGTGGTTTGTAATTTGGCATGTCCAAAAGACTAGTTTTGACATAAATGCAATAAGGGGTCTAATTTTGCATTTCAAATCAAATTGTGTACTATATTGAGCAATTCCCCCAAATGAAGTTTTCTAATCAACATAAATAATTTTGGCGTAGGTAAAATGGATTTGTCCAAATGCTCCTATACGTCCTGTCACTTCCTTGGGTGGAAACCAAGTCTATGCATGTAAGTTAGTTTACTTTAGAAATGAAAACCAATATATTATATATTTGTGTGTTTATAATTTTCTATGACGAATCAGGGTGTAACATCACAAAGGTTTCGGAGGGAATGGAACATGATTTTGAAGCTTTAGATCATGTAAATTTACATGTTGCTAACCTTTTATCTAATGAACCAAAAAATGGTAATCCGGAATGATTTACACTTACCATGCATTTTTAGACTATATGATATACATCAAATATGTATGAATAAATACATCAATTAGTATATATATTAAATTTAATGTCGGTTTTAACAGTCATTAAAGGAATAGGAGGTGTCGGCTTGGGAGCAGCAGCTGCTCTCTATTTTGCGACTACATATGCTTTTGGATCTATTTCTCCAAAAATAAAACTACAAATTGTTATAGGAATCAATGGCTGGCTTCCTGGTTTGGTGTAGGCTCTTCAAGCCCTTATGTCACTTGTCATATTTTTTTTTCTAGAACAAAAACATACATTTATTTTATTCTACTAATGTAAAATCAAACTCGTTCTTGTAGGAGCTTAAACTATTTTATGAATCCTGATTCTAAAACCTCTACACGTATTTCATCGCTACGAATCTTACTAACCCATGGAACATGTATGTCTTCTAATAAGTTATTAAGATCATATATATATTTCTGTACTTTAGTATTTAGACAACAATGTTGAGATCATGCTAATTCTTGGGTTTTTTTTTTGAGTCACAGCTGATGATGTAGTTCCCTCAGAGTTTATAAACAAATGTGTTCTTTCTCTTACGAATCAGGGATTTACAACCGACTTCAAACAATGCGGAGGGTCATTCTTTACACCGATCTTTTCAAATTTTTTTTTTGTTTTGGCTTTAATAACCATATTTTCTTAACAAAATTTTCTGAATTTGGGTTTTTTCTTTTGCAGAGATCATGCACTAAACGAGATCTGCGCCTGGCTTGCACAAAAGTTCGGAATCTGAGGATTATAATTGTCAATTGAACTCTGCATGAAGAAAATAACTAAGGACCAAAACTACCGTACAAGACTATTAATATCCATTAAATAATAATAATAATAATAATAATATAAGAATAAGAATTATATTCATTATCTTTATCAAAAATATTTATTAACATCTGTTATCAGTTTTAGCTTTCATTTTTATTTATTTGGATATGTAATTCGTTGCTATTCATAATCAAATCTCTTATTATATAAAGCTGGATATGCGTGGTTGCAACACATATGATTTTTATAATTCATAAGATGGTGACATATGTTATTTTTAATTTTACTTCTACATAAATCTTGACATGTGTCTTAGAAAATAAAAGGAAAAAAAAAACTAATTATAAAGGTGTTAAAGAGAGGAAAATTGTATTTTTCATATTCTAACCGAAAAAAGTTTCATATTCTAATGGAAAAATTATTCATATTCTAAAAAAAAAAGAAAAATTAAAGTGAAAAAAAAACAAATTAAAACGTGTGAAAAAGGGGTAAAATTATATACCATATTCTTATGGGAAAAGAAAAACAATATTTCTGCATGCCTCATATATATTCTAATATAAAAAAGGATCCATATTCCAGTCGTCCTCCTTGTTCTTCGTCAGATTCACCTTCTTCAATCCGTTTTTCCCCTCTTTTCAACCTAGAATCAAGGTGAGTGCATGACTGTGGGTCCGTGATTGCTAGATTCAGGATTTGTATGTGTTTATGTGGTGATTTCGTGATGATATTGATGTTTGATTCAGTATTTATGGTTGTTTGAGTGATTTCCTGCGAATTTCGAGTTTCAGGTACTGTTCATAGTCCGATCTGGGTTTTTCCAGAATCGGTGTCGGTCGACACCAGAAGGCTTGTGTCGGTCGACACCAAGCTGGTGTCGGTCGACACAGACCGGTTAACTCTGGTTAAAATCAATTTAATTGGTTTAATTGAATTTGGCTGGTTTAAATCAATTGGGATGGTTTAATCGATTTTGGTTGGTTTAATTCGTATTTAATTAATTAATGAGTATTTTAATTAATTAAATGGTTTAAAATAATTAAAATAATTATTTTAAAATATGGAAAATTATTATTTAATTATGAGAATTATTTAATAATTGAGAAATTGAGTTTTAATTATTAAAAATTATTTAATAATTGGAAAATGGAATTTAATAATTATTGGAGTTTATAATAATTATTTAAATGTCTAGTAATTGCGTAAATGGCTCGTAGGCAGAGTGATTGCCTCACTAAGTATTTATTAAATACTTACGCAACTCCATTCCAATGTGTTGCAGGTAAAAGATTTGTGTGATCGCGGAATCAAGGCTGAAGAGGGGGATGATAGGATGTTTACTGTTTTATTGTTTTGCATTATTTGACTTGCTAGTACCTGGTGTTTAGGTTGCTAGTATTTCCTTTAATTATTTATTTGAATTTATTTGTTGAACCTGATTTATTATTATTTATTTATTTAAAGACTTCCGCTGAATTGTTATTTAATTAATTTAAAAAAAAAATGTTGGTTGTTTCAATAATAACTTGTCTCGACACCAGCCAAAGGAACACTCGTGTTCGCTCCGAAGCTATCACACGCCATACTCGAGTAAACAATGCTTCCATGTTCGGTCGAGGTACAGTATCTCTGGTGAGGAACGCGTATGCCGTCTTCACCGAGTATTCACCATCCATAGTATAGCCCCATGACACTCGATCACATCCCCGTGTGAATTCATCTAGAACAGCTGACATGAGTTGCAATCTCACTTCCTCAGAAATATATGGGGCGATTTGATTCAGATTCCAGCCTCTTCCACTCTGCCACAAATCTCTAACTTTCACCTCCACCAGATTTGGTGGTATCTCATTCACCGCAACCTCCAATAGCGTATCCGGCACTAGCCATCTATCTCTCCAAAAACTAATGGATTTTCCATCTCCAATCACCCAACTGAGCCCCGGTATTACCACATCTCTCATTCCCTGGAGTACGCTGCGCCAAGTAGATGACTACTGCCCTGTCCTTCTCCACCAAGCCGCATCTTTGATATCTTTTATCTTATACTTACTCCTCAGCACCTTTGCCCATAGTGAAGTATCATCCTTCAGTAGCCGCCAGCTCAGCTTCGCTATGAGGGCCTTGTTCATGTCTTGTGACCTACGAATCCCCAAGCCGCCTTCTCCTTTAGGTAGTAAATGTTGCTTCCTCCATTTCGTGGTATCTCCCCACACAAAGCTCCTCGAGATCGTATCGAGTCTGGTTATCGTTGATTGCGGTACCACAATTGTGCTCATCGTATGGACGGGGATCGACGATAGCACCGATCTTGTTAGTGTGATTCTTCCAGCGAAGCTTAGCATCTGTCCCTTCCATCCGGCTAGACGTGATGACACTTTCTCCAGTACTTCGCCAAATGTGTCATTATTTATTCTCTTCTGCAACACATGCATTCTCTTCTGTAAGGTTTAGTTTTTAGTACTGCATTTTAAAATTTTTGACTACACTACATTACCGAATAAATAAAAAATAAAAAAATAAATAAATAAATAAAAACTTCTTTAAAAAAATTAAAAGCAAATCTTGATCCAATTTGTAATGTGAGGTTTGGATTTAGGGTGTAGGGTTTATATTGATGGATGTAGGGTTTAGTTTTTGGTGCATTTTTAAAATTTTAAATAATTATCAAAATATATCAAAATTAAAAATTATTGATTATAAATTTATATATACTATTCAAAAATACATTCACAAATAGAAAAATCTAAAACAATTAAAGTAAATCCAGAATCAAAAGATAACAACACAAATATATTTTTGAAAAATTTCCGACTATATAAAGATAAAAACTATTTCACGAATTCTTGAAAATATAAACTATCGAATGAATTGATAAGTGAAATACAAGATGTAGACAAGAACAAATAAAAACATGAGTAAAAGAAAAGAAGACTGTGGAAAAGAAGATTGTAAGCTTCGAGAAGAAGAAGAAAACTTGAACATGAGGAAAGAAAAATCAAAGAAGAAAAAATGGTATGTAAAGAGAAAAGAAATCAGAAAAGAGGTAAGTAAAAATTAGAATAAGATGATGCCAGAGAAGATAAAGATGATAAAGTTAGAGTGAGAATGAGTGAAGAAGAAGAAAAACCGGAAAAAAATGTAAACAAAATTAGAAATAAAAAGAAAAAATTTGAATTGGAGGATGTAAGACTGAAGAAAGAAGAAGAATAATAAAAAAATAAAAAAGATGATGACAAGAAATATAAGAATAGAAGAAAAAGAAGAAGATATGATTACTAGAGAAGAAAACAAACATTACAAAAGAAAAACTTTTTCCAAAAAATAAAAATAAAAGAAAAGTAAATCCAAAACTAATTTGTAATATGGGGTTCATGTGTGTGGTTTAGTAGGGGGGTATAATGTGGGTGTGAGTTTAGGGTGTAGGGTTGTTTAGAGGTGGGGTGTTATAATGTGGGTTAGGGTTTAGGGTGTAGAGTTGTTTAGGGGGGTGTTATAATGTTGGGTTTGGATTTAGAGTATAGGGTTGTTTATAAGGGAGGTTACAATGTCGATTTGGGTTTAGGGTTTATATTTAGGGGTGTAGGGTTTAGTTTTTGGTGCATTTTTAAAAATTCGATTATTATGAAAGTATATCAAAATTAAAAATTATTTAATATAAATTTATATTTACCATTCTAAACTACATTCACAAATAGAAAAAAAAATTAAAACAATTGAAATCCATAATCAAAAGATAACAACATAAATAAATTTTTAAAAGATTTAACTATAAACATGAAAACTATTTCACGAATTATTGCAAATCTAAACTATTGAATGGATTGATAAGTGAAATACAAGACGTAAATAAGAACACGTAAAAACACGAGTAAAATAAAAGAAGATGGGAAACTTCGAGAAGAAGAAAACTCGACCATGAAGAAAAATAAAACAATGAAGAAAAAATTGAACCTGATGAGAAAAACACAAACACAAAATAAATAAAAACTAGAATAAAATGATACCACAGAAGACGAAGATGATAAAGATAAAGAGAGAGGAGGAATGAGGAAGAAGAAAACTTGATAAGGAATGTAAGAAAATTAGAAAGAAAAAGAAGAATAGTGAGTTGCACGATATAAAAATACTGAAGAATAAAAACTCGAAGAAAAAGAAGAAAATAAGATCGATAGAAGAAAATAAGAGGAAGAAGAAAACAACCATTACAAAATTTAATGATATTTATCTGTTTTCTCAAGTTCATATCAAATTAACAAAATGTTAAGCTATTGTTTCTTTGGAAAATAAGCACATTACAAAAATATTAAAAGTAATTAAAAAGAAAATGCGTTAATACTCCTTTAATTTTATCCCAATTTATAAGTAGTTTTGGGTATCTTATTATATAAAGCTGGATGCGCACGACGTGGTTGCGACACGTAGGATTTTTATAAAATTCAGGATCGCGACATGTGTCACTTTTAAGTTTATGTCCGTTAAGATCGTGACACGTGTCTTAGGAAAAAAAGAACTTAAAAAAAAAATTCCAGAAAAATGTTAATTAAAAAAAACGAAATTTAATTTAATCTATTATATCAAAAAGGAAAAAATAATATTTGCCATATCCAAACAGAAAAAGGTTTCCATTCATCAATTTTTTATTATATAAAGTTGGATGATGGTTGCGACACATAGGATTTTTATAATTTATAAGATCGCGACATGTGTCACTTTTAATGTTACGTCCGTTAAGATCGTGACACATGTCTTAGAGAAAAAAATAATAATAAAAAAAAATTTAGATAAAGGAAATTTTTTTAAAAAATAATCCATTACAGTTAAAAGAAATAAAAATATATTTGTCATATCCTAATAGAGAAAGGTTTCCATTCATCAAATTAATATTATCCAAACAAATAATAAAATCAAAATAATGTAATAAATAAAATCCTATTTGTACATGGAATATGTTATGTAAACTAAATTTCCTATAACTGCATGTAATAGGTTACTTGAACCCCTATAAAAGAGAGTCAAGGTTTCTCAATCATAAATTCATCAAAACAAATTCATCAAATCCCTTTGATTCTATTTCTCCAATTTAAAAATCATGTTTTTGAAAGTTTTGCGATACATAGGATTTTTATAACTGACAAAATTGCGACATGTGTTTTAGAAAAAAAAAATTCTGGAAGTATGAAGATCGTAACATGTGTCATGGAATAAAAATAATAAAAATTAATATGTATAAGACTAACTAAAAATTAGAAAAACAGATAACAAATAATTAAAATGAAAAAAATAATACATCCATTAAAAGTAATAAAAAACAGGAAACAAATAATTTAAATTCTTTTGTTACATCTATTAAGAAAAGGAAAAAAAATCCATTTCGAAAAGGAAAAATACCAATATATAGTATTTATAATGGTCTGAGGCAAAAACAAAATTGAGAAAGAAAAAATATAAATAGAAAACTAACAAAATAATTATCAAGCAATTAACTAATATTAAAAAATTATAATTGATATTCTAATTTTAAATAGTTTGATTTTCAATTTTTGTTAGGTAAAAAAATTGAAATAAAGATTTCATCAATTAAAATCTCTTGAATGGAATAATAAAAGTTTGATTAATTAATCAGTTGATCAGATTTAGACATGTGTAAGTCTTTCTGTATTGGATAAAAATAATAGTAAAACAAATTAATTCATTTTGTCATATCATAAATTCAAAAGAAAAATCAATTACAATAAAAATGTAAAAGTATTACCAATCTTATTTTATTTAAATATTTTTATCGGGTTTTCAATATTATTTTGTTTACGTTTAAAAATGATCAAATTTTGTTTAATATTTTCCATGTTTTATTATAAAATCTTAAAATATACCCGCGTATACGCGGGCCTTAATCTAGTAACACATAAATCAACAAAATTACTTAAATTAATAAAATAAATACAAATAAATATAATTTAACCAATAATAAGCAGCATAATATAAACACAATATTTCAACTGCTTATATTTTGAAACAAAAAGTTATTTTCTAAATCTATATATATAAAACACAGTTGGGGTCTCTTCTGGAGCGCCACGTCAGCAAACTCTCTTTTAAACAATGCTCTTCCAATTCTCTTTTAAGACTAATAATTTATTACATCTATCACTTAATCATAATAGAATTTGAAAAGTCATTTTGTATAAGAAAATATTTTATATATTGATCTAAATAAATTCTAATTTAATAATTTTAGTTTTATCAAATAGATTTTAATAATTTAACAATAATAATAATAAAAAAAATGAACGGAATGACGCAAAACTGTATGATAACGAGACGGGAAGAAACAAGACGAGTCGAAAATGAATTTGACGAGGCAAAACGGGATAGAAAAGAAAGGGACATGGTGGAACAAGACATGAAGAAACAAGATAAGGCAGAATGGAAAGAAATGAACGAGACAAGGCAAAACGGTATGTGAATGAATAGGACGGGGAGGAACGAGACGGAAAGGAAATGTACATGATGAGGAAAAATGAGATGAGAATGAATGAGACGGTGCAAAATGGGACAAGGCGGAAACGAGAAGGAATAAACAGGACGGGACATAACGAGGCCAAAATTATACCCGACAAGGCAGAACGAGACGGGAAGAAAGGGATGGGGCAATACGAGACGGGAAAAAACAGAACGAGGAGGAACGGGGAGGGAAATAGGACAGGGAGGAACGAGATGGGAAATAGAACGGGATAGGAGGTAAATTTTGCCTACCTCTTATTATATTTAGAGACGGGACAAGAAGAAACAAAAAGACCAAGATGGGACAAGACAAGACAGGAAAAAACATAATGAGACAGGATGGGACTAGACGGGATGGATATGACGGAAAGGACGGGATGAAAAGAAACATAATGGAACGGAAAAAAGTGAATTTAGCATATCCCTAATTATATTTAGGGACATGACGGAAAAAAACGGAAAGAACGGGATGAGACTGGACAAAACGGGATGGAACAGTCTCAGACATGATGGGATTGCACGTGACGATACGGACATGGCGAATGGGACGGGAAAGAACGGACATGATAAAAGGAACAAAATGGGAGGAATGAGAAATGATGGTTCAAAATTTTTGCGTAAACTTAATTATATTTAATTTTCGGAAATTTTTGAGTAACCCTAATTATATTTGATTAATATGTGTATGACATTTTTAAAATAATAATAAATCATAGAATTAAATTAAATTTATGAAAAATAATAAAATCAACACAACAATTTCAATTCCCGCGCGAAGCGCGGGTCACCCCTAATTTCTTATATATTGAGATGTGGAGAATAGAAGAGATTGAAGTTGTAAAATATCTCCTGCCCGCGCATGCACGGTCTTACCACCTTGTATTAAGAGAAAAGCATATCTTATCATCTTTTGAAAATGTTAAAGAACACAATGAATTGACCTATCTATAAATCTGAATTAGACTATCTTTATACCGAGAGTTTGAGTTTGTAACATATGTTGTTTGATTCTTCACACCCAAAATATCTATACCGAGAGCCTTGCATAAAAGGCACGAGCAAGTGGTGATTATATCGAACCGGAATGACTAATTTCGTGTTAAATTTGATTTATAAAAAATAAATGTTGTTAGACAAAAGATAAAAAAAAATTACCAAAAAAAAACAAATTGATTCAAGAAATTATAACCAGAATTAGGAACTTAACCCCTTTTCTCAAAAACATAATTAGAACTTACGCATGCATCCGTTTCCGTAAATCCTTTGTTCTTTCTAGATCTCTCTCTCCTCTGCTTCTTCTTCGTCTTCCTCTCTGCTAGGGTTTTTGATCTATTTGTCTCTCTCTACGCGCAGGTGAAAAGCATCTCACAACATAGGTTTTGTAACTTTTGTTATAATCTCATCCAATGTCTACTGCGCCGGCGAGTTCAAAGTCTCTCCATGGTTTTTCCCGTGGAGCTCAAGTCTCTGCTATGACTGAGGCGAAATCGGAGAGGACCGCATCTCCATCGGCGGTTTCTAACCGAACGGTGGCCTCACGGTCGAGTCGTCAGCCGCGGCTCTCTTTCTCAATCTTCGCTCCGTCATCCGAGAGCGATCACCCGAAGAAGCTGAAATCCGATGCTACCGAAGAGAATCCGCCACAGAGAGAGGAAGTTCCGGTGTCTATGAAGGAGGGAGAAGAAGCGGAGGAGGAGGACGAGGAGGAGGAGGTGAAGAGGACTTGGAATCTGCGGCCGAGGAAGGTTTTCGGCGGTTCGAAGAGGGGAAACGGCGTGATCCACGCGGAGGCGTGCGCCGGAGGAGCTTCGGAGGCGAAGAATCAGAAATCAGGCGGAGTAATGGAGCCGAAATCGAACAGGCAGAGAGGAATCCCGGCGGAATCTCCCGGATTAGGCGGCGTTGAGTTAACGAGCGAGAATCACAGACTTTGGGTGGCTCTCTCTAGAGACGAGATCGAGGAAGACGTGTTCAGCATGAGCGGAAGCAGGCCATCTCGCCGGCCACGGAAGAGAACCAAGACCTTGCAGAAACATATGGATGTAAGTCTCCAGGTGTTCGACGAATTGCCTCACCCAAAATGAATTTCTCAAAAAAATTACGTTTTTATTCTCTCGTTTGCTTTGGATCATTGATTAGAATGTCTGCGATGGTATTGGCAGGTTCTTTCTCCTGGATTGTGTCTTGTTGGGATGAATGCTGATTGCTTCAGAGTATCCAATTCTCCGGCTAAGGTTGGCTTTGATCAATTCACATACTTTCTCCGTTATGCTTGTAGCAACTAGATTGTATGAACAAGCTGCAAGTTGAGAGCTTTTGTGCGATTATAGATTATATGAGGTTTCATGCTGATGGTGCTTAAAAGATACACCCATATTTTGCAGAGCTCATTAGCTTTACATAAGGAAATGGTACTCTTGTTTTATGTTATGGTACAAGAAAGATGTAACTCAGCGATTATGTTTCACTTGCAGAGATGATGATTCGGAAAAAGATAGTGTTTTGGTGAAGAAAGAAGTAAGTCATCTTCCTGATTGAACTTTTATGTTTTTTGTTCATGTAAATGGTAATATCGAAATGTTATCCATTGCTTTGATTTTATGAGCTTTGGGCTCAAGTAGTTGGGAACTTGTTTTTGGTTTGTTGCAGGGTAGATAGGGATGCTGGTGACATGATCTAGAATCCAGTTACACAACAGTAAAAGCTAGGAAGACGAAATTTCTCAGAGACTTGTTCTTGGTCTTATATCAAACTTAGTAGGAGCAAAGTTCTATAAGTAAATATGGGTAAGTTCCTAAATATATATATAAAACGGAGAGATGGGTTCGTTTTTGAGTTATGAATATTTATCAATGGAATGCAGAAAATCAGTTGGTGATGCTCTTTGTAGTTAAATCTAAATGCAGAGTAAATTTTTTATTTCTTTGTGTTCATTTCTTCTCAACTACCAAAGCAAAACACCCATATACAGTATGTTTAAGACAAAAATCATTGACAATTCTTATTAACATAGAGTTAGAAACTGAGACTCATATAAGTTTGCAAGTACAATAAGGTTTCTAAGAGAAAGCAGCAGTTTGAAGCGTTATATGTAGGCGAGTGTGGAGATAAATAAGATTGGTAACTGTTAAGAACCCAAACCCTAACTCTTCTTCTTATTGATAATAGATAAGGATTACAATAGATATAAGATAGGAAGCACTGGATAGATAGATAGAAAGCACTCAAGATCTCATAACGATCTCATTCAAGCACTCTCAAGATCTCATAGCGATCTTGTTCGACAGACTCATAGCGTCTAGGTCGTTATTCAATTCAATATATTGCATAACTAGTAGAAAGACCAAAACCAATATATTTATACTAAAGCTATGTAAGACTTTCCTTTTTCTTAAGGAAGTTTTTGTAAATCTTCTTTTTCCTTTTCTCTCGACAAAGGCGGTGGTTAAGTTTGCTTGGGCCTATCAATACCCCCCTTTCGAAGACCCAGCTTGTCCTCAAGCGTAATGAGGTGAAAACTCCATCAAATCTCCAATTAGTTCATGCTTCTGGTCTGCGCTTCCATTTGTCTCTTGATCTAAAACCTCCATTGCGAGACCATTAATAACAATAAGCACTTGGAGCTCTCTCTTTGAACAAGGGTGACCCTTATAGAATGGCCCTTTACACTTGAAACAGATATTCTTTCTCCTCATATCATCAAGTTCTGCATCACTGTGTTGTTGCCGTGGACGTAACGGAATGTGTGAGCTATTCTGGCCAGTATCCAATGGTTGAGAACCTCCAATATTGACCTCCAGCATAGTACCAACACGGTTGTTGTGACTTGGAAAAGATTTCTGTGGCTGAAAACCTGTAGTAGACTTGAAAGTTTGAAGACCGGTATGCGATTTAGGCTCTCCCATTACCTGACAAAACACAGAAGTTTGCATCTTCATTACAGCTGCCTTGTGATTGGTTAACCCGTGAGGGTCTTTGAGCTTGATAACTTCTTTCATCTCTGGTTTCAAGCCATTATAGAAGGCGTTTGTCAATGTTGCTTCAGCGAGACCAGTTACTTGAGTAGATAATTCCTCAAACTCATTGATATACTCAGAGATATCTCCTGTTTGCTTTAAGCACAATAAACGTTTTCCTGGCTCGTCCTCAATCGCTGGAGTAAATCTCAGTAAGAGTCTTTGCTTAAATTGATCCCAGTTATGGAAGGGTGCGTGAGCAACTTCTCCATTGAACCAATTTAAAACAACGCCATCTAAGCAAAGAGAAACCAATCCAAGCTTGTCTTCCTCTGAATATTGTCCCAACCGAAAGAACCTCTCGACACGAGCAATCCAACCGTACGGTAAACGGCCATCAAACACAGGCATATCAATCTTCCGTAACATACTCTCACGATTTGCTAAAGCACCCGAGATTCCTTGACAACCCAGCGATTTAGCTTCCAAGTCAAGAAGAGGATGATTTACCTCAGGTGAATCAAGCGATGATGATTTATTGCCGCTCGATTGTCCCTGTCCTGAAGAAGTATTAGCTTCAATGCGTGAAAGGATTTGAGCAAACGATGTCATCTGTGACTCCAACGCTCCAAGCCGTGATGACATGCTCTCACAACCAACCTTGATTGCTGAGATCTCTCCACGTACTTCTCCCAAAGATCCCTCGAGTTGTGTAATGCGGTCTGCACACTCCTTAACTGTCATTATTGCTGTAAATCTGAAGCTCCAGCTGCGTCTCCGTTCGAAACAGTATCACAAGCGCACCAATTTGTTAAGAACCCAAACCCTAACTCTTCTTCTTATTGATAATAGATAAGGATTACAATAGATATAAGATAGGAAGCACTGGATAGATAGATAGAAAGCACTCAAGATCTTATAACGATCTCATTCAAGCACTCTCAAGATCTCATAGCGATCTTGTTCGACAGACTCATAGCGTCTAGGTCGTTATTCAATTCAATATATTGCATAACTAGTAGAAAGACCAAAACCAATATATTTATACTAAAGCTATGTAAAAGACTTTCCTTTTTCTTAAGGAAGTTTTTATAAATCTTCTTTTTCCTTTTCTCTCGACAAAGGCGGTGGTTAAGTTTGCTTGGGCCTATCAGTAACATTGTTAAATGGTTTGGAATTTGGATGATGGTTTGGAATTTGGATGATGAGAGATGCATTTTAAGGATAATCGGTTCTGATTTTTCTTTGTTAAAAAATGGTTTCAAACCGGGAAATGTGACCGGCTTTTGCGATAGAGCTTTTTGATTTGAAGATGTTGAAGGACCAATTCATTGATATTTAGCCACTAATATAGAAGCAAGAATTTCAAAGTGAAGTAGTTCCTTGCTGGTGCTTTTTTTTTTTTTTTTTTTTTTTTTGAACAACATCTCTATTAGAAAAAGATTAGGCGATTACACGGGGTTCCTCTGGTGGAAGCTGAGATCAAGCGCAGCAAGCGTTGCAAGAGAGTCAGCTTCACGATTTCCAGATCTCGGAATAAAACAGAAAACGATAGAGGTAAACAACGATGCAAGTGAATTTATATCGAAAAGGAGACTGTTGATCTCCTTGATTTTCTCTTGCGCTGTTAAGGCTCGGATTAGATCCTGAGCGTCTGATTTGACATGCAGATTCAGGAAGCCCTTTTTGAGGGCTTGTGAGAGTGCAGATCTGATAGCCAGAGCTTCCGCCATTATCGGAGAGCTCACGAAGGTTTCCGCCGATGATCCGGAGCATAGGTGAGTCTCTTTGTCCTTGAAAACCCATCATGCTCCCGCGATTTTAGATTCCGGGTTCCAAGCTCCGTCTGTGAAGACAACTATCTGTTCCCTCGACATTTCATACGGTTTAAACGTCTTTCCTTTACCTTTTCCAGGGTTCTCTAGAGTTTGGGCAAATTGCCATTCTTTTGCATCCGTTATGGCCTTGAGAATCGTCTCTTCTGGGGAGAAACTCCTATCTTCAAAGATTTTGTGGTTCCGAGTAGACAAGATAGCCCAACAGACCCACGGGAAGAGAGGTCCGGCGTTGATTCCAGTTGGTGGCAGACAGAATTGGACTTTTGACTGGATAAAGATGCTTGTGAAGTCCAGGGTGGTTGAGATTTCTAGTGCTACGGTGGTGGGAGCTAGGTCCCAAGTTTTCCGAGCAAAAGGGCAGAGGAAGAAGAGGTGTTCAGCAGTCTCTAAATCCCCACAGTGGGTGCAGCAGGCGTTATCCCATAGGCCTCGACTCAATAGATTCTCGCCTAGAGGTAACGCCATTTGAATTATTTTCCAGATGAACACTTTAAGCTTGGATGAGAACTTGCCTGACCAAACATCTTTGATCCAGTTTAGCTGTGGGTGGTTGTGATCTTCCGGTTGAAACTCCCTGGCTCTAGCTACATGGTAACCCGTTTTGGCCGTATACTCACCGGTTTTGGAGGGGAGCCACACAAAGCTATCTTGTGCTCCTTTAGTACTTGGTCGCATACAGAGGATGTCTGCTGCGTACTGAGGTAGCAATTCTTCCACTTTACCTTTATTCCACCTTGGGGGCATGCTTCTAGAAGGTCTGATACCAAAAGCTTTTGGTCCTGCAGGTTTGGTGGGCCTATCGGTTTGAGGGGGGGAGGTGAGAGATAACCACGAGTCATTCCAAACTAAGGTGTTTTGGCCGTTCCCAATAGACTTTCCCAGCTGTTCAACAAGCAGATCTCTGCCGATAAGGACTCCTCTCCATCCGTGAGAAGCCGACGATGATAGAGGTACGTCTAGGATAGGCTGATCCTTACAGTATTTACCCAGTAGAACTCTTGCTAGAAGACTTGTTGGATTATTTAGGATTTTCCAACTCAGCTTAGCTAGAGTTCCTTGCTGGTGCTATAAACAGAAAGTCATTGTTTTCTTTTGTAAACATTTCTTCCGTATTAGTTAATTGCGGATATAGACCAAATTTTAAACTAATTAATAAAATTGTGTTTTTGTAGTAAAGAAAGAAAAGGAGATTGGTGTGATAATTTACTATTTAGCATGTTATTTATCAAATATAACACATAAATAGCATCTCTTTTCAAAATGGATACTCATACCATTTTTCATTTATGTCCAAAGCAAAAAAAATCATGAAATACATGTGTATAAAATAAACAAATTAATCATAAAACACTAAACCTTAAACCCTAAACGGTAACCTCTAGTCAAAGATTGGTGAATCCATAAATCATAAACACTAAATACTAAACATTAGTTAATGATTAGTGAACCCATTGAAAAATCATAAACCCTACACCTTAAACCTAAATCTATATCCTTAAATCTTAAACGCTAAATCCTAATGTGAACCCATGGGAAAAATCAGAACTTTAAACCTTAAATTCTAAATTATAATTGCTAAACCTTAGTCAAAGATTGGTGAACACATGGAGAAAAATTATAAACTTTAAACCCTAAATCATAGAGAATAATATATGCGTAAATTTGTGTGCAAGTGAAGGCAAAAATGTTAACTTTCTTAATTAAAAGTGTTAATGAGTGTCCATTTTGAAAAGTGATGCTATGAAAGGAAAAAAAAAACTATTCTTCATGTTATTTGGGAAAATGCTAACTCACTTAACTAAAAATGTTGGGTATCCATTTTGAAAAAGAATGCTATAAGATGAAAAACATCCTAAATGCTATAAGGGGAATTCCTCTTAATCAATCGCCAGTTTTTTTGTTTCCTTCGTGTTAAAAATAGAGAAAATGACTTCATATAGTCTCTTTTTGAGAACTAATGTCCAGCGGGTACCCCTAAAAAGGAAAATGGGAGAAGTAGTCCATTTGAATAAAAGAGAGGTGGGGTGAGCTTTTCTCTCTCTAGGTTAAATTTTTACTTACGGTCTGGTAACTAAGTAACGGTCAACAAGCAAAGGTTTTGGGCAGCAGTACAAGCATTTTCGTTGTCAATAAACAAAAAAGCGGAGAGTATATAAAATTTATACTTTTCTAAATATATAGTCCCATTTATATCGTAATTAATAATTTACATAATGAAACCTTATTCAAACCTTAAACGAGATATAGTTATTCTTATTAAATTTAAATACATTCAGAACTTATCTCTAATTTTATTAAAAATGTAAATTTGAATACCGATAACTTAGGTTATTTTTGAATGTAACATAATATTTTACTCAAAAGTCAAAACCGATAACTCCGTAAATAAATTAAAAATTTAATTTAATAAACTATTATTTGCTCAACTGTTTCCGTTACCACCGTATTGCATATTCATATGCTTCACCCACTTCCCTTATTTTTTTTAAGATAATTTATTTGTTTCCAACTTTTTAATCCAAAAGCCTGGGCATTAAAATTATCGGGTCGGATCCGTCCGGTTCCGGGTCTTTCAGGTCTGGAAATTAAGAAACCACTCAGATATTTGGAATTTTCTGGTCGGGTCCGGTTCGGTTAGACAAAGTTGTGGTCCATTCCTGGTTACCAGTATTTAGTTATAAGATAATAAAAGTGAAACAAAAATTAAAATTATTTAATTTTAAATAAAATTGTTTTAAATATATGCAGGTTTGAAAATTTCAGTTAAATATAACTGAAATATTCAGTTTATAATTGGAATTTTACATATTAATGTTATTTTAAATTATACAAATATATAACCGAATACAGTATTGTTGTTTAGTTTATAATTGTGGGAAATTGCCATATCACACCCCTCAAAATAATATATTTAAAGTTGCATAGCTCAACAATTAAAATCGCGCTTTTTCACCCTCATCCGTTAAGTCTACTGTTTCCCGTTGATGACATGTCCGTTACGGATATCTGACGTGGCTACGATATCGGCAAACTTTGGTTTTCACAGAAGATTTCCCGCGGACTTGTGACATGCGCGCATAAAGAAACAATATAAAAAAAAAAGATTTCCGGTGACTTTACTGACAGACGTTGTTACGCAGGCTTGGGTTATCCAACAATCTATTGGGCCGTAAGCCTTTTAGTGATGTAAGGGTAGTTGTAGAATGTTTATTTATCCCTCAAACTTCTGGCATATTTCATACTTCTGTTTAGTGTCTAGGTTAATTATCAGATTACTCGACCGGATAGTGACGCATCATGATCTTGATCGGACGTAGTCAGCGTAGAGGTTGGTCATCGATTTACACACGTGTTCACCGCGAGGGAAGTTACCACTTACCACCTAATTTGTGATTGTACAAGTTTGGACTAACATAAATCGCACCGGTGACTTGTCTCATGTGTCGACAACATCTTATCTTACATATGCCTACTAGTATTTCCTTGTGCATTGCCCCCGTCTCAAACCCAAACCCTAACATTCCACGTCCAATCGTTTTTTACGGCGGGGCAAGGATTCCAAACGACATGATTTCGGAGACAAGGTTGTATACGAGATCTTTAGAATTATATTTGTCAACGGCTGAGGTTACAAATTAAAAGTGTAATCTTCGTCTCAACGGATAAACCATTGAGAAGCCATCACTTTTAATCGCACAAGAAAATGTATAATTTTTTATTAGCGCCCTAGCATTGTTTTTCTAATGCAAGGGTTTAGAGTCTGTTTTATTACGAACAAGTGTTGATTAATACTGTAGTACATAACAGTATTGATTTACTGTAAATGATATTCAGTTTTTTTTTGGATTGATAAGGTTTAACGATTATGATTTATGGTTTAGATTATCAGTTTGATTTTTCGGTTTTATGTTTGCATTTTGTGTTTGGGGTATGGGATATAGGGCAAGAGAGTCTGTCTAATTATGAACAAGTGTTCAATAATAGTATTGATTTACTGTAAAAGATGATCAGTTTTTTTGGATTGATAAGGTTTAACGATTAGGATTATCAGTTTGATTTTATGGTTTTATGTCTGCATTCTGATAGTCTAAAAATAGATCTTTTTCTCTACTGCAAATAACAGTGATGAAGATGTAATATAAAGGATTCGAAATCCAGAGGACCAGCGTTACACTATGAATCTAGGAGATTCAAAACAGAGCTAAGACAAAAATGATTGATTTGGTAACAAGTGACAGATGTAAACGTTGATGTAATTCAATAAAACAGACACTAGACCAAGGCAATTCGCAGGAGATTCACGGTTAACAACCAAACAACTATTCAGGGCACAGATAAAGAACAGGTCTCGAACTCAAACAAAACAGTATGTCAATTCACTTTCGCGATCTTAACAACCTACTAACAACCTAGATGTCTAAACTGTCGTTTGAATCTAGCAATTGAAAGCAAGCAATACGCACAGGTTCGATAAGTTCACAAATCGCCTTAGCATCAACTTTCGCAGGCTAAGGACGATTCGCTCACCACAGTTCGTTCTAACAACCTATTGCACTTTTGATGAACAGGTAAATCTGAGATCAGAGATCGAGTGATCAAATCGATCTAAGCAATGAATGCAACAATGGCGAAGACAGTATGATAGCCCTATCTGTATTCAGTTTAGTTAACACATGAATCCCTTTGAAAAACCTAGATCTAGCAAGGATGACTACTCAGACATGACGAAACAGCAAACAATAACTGAAATGAAAGTCATTGAATCAAAATACGAAAATAGCAAACAAAGGGTTCAGAAATCTTCTCCAAACTGTGAAAACAGAGGTTCGAATCTTCTCCCTCAGAAACAGTGTAAAAACTCTGAAAAACGGCGTAGCCTAAACAATGGCTGAAAATAGGTCTAAATAGCTCCGGGTCGAGTTCGGTTCAATCCGGTTTGAGATGACAAAACCGGGGTCGATCGAACGGTGAGATCGATCGACGTGACGCAGATTGGACGACTGAGATCAAACGATGCATGGAACGCATGGGATCGATCGAGTTTGTGTTGCGAAGGCGGATCGATCGAGCGGTAGAGCAGGATGCGGATCGATCGACTCGGCTCGTCTTGTACGGGTCGATCGAGCTGGTTGTAAGCGCCTAGGGTCGATCGAACTGTGAGGGATCGATCGAGCTCCTTTCGCTCCGTTTTGCCTGCTTTCGCCTGTTGTTGTCCATGTGACCAAAGCTCTCCCTGGAACGTCTTTAGACCTGAAAAGACTCGATAAAGACTAGAAAGACTCGATAAAACTCGTGAAAACAAGTGTTAGAATGCGTCAAATACGCAAGATATCACATTCTGTGTTTGGGGTTTGGGAATTAGGGTATGAGTGACGTATGACAAGGTTTTAGGCATCTTATTATATAAAGCTGGATGCACTTGCTATTATAATGTTAATCTTTTGTTTTTTGTTTTTTTTTATAACCCAGGTGTCTGGAGCCTTAGGGCTTAAGTAGCACTGCCTCCAATCGGATCTACTGTGGTCCTGGAGGCTGAATGGTAGTTTATAATTAAATCCGTTGTGGCCCAACAAGTTTGCCGATACCAAAGCCACGTCAGATATCCGTGGCGGACAGGTCATTAACGGGAAACAGTAGGCTTAGCGGCAGAGGGGATCAATGTATGAAAAAGTTCTATTTTATTTGCCAGGTATGAAACATTAAATGTTGATTATTGTAGGGGCGTGGTTTGCCAATTTCGCACAATTATATACTCCACTAACAATTTTTTTGTTAGTTATATTTATACTTTTAAAATAACATAAATACAAATAACTAGCATTATAAACTAATTCTAACAGTTATATTTAACATTCATTTTTTTTTCTGCCTATATTTAATAAATTTAATAATTTTAGATTCCGTTACACTTTTATTTTTTATAACTAAAGTAACCAGGAACCGACCACAAACCGGAGCCACCGAACCGGACCAGACTCGAAAATTCCAAATACCCCGTTTCTAAATTTCCGGACCCGTAAGACCCGGAAACGACCCGAAAATTTGAATGCCCAGGGTTTCCGACTCTTAAAAAAATTGAAAAAAAAATTATCTAGGAAAATATAGTGTTTTTAAAATGATGGTAAATTGGTAATGGAAACAGTTGTTGAAACTCTATAAATTGATGTGGATACTTGGGTGGGTATTGTGAAATATTTTTCAATCTCCAAAATTAACAGAAAATAAAGTGGAAATTGATATATCCATATCTTTCATGTTTTTACCAAGGTTTTCACTATGTTTTCAATACAAATAATGTGGTTTTTAAGCCCAAGAGGTAGTTTTCTTGTATATTCTGGTTTTGAGCATCATTCAGGTCAAAATAGCAAAGAAGAGTCAAAAATGGAGCAAAAGGAGTCAAATCACCAAGTTCCCAAGTCTAGAGCACCAAAATCTACATTTCTCGCTAAAGACCAAACCGGAGCATCCGAAGTACAGCCGCATGTTCAGGGCCGTCCCGTAGCTAAAGCTGGTAAAGCAGCTGCTTTAGTCGCCATATATTTATAAGCATTTAGGGGCGCCAAATTTATGAAGTGTGCATTAGTGTAGTGGTTCTGACCGCCCAATTTAATCTAAAAGTTCACCAGTTCGAATCTTCTTGTCATTTTTTTAACTGGATTTTAAATGGGCTTTATTTTTTAAGTTTTTTCTGCTTTAGGCAGTGAATTTGGTCGGGCCGGCCTTGCGCATGTTCATGCCTTCCCGACGTCCAAAAGTCATGATTCTTATATGGAAAGATAGATATTTGAGTTGTGACCCGCGGCGAAGTGGAAAGAGGTCATTTGGATCATTCATTTGGCCGGAACTTATTTTCTACCAAGACATGTCCGGCAAACGCCTAAGTAGAGCCCATGGAGACTTTAATGGATCAAGAGGCCTGGGATACTGCGCCCAAGGCCTTGGATCGTCTTTACACTAGCATAACTCAATCCAGAAGCTTCCATTGGCCTGAACGCGGCCCATTTTCAAGAACTTGGAGAGCAAGCTCAAGCGGCTAAAGAGAAATGGAAACTTTCCTCTTCCGCGCGCGCTCAACTTTGCCGACCTAGACCCGCTCTCTACCTATATATACTTGCTTTTAGCCTCTTGTAATAAGAATCACCAGCCGCATAACAAGAAACACTTATTCAATAAAGTTCGGAGCCACTTAGGTGGTCTCCTTCTTCTTTCTTTTCTTCTTTTGCATTTGTATATAGCTTGCATGTTTTAATTTATATAGTCTAGAAGTAGAGATTTCTCCCTAAGGGTGAGGCGTGGTTTAGTCCATATTCCGCCGCCTCTGACTGAGACTTCATCTACTATCTAAGACTCATTGTTGAATTATGGATCCTTCCAATGAGGACGTGATATAATGGCCATCGAAAATCGATTGTTAAAAGGGGAAACCCTATGGTTCTCCATCTTTATTTATGCTTAATGCCTGTTGCTAGAGTAGCTAACTAGTGACTTGATTTTAGGTTGATATACTCTCCAAAAGCTTGTTATATCTCCGGATATAGTATTTGATGGGCAAATCGTTTTAGGCTACGAAAGTAGACCTAAAGAGTTTTGTGAACAATCATTACTTGGATGTAATGCATGTCTCACTCTACAATGACCAACGAAAGCTGAGCCCATTGGTTTAAGAGACATAGGGGATTGGAACCACGAAAGTGGAATAATCCTTCCTTAGTGTTTTGAGTTCAAAAGAATCGGATTTTAACAAACTTTTCAATCGACTTGGCTCATGTTTTCAAAAGAGTTTTCAATAGTTCAATAATGTTGCTTGTATAGATTTGCATTGTTATTTTCTTTTGTGTGTTCTCAACAAACACAACCCTTGCATATTTTGATTTAGCTTAGACATTTAAACTCTATGATTATGTAATGTGTGAAATCCAATCCCTTGTGGTTCGACCCCTAAATACTACAATTATATGTTGTGCACTTGCAACACTAGTTGTCTTAGGGAATTATTACTTGTACTCATCCCATAGATGCCGCATCAAGTTTTTGGCGCCGTTGCCGGGGATTGCATCATAAACACTTGCATAGTCTTGTTTAAAACTAAGTCTAGATCTTGTATTTTCGAATACTAATATAAATCTTTTTATTTCTTGTGTTTATAGGTACTTGGAGATGAATCACAACACCAACATCCACTTTGGGAACCGGACACTGATCCCACACGATCTCCACGGCCGGAGTTACCAAGACCCAGCCGTAAGCATCGTGCCACATCTGTTCCCTCCCAACCGCGCTCTGATGCGGGATCAGGTTTTACCTATTCCTATCCCTGATTCTGCAAGTGCACAGGTAAGATGTAGTAACGGGTTATCGAACACAAGGACCAGATAAGTTTACACTATGAGTTTATGAGATTCGAATCAAGCTAAGACTCAAGTATGGAGGTTTGTTGTTGTCACGGTTTCAAAGCAAAACAAAGTAAATAAGGTGAAAGCAATAGAAGAAAGCATTGGGCATTAGAGAATTCTCAAGGTTTCATAGATTGGATCAAGCAAATAGATAGGGAAATCAATAGTTTGTTCTAGAACTCGAATCAATAAGTATAATTGACCTACTCCCGCAGTGCCAATTACTATGTCTAACAACCTAAATCACACAACTTCCGCAGGTAATCAAGAGGTTAAGCATGTAAGAACAGTTCAAATTCGATAGATCTACTTCCGTAGGTCTAGTTCACAAAGCCTAGCAATTCTACTTCCGTAGGTTACTATGCCTTGCTCATCTAAGTTGATTCAAGAGATTTATCAAACTTTCAGAAAGTAAATTACTTAAGAACAGTAGCTTAGACGGTCAATCAAGCTATAAGCAATAAGCACAAACTTAGATGAAGAACACTAATGATAAAACCCTAATCTAGCAACCTAACAATCAATCCATGAAAACCCTTTGAAAACTCTTAAACCCAACAAGGAGATTACTCAAGCATAGTAAGACAGATCAAGCATAGAGATGAAGAAGAATTCATAATAAAACTTGATAGAAAGTAAAAGGGTTTAGAAATCTCCTCTATAGTGTTACAAAGGTGAGATCTTCTCCCATGAAGCTCTAAAACGAAATCAATGTAAAACTCTCTATAAATATGGCGGCTCTCCCTTCTAATGAGGCTAAAAAAGTGTATTTATAGTGCCCTAGGTCTTCACAAGTCGGTTTAGGTTAATTGGGCTGAGAATAGTCAAAACTGCATAAGTGGGCTTCTTGTTCGCGGAGATCGGGTCGAGCGCGGTCCTTTGCTTCCCGGGTCGCACGGTCTGGTCGGCCGTGATGTGATGATCTCGGTCGATCGTGGTCCATTGCCTCCCGGGTCGGACGGTGCGGTCGTGCGGCGGATCGGTCCTGGAGAAGGCCGAGCGAAGCCAATTCCCTTCCTGTCCGGCCGAGTGCGTTCGGCCGGCTGTTAACCAGTCTTCAGTACAAACGTGATATCTCCTAAACGGCTTATCCAAATTGCATACTTCCAACGGAATTGGAACACTAACTCATCTGCCTATCTTGGTATCGAGTTTCATTGAAATCCATTGAGTTTAAGGGTCCAAGCCGCTGCTGCCCGTTTGATGTACTGATGCAGTCCGATTAAGCTCTCTCGTATATGTCTCAGGGAAATAGAGATATCTCCCAATCTACTCGGTCAAATTGATTGATTCCAGTTGCGTTGCAAAGCTAACTCATGTATGCATCTCCTCGAACTGGATTTGATGAAGTCCATTGAGTAGAATGTTTTAAGGCCCTTCTTAAAGTTGATGCTACGTCCTGGAGTGGTCTTGAAGTCCAAATCCTGTGTTTTGCTCCAAAATGCATCTTTCACCTGTTTAGACTCTAAGTACTATAAATCCATAAAAACTACCTTTTTAGATCAGAAAGCCATTAAAAACCATTAGAAAACATAGTAAAACATATAAAAAGCATGTAAAATAGAGGTATATCAACTCCCCCAGACTTAGATCTTTGCTTGTCCCCAAGCAAACAGAATCTAAATCCGTGAAAGAGGTTTGAAAACGTGGAAACTCCCTTGCTCTTTTGAATATCCTGTGAAAGGTTCCTTTCCTGTATTCCACTAAGAACATAGCAACATAAGGTTAGCTTCACATACACCCTGCAAGTTTAGCGAACAATACCAACCCAACTAGTCTCATCCAGCAATCCAAACTCTCTATTGCTAACCTCTTGCATAAATTTAAAGCGTGAGTTCTTTATCAAGGGAACATCGATCAATTGAACTTGTTCTTACCCACTTGATCTTCTCCAAGATTGTCTTTCAAGTGCAATGAGTTCTTTTCCTCTCTCTTTCTCACATCAGAACTTTGAAAGGTCAATTTCTCCCTACTTTTCTAGGGTATCATTTTATTTTTTCTATTGACCCTTCTTTCAACCACAGGATAAGTCTTTAGCTTGTTCCTTGTTTGACTAAGGTATTCCATAAGACATGAAGGTACAGACATATGCATTCCTCATGCTTACTTGTTTTCCTTGTGCTCTTTGAGCTTTTTCTCATAAACATTACTTACCATTTGGGATGGGAGAGAGAGGAGAACTCTTTAAAGATTAGACAAATCTTATTGAAAATCAAGCAAGGAACTGTCGACATGTATGCCAATCCCCTTGACAAGAGTTATTAAGATTGATTAAGGGTGAGGTTAACTCTAGATTGCTTGGTTACCTTAGAAATTTCGCTGAGCTAGCATGTCGATCCACTGTAAGAGCTTCTGTTAGGCTTGTGCCTTTAGCTGATGTCTGCTCTAGGGTCATAGATTGTTAGCACAACACTCAATCTCAAAGCAAGTTCATAACTTCCGGACTGGTTTTGACTCAATAAAACTTTTTGAAAAAGTGAAAAGAATAAATATAAGATAAGACAAGCATGAACAAACATTAGTACCAACAATCCCCCCAGACTTAACTTGCACCGTCCCGGTGAAAGCAAATCCGATTAAGGGAGGAAATAATGTGTGAGTGAATGAGAAGAAAGATATAACCTGATTAGACATTAAGTCCATGAAGAAACCACCCATTGGTGATATGTGGCTGTCCTTCTCCTTTGATAGGTTGATATAAGCCTTAGGTCATCAGATCAGGGCGGGTTGGTGAATGGGACACTTCCTCATGTGATATTGGTCGGTGAGTTTTGAATTTCAGGGCCTGGTTCACTCCGGATTGCGTTTTGGTCGAGATGGTCCATTTCGGTCGTCCAAAAGGGTATGCTATGAACTACAGAACAAACCATGAAGAATTCATCGACCCATATTGAAATTGCATCGACCAACCTGATATTTTCTGCCCACGAATGAAGTTTGAGATCATTCGAACGAGCGATGTGAGAGATCCTTCACAAAGTGGTCCAATCGGCTCCATGGAGAGGTTTCTTGGCCATCCTTGAGATTGACTCGTTCGTTTTGTACTCTTCCTTTGGAAGTGTGTTAATGAAGCTCCATGAAGTGTTTTCCAGCCGGTGGGCACGCCTATGCCGTGATTTGGTTTTGTCGGCCATTTTCTAGACGTAGATCGGCCGGATGTGGCTCCTTGGTCTATCTCCTGAACCGTGAACATTTCACCGTCCTATCTTTTGGATTTGCTGACCAAAATATGATTTTAAGGCCGCCTGTGAAGTTTGGTGGACTGTGGACACACGGTTTGGGAGGTGGCCGATGATTGCTCCTTTCTTCATTTTTCTAGGTTTCTTCTCAAATTTCATGCTAGATTCTCAAATCTCTGTATTCAAAACTTCAAAAACAAAACAAAAACATTAAACTAAAACAAAAAGTAAGAAGGGAAAAGAAAACACCTTATGGGTTGCCTCCCATACAGCGCTTGTTTAATGTCATTAGCTTGACGTTATGGCTCTTCTTAGGCAAGTGGGGCATCGACTAAAGGAATTAGGATCCCTTTAGATTCTCAAATTTCTGGTTCAGGGGGCTCACGTGGTGTTTTGGGCACTCCAAGATCGTCTCCCATATCATTCTTGAAGACTAACGCCTTCCGGAAAAGTTTTAAGGTCCTCCCGAGTTTCTCCTTTGTGGCATGGTCATCTTTAAGCTCCGGATCCTTAGGGATGAGGATTCTTATCTGGGAAAAGGACTTAGACACACCATCAAGCTCCTCTTTAGCTCCATATTCATCAAAGGTGGGAAGCAAAACCGAGTTGATATCCTTGAAGACATCTTTATGTTTCAGCTCTGATGGTTTCTTCCTCTCCTTGGGATAGTTCTTACTCTTCTTGGGATCTTTAGGAAGAAAGGCTCCTTTCTTGGTCGTGAGAGTGGCTTCCTCCGGTGGTAGGTTGGCTGTACTTGAGGCTGACTTGAAAATGTCATAAGATCTAATGTAGAGAGCTTCTTGAGGAACTTCTTGTGACCTTTTAATTTCATCTCCAGGGTCTAAACTTGCCCTCTCCTCACTGTAGATGGTTGTACAACATGAGGGTTCAGTAGGAACTGCAAGATAGAAAACCTTCTTTTTGATTTCGGGGAAAGAGACTTGTCCCTTGCGAAAATAAAACATTGCTCCCACATTTTGAAGGAAAGGAGTCCCAAGGACCAGCGGCATAGAAGCTTCCTCTTGCATCTCTATGATGTGGAAGTCGGTGGGGACTAGACATCCCCCTACTTCCATCACTAGATCACGCACAAAGCCATATGGAGTTGTGCTAGAAGTATCTGCAAACTTGAGCATCTTTCCAGGAGGCTCCATCTCTACAATCCCAAGCTTCTTTGCTATGATTTTAGACATGAGATTCACTGTAGATCTTGTATCACACAAAGAGTCAATAAAATCAATACCATTGATTGTGCATGGGAAAACAAATTGCCCTGGATCTTCCATCTTATGCAGCTTTCTTTGATGAGGTCCCTTGTAGATTGGCTCATCATCTTCAGGCCATTCCAATGGGTTTTTGAGGGTTGAATGATCTCTAGGGGCTGGTGAGACCACGTCCTTGTTCTGAGTTGTGATAACTTTGCAAACTCTTGGATTTAACTCAGTCTTACTTGGAAGAAAACCCTCTTGCCTCTTCATACCTTCTGCTATTTGAGCAACTTGCACCTCAAGCATCTTCACATGATTGGTTAGATCAAAGAGCTTTGCAAATATCTCATCATCTTTTCTGTTGAGATGACCATAGTCGTTCGCCATTTTGACTCAAGGTTTTCAATCTCTTGGGCGTTTTGCTCTTGTCTTTCCATCATATGTTGTTGATTTTCCATTAGCTGTTGCATCATAGCTTCAAGTCTTTCCTCTCTAGCATCAATGTAGTTGACTTCTCCTTGCTGCTTATGAGAGTTATCACCATTACACTCCTCTTTATCCTTACCATGAGAAGCTCCCATGTTCTCACATTGGTATGCATCCCTTTGCTGGTTCTTGAGAAATTGAGCAACCATTGATTTCAGCTCAAGGATTTCTGAAAAGTCTGAACTTGGCTTGATGTGCTCCACGTTTTTCTCATAGTCCAAGCAAGAATATTTGTTGCTTGCAGCCAAGTTATCAATGAGAGTATTGGCTTGAGCAACTGTATTAGTCATGAAGTCCCCTTGACTTGCGATGTTGAGTGCCATCTTGAATTTCTCATCAACTCCTTGATAGAAGAAGTTTAGCAAAGCAATCTCTGTAAAACCATGATGAGGGCACTCTCTCTTGTACTCCTTGAACCGTGAAACAGCCTCAAAGAATGATTCATGTGCCTCATGTCGAAATTCTGAGATTCTTCTTCTCATCCATTTTAATCTCTCTTTTGGGTAGAAATTCTTCAAGAAAGCTCTCTTGTATTCATCCCAAGTAGTGATTGATCCTGCTGGAAGAGCCCTCATCCATTTGTATGCCTTCTCAACCAAAGAGAAAGAGAATAAAGTACACTTCAAGTAATCCTCAGAAACTCCACTACATCTCCTTGTAGCGCAGATTTCTTCAAACTTCTCAATATGATCAATGGGCTGCTCTTCCTCTAGGCCACGAAACTGATGCTGCTCCACCAAAGCAATGAGTTTAGAGCTTATCTTGAACTCTCCAGTAGGTCGTGAAGGGCATATAGGTTGGCGGTTTGTGAAAAAGATGTCTAGTGAATCAAACTCTCCAATGGTGCGGTTTTGAGGATCCATTGGATATCTTCTTCAAGAGGTTCTATCTCTTCCTCAAGCTAACCTGAAACACAAAGAGATAGAGAAAAGTAACCAAAATAATAAAAACAAAAAAACCAAGAAAAACAAGAAACAAGAAATAAAAACGAAAATTAAAGCTATCCTAGACTAGATTCTAATCCGAAACTCAAAGGCAACTGTATTGGTCCCCGGCAACGGCGCCAAAAACTTGATGCGGGATCAGGTTTTACCTATTCCTATCCCTGATTCTGCAAGTGCACAGGTCAGATGTAGTAACGGGTTATCGAACACAAGGACCAGATAAGTTTACACTATGAGTTTATGAGATTCGAATCAAGCTAAGACTCAAGTATGGAGGTTTGTTGTTGTCACGGTTTCAAAGCAAAACAAAGTAAATAAGGTGAAAGCAATAGAAGAAAGCATTGGGCATTAGAGAATTCTCAAGGTTTCATAGATTGGATCAAGCAAATAGATAGGGAAAATCAATAGTTTGTTCTAGAACTCGAATCAATAAGTATAATTGACCTACTCCCGCAGTGCCAATTACTATGTCTAACAACCTAAATCACACAACTTCCGCAGGTAATCAAGAGGTTAAGCATGTAAGAACAGTTCAAATTCGATAGATATACTTCCGTAGGTCTAGTTCACAAAGCCTAGCAATTCTACTTCCGTAGGTTACTATGCCTTGCTCATCTAAGTTGATTCAAGAGATTTATCAAACTTTCAGAAAGTAAATCTACTTAAGAACAGTAGCTTAGACGGTCAATCAAGCTATAAGCAATAAGCACAAACTTAGATGAAGAACACTAATGATAAAACCCTAATCTAGCAACCTAACAATCAATCCATGAAAACCCTTTGAAAACTCTTAAACCCAACAAGGAGATTACTCAAGCATAGTAAGACAGATCAAGCATAGAGATGAAGAAGAATTCATAATAAAACTTGAAGAAAGTAAAAGGGTTTAGAAATCTCCTCTATAGTGTTACAAAGGTGAGATCTTCTCCCATGAAGCTCTAAAACGAAATCAATGTAAAACTCTTTATAACTATGGCGGCTTGATGATAAGATTTGTGTGTGGATGTGAAAAGATATGAAATGAGATGAGTGGAATGCAATCAGTGGTATATGATGAGGTGGTAAGATGCAAACACAAACACAGTCAACAATTCCCTTTAACCATGATAGTTGATGTAGTACAAAGGGTTATCAATCCAAAATGGGAAACTTGTCACTCTATGAGAATATGAAACAACCAGGAAGTCAAGCAAGCAGTTAAAGATTTGAAGTAACACTAACAACCTAAATAAAATGAAAAGCAGTGCAATAAAAGTAAACAAAGCAGTGAAGTGTCAGCTCGACCAAGAGCTCGAGTCGAGTCAGAGCAAAGTACCAGCTCGATCGAGTTTAGGGACGAGTTGAGACAAACAAAGCTAAAGGTGACGACTTTAACAAGATAAAGAGAGAATTAGGGTTCAAGACAGGGTTTTGCAATCAAAGGAATCTACACTTAATCAATCTAGCTCTTAAAACTCCTTGTATCAAGGCTTCTCTTGATATTGGGCTTCTCAATGCCTAGCCAACCCTTTCCCAAGGTGGAGGCTATCAACCAAGGAATGATCTCAGAAACAGGGGGTTAGCCAGTGAGAATCAAACCTTGGAGGCTATAGGATCATTGCCCAAACTAATCCATCCAACCCCTTAGACCTCTATTGTCTAGAGCAAGAGATATTGGAGCTCTTAGTGGATCTTTTCCAGCGAATGCCATCACTTTCGTGTGGGGAGTCGCCTAAGGACTTACAAGCCAGGGGTAGTGGTCATGTAGCCTTAAGATCTATCCAAAAGAGAGAGAATCTAGATTAAGACCATAAGCTAGAAGGATTAAGCATATGAAACCTCTAATCTATCCCATCTCAAACCCCAATGGGTAACTACTCACTACACATGAATGTAAACACAAGCAAATGCAATAAAAGAGACATCATAAGAAAGAGGAGATGAAATTAAACAACTTTTATTGAAATAAGCAAGTGCAAATACAAGAGAGATTATCCAGGATCTAGGATTCAAGAAGCAAGAGCTTCAAGAACACAAAGATGGGATTAGATCTCTAAAAAGTAAAAGACAATAAATTAAAAGAAACTAAAACAAAATAATCTAAAGCTTGGTGGTTTTTTCGTGGCTTAGAGCCTTTAAATACAAGAGGATTAGGTTTAGGGTCAAAGGAAAGTCAAGGGGGAAGCAACATTTTTCGGGTTTGACTGTTGACTTCTCAGCTCGATCGAGTTGAAGCTTGGCCGGTCGAGTTGAGGAACTCGACCGGTTGGTCGAGTAGACGGTCGAGCTGGTCTTCAAGATGGCTTCTCCCTTCTTCCTTTGCGTATCCAGTTGAGCTGCTTCCATGTGCCAAGTCCCTCCATGCTCCTTATGTCCCATATGCTCCAGAATGCTCCAAAAGACCTATTTCAAAGGACCAAACATGCATATGTATGCAAATGCAACCTAAAACTAACATGAATGCATAAGAAGAGAAAAGGAACAAGATATGATGCAAATGGAAGCTAAAACTATGCAAAAGATGCATAAAAGATGTGCTAAAACTATGTAAAATGCAAGTACATCAACACCCCCAAACTTGAACTTTGCTTGCCCTCAAGCAAACAAATAGAACAAGAAAGAGATGAGGTTTGAAAAAAGCTGATTCAACACTTAAAAACATGTCCTCAAAAGCGATTTGCTAAATGTCCAACTTAGAGATTCTAGAATGCAACAAGGTGAGAGATATTCATTAAGATTTAACCATGCTTATCAACATCAATCCCACTTCACAGTCACTCAAACAATGCATTCAAATCAGCAAATCCCTTTAACATTCATTAAGCAAAAACAGTGAACCAAAAACATGCAAGATCAATCAACTCATTTGGTTTCAAGGGTTTATGGGTTAAGAGACAAAGAGGGTCTCTTTTGTATGGTGGTTTAGTAACAGGGATCTCTCAAGAAAGTGGCTTTGCTTTGGCAGAAGGCTAAGTGTTAGAACCAAAGATGATGCAAGAACAGCAGCTCGAGCCGCCTAATCCTAACTCGATCGAGTTCAACACTTAGAGCTTTTTAGAACAAAATCCTAACTACCCTTTTTGGCATTTCGCCTTTGAAACTGAGGAGCTTTGCTCACTTTTCTTTTAAGAACTTCCTAGGGAGAGGCTTCTTGAGGTAACATCTAGCGGTTTGGGATTTTCTAAACACTTAGGGAACTTTTCTTTCCTTTTTGACACTTGAGGCTTTGCCTTCTTTTCATTCTACTTAGAACCCTTTTTACTTTCCTTTTTTAACTTCCCAAACCTTTACTAGACCCTTTTTAACACTGCCAACTCCCTGGACTTAACTAAACTCTTTTTCCTTTGGGTTTTTCCCAACTTTTACCACTTTTCTGGTTTTTACACCCAACTCGATCGAGCTCGAGTTGGCACCCCCAAACTTAGCCTGAAAACAATCCCAAGAGAACTAGACAACTAGAACTACTGCCCCTGCCGGTTTAAACACAACACCTTATGCTAAGCAAAGCCAAGAAAGGTTCTCACAATTCGCACAAGAGATAATATGGGGTTTGAAATGAAAAGGCTTAGGTTTAAGGTGTGGTAACTGTCTCAAAGATAGAGATCAGCTATCTGGACAAGCAAAAGGGATATGAAAATAGGTAAAGAATGTCCAGATATGTATGTGGTAGCCATGAGTTGAAATCAAATGCAAGCATTGGTAATTAAAGATCAAGTTATGGTTCAAATAGATAGGGAAATGCATCAAATCACAGCAATGGTTGAATGAGATGTGCATGCAGTGATATGATCAAGATAAACATGGTTCTTGCTGCTCAATCAATCTCACCCTAATGCACAAAAGAATCTAAAAACAGGGCACTCAAGAAATCGCAAAAGATGAACAAGTTTTCAAAGTCAAATCAACAATGCAAGTGAAAAATGCAATCCTAAACAAGTCTAACAAATATGAATGCAAAAAGATGAAAATATTTTTGGATTTTTTGAAAATTTTATGATTTTTTTGGTTTTTCTATGCAAAAGATAAATGAAAAACTAAGAACAAAGAAAACAAGGTTAAATCATCTCTTGAACCCTCCCCCAAACTTAAATCACACAGTCCCTTGTGTGAGAAAAATTTAGTGAAAGATTCAAGAGGGCAAAACCAAGAAAAAACAAGAACAAATGCAAGAAAATATGAAATGGTATATACAAGGGTTGGTGTTTGGATACCTCAGTGCCCCCCAAAGAACTGGGAGGCTAGGTCGTGGTCTGGAGATGGTAGACGGCCATCAGGAGCGCTCCATGCAACTGGGGTTGCCTCTTGCGGCTCACTCGATCGAGCTTGTGGCTCCTCTTCCTCCTCTTCTTCATCGTAGTAGCACTCAGGCTCACCCAATCAGCACTCTCCTGCACTCATCTTCAGCTTGAGTCTCAGCTCGATCCTCAGCTCGATCGAGCTCGGTCCTCTTCTTGCAAATCCGCTTCATGCCCAACAAAGTGTACACAGGGGGTCTGAAATCAATGTTTGTACCTCCTAGACCGTGGTGAGCTCAGGGTTGGGCAGAAGAAGCTTGGAGGGTCCAGCCAAGGATGGTGAACTTGAATTGGAACTCCCATCCAACTCCTTGTGCTCAATGAGAAGGTTGGTCTTGCAAAACTTGATGTCCATCCAACCTGGTGGAGTAGACCTTCTCTTGTCCACTTGAACTCCTGCTGCACAAAGAATTGGTGTGATCACCCCTCCAACACTAAGCTTTCCTTCCTCTTGGTGCCTAGTGTTGTAAGCTGTGACCTTGTAGGCTTGGAGCTGCTCAAGGAGAGGCATGAGATTCCCTGTGTGTGCCCTGTCTCCTCTGATCTTCTTCCCATCTTGTGCGTGAGATGATGGGCTTGATTCCCATGTCAAGGAGCTTCACTTCTCCCTCATTGATTGTCCAGTGGCCTTCCTTGCAAAGAAGGTGTTGGCAAGTGCCTTGTGGACATATCTCAAGCACTGGGCTCCTGATCTGAGCAGCCTTGGACCTTGAGGAAGAGTACACTCCATCAGCGATTGTAGCCCAACTCTTTGGAGTTCTTTTCCTTGATGTTCCATGGTTACCTTCTCCATAGTGAACCCAAACAGTATCTCAAGCTGCCTAAAGGTCACCATCTTCTTCTCTCCCTTTGCCAAGAAAGTTATGTACCCCCAGCCTTGGTCCAACTCAGCTCGATCGAGCTCATCAAACTGTGATGCTTCATTGAGCCAAAAACTCACAAGTGAGCTCCTTGTAAGACTCCATGCGGTGAGAGAAGAACTTCCCCAATTGCATGTTCTTGAGCACCAACTCCACATCCTCAAAGATCCAAGGCTCTCATGTGTCATCATGTGGGTACTTGGTCTCCACAAAGTCCATGGAGAAGAGAGCATTGTAGTGCTCTTGGTACATGGGGAGCTCATCCTCCTCTTGCTCTTCCTCAGCCTCTTCCATGGCTCATCTTGGTTCCCCTCTTGTCATCTTCATCAACCAATTGGTTCACCTCTTCTCCTTCCTCTTCACTCTCAGTCTCATCACTCCTTCTTCATTTGGAGAACCATTTCCCTCCTCTTGAACAAGGTTCACTCCAATCTCAAACTCCCCTTGCTCACTCTCACTACTAATAGGGTCATTCCTCTTCTTGGTTCTCCTTTCTTCCCTCAATCTCTCACTCTCAGACTGTCTCCTCAGAGTAGACATATCCCTCTGCATCAGATTCTTCCATCCTCTGATCCATCCTCTCAAATCGGCTTGCATCTTAAGCCTTCTTTCCCTTGCATTGCTTGATTCACCCTCAACCATTCTCCTTTGTGAAGCACGCTTCCCTCACTGTTTGTCATCTTGTTACACTGTTCTTCACTAAAGTACCTGAAATGCATCAAAGATTACAAAGAATTAGAGTTGTAATGATCGGTTTGGTCAACTCGACACTCAGCTCGATCGAGTCAAAAAACTCGAGTGACAAACTCGATCGAGTTGGGTGAAAACAGAGTATAACCAAACCTAATTCAAGTATTAAGAGCTGGAAAGGATGCTAATCAATCAAATTGAACCAAGAACAACTAGTAAATGGAACAATGAGCAACTAGTAGAGAAGCACTAAGCATCTTAACCAATACCAAACTCAAATTCAATTTTCAAGCACATGCAACAAGTTTAAAGGCAAAACAGAGGTGAGGTGACAAACTAACAAGATTATATAGCAGAGGCGAAATATGAGCAATTACTCAAGAACAAGTCCACAAGGGACACATGCAATCAAAAATCAAAGAGAAACAAGCAATATGAAATCGAGATGGAGAATAAAGGGTTTTAGGGTTCATACCTTGTTGAATGATGGAATTGAAGAGCAGTAAACAAAACCCAAGCAAAACAAGATGAAGAACAAGGAAATCGCAAAAACTTAAGAGAGAGATTGAAATCGATTTTTCTTGTGGTGAAGAGAGAGAGAGATGAGTTTCAGAAATTTTAAGTGTGGGAGAGAGAAGGTGGATTCGATCGAGTTATGGGGAAGAGGGGTGTTTGAGATGTGTGGTTGAGATTAAAAGATGAAATAAAGAGGGAACAAGAAGCTAGGGATTCTCTGATCAAATTAGGGTAGTGGGGGACCAAAATCAGCTTGTGGGACCCACTCCCTTGACCAAGAAAACGGTTATGAATTTGAAATTCAAAAACTTACCTCGGTCGAGTTGTGTAGCTCGATCGAGTTGCCCTGGTTTCTAGCTCGATCGAGCTATCGGTCGAGCTGGCTCCTTTGACACCTAAACTTAACTTATTCAAAGGTTAAAAACATAAAGATAGATAGAAATTGCATAAATAGAGTATGTACAAGGATAAACATGGGACTTCCTCCCAAGTGAGCTTGTTTAAGGTCCCATAGCTTGACCTTTACCTTCTTAGGCATTGGTTGAGCTAGTCCCACCATCAAGGGTGATAGTGAGGACTTGAGACAGAAGCTCCTTTAGCTTGGTTGGGTCCCTGGACTGTTCTGAAGTCACCAAGGCCTTGGCTCTAGAGAATGGCCTTGATCTCCCCTTGTACCTTATCTTGTACTCAATCTTCCCATTTTCAAACTTGGTGGGGAACAAAGTCATTGTGAGCTGAGATGGCTTGACTGAAGGGGCCTGAGCTGGTGGATCCTTTCTTTTATCCCTGGTCTTGCCTTAGAGGCTGCATCCTCCCCTTCTTTTAGAGCCCTTCCTAGTGGCTCATCAAACAAAGCTTGAAGGCTCTCTTCATCAAGCACACAAGGGGCTTGAACAAGTCTCTCAGCTCTTGGCCTATCAGATCGTGGTTTCTCAACTCTAGCCCTCTCAAGACGTGGCTTCTCAATCCTTGGTCCTCTCTCATCCTTATCCTTCCCAACTCTTGGTTCCTTGTCAACCCTTTCCTTCACAACCTTTGTAGCTCCATGACTCTTAGAACTGAGAGTGGTACTGTCAATTGTGGCACAAAAGTCTGAACCTCTAGGCTGCAAGCGATATGACACCAAACTATTCACCTTGTGAAGGATCACTTCTTGCTTGTGAAAGTCTATTGAAGCGCCAACTGTACTAAGGAAAGGGGTTCCCAATAACAGAGGTAAATCCTTCTCTTCTTCCATTTCCATCACAGTGAGATCAGTTTGGATGATGCATTCTCCAATTTTCAAGTGATAGTTCTTGAACACTCCAAGAGGAGACTTAGAAGTTGCATCTCCAAACATGATTGAAGTAGTAGGGCGCTGCAAGGCTCCAGCAATGCCTAGCTTCTCTGCCATGGAGAGAGAGATCAGATTGATGCTTGCTCCAGAATCCACTAAGGCATTGTCAATCTCAAGATGCCCAAGTGTGCAAGGGAGAGTGAATTTCCCTTGATCCTTGACCTTTGGTAGGAAGGTGGGTGAAGTAAGCAGGTTGAACTGATGAGTAGACTCTTGTAGGACCTCTGAAACTTTATCACTGTTGGCTAGAACATCCTTGACCATTTGCATTTGATCAAATGCCTCACTCATGCTATCCATAGGAGGCAACTCAATTCCAATCCCACTGAGATCTCTTCTGAACTTGTGAATCACTTCCTTGTGACCTTGACTAAGTAGGCGAGACGAGGAAGCGGCAACCGGTTGATAAGGATCAAGCAAAACAGGCTGTCGGACAGAAGAGGTCGGACTCGATCGAGCTAGAGTTGGACTCGATCGAGCTGCCGATCGAGCTTGTCGTGCGAGCTCAACTGGTGAAGTGTGAATGGCCACAGTAGGTGCATGCACTTCTGGTTGATCAATCTGGACTCCAGGAGCCTCAGCAGCAACAATCTCTTCATCATTCAGCAGTAAACAAAAATCTTCAATGACCCTTTCTTGATCCTCTTCTTCAACAAGTCCTTCTTGAGTGAAGATGACCTTGCACTGTTCCTTGGGGTTCTGAATAGCTTTACCAGGTAGTTGTCCTTGCTTTGTAGCAGCAGCAACAGAAGAAGCATGATTCTCCAGAGAGTAAACCCTTGTGTTGAGGTTCTCGATCTTAGAGTTTATTTCAGCTAGCTTCTTGCTTGTGTCCACTACCCCATCAGCTTGCCCTTGAAGTAGTTGCTTTAGCATTGCCTTGAGCTCATTCTCTTGTGAAGGTGCAGGCTGGGGCGGTTGGTGGGGGAAGCCTGGTGGGATATTCATTTGTTGTCCAGGGAAAGTGCCTTGTGGTCCTTGGTAATTGTTCTTTTGACCATACCCATGTTGTGGCACCTGACTCGATCGAGCTGCTTGTTGTTGAGGATATACTTGGTCCTGAGGGTTAGCAACATCAGTGTTGCGGTATGACATGGCAGGGTTGGACTTGTAATTATAGTATCCTTTGTTGTAACCTCCTTGCCCATTGCTCATGTAGCACACCTCAGCAAATTGTGTATCCTCCCCTTCTTGGACTGGTTCCATCTCCTCAGCAGACACAAAGTTGACTTTCTTCATTGTGGACTGAGCTAGGATCAGCTTATCCAACTTCTCATTCAATGCCTTAACATCTTTTCTCAACTTTTCGTCTGACTCGATCGAGTGGTGGGTCGAGCTCCGGTTGGTGCGATCATACTCTTCTCCATAGCTTCCATTTGAGTTAGCTATGTTCTCCACAAGTTGCCAGCCATCATCTACATCCTGGTTGAGGAAGTTCCCATTGCTAGCTGTGTCTAGCATCTCCCTATACCTAGGCAAGCATCCTCTATAAAGAGTGGAGAGTAGTGATTCATTGTTGAATCCATGGTGTGGGCACTGACTTGTGTAGCCTTTGAACCTCTCCCAAGCCTCTGCGAATGTCTCATTGTTTCGCTGGATGAAGCTGGATATCTCTCCTCTAAGCTTGGCTGTGCGACCGGTGGAGAAAAACTTAGCAAGAAAGGCCTTCTTGCATTCATCCCAAGTGGTGATTGTGCCATGGGGCAAGCTCTTCTCCCATTGGTGAGCTTTGTCAGCTAGAGACATAGGAAAGAGTCTCAGCTTGATGGCATCTTCAGAGACACCATTGATCTTTGTCAAATCACAAAGCCTATCAAACTCATCAAGGTGGTCAATGGGGTCTTCACTTGGCAATCCATGGAACATCTTGTTCTGGACAAGGTTGATCATTCCCAGCTTGATCTCAAAGTTGTGGTTCTGCACTGGTGGTGGAACAATCCCTTGTCTCTGTTGGTGGCGGTTTGGAGCATCTCCTTGACCAATCGGTCGAGTTTGCCTAGCTCGACCGAGTCCATTCCCAAAGGGTTTCCATTCCCCTCTGGTACATCCATTGTATCAGCAACAAGCACCTCAGGTTCCTCTTGTACCCTCTGTGACCTCTGAACCCTCTTTCTACCCGTTGTAAGTCTAGCTCGACCAAGTCTTCAGTAGACCGACTCGATCGAGTTCGCATACACCTGCAAAAAGAGACAAAAACCCAGCAGTACAATAGAACAGGGGTGGTATAGCTTGATCGTCCAAGTGTGTTTGAAACTCAAATGCAACAAAAATATTCCCAAATCGGCAACGGCGCCAAATTGATGATAGGATTTGTGTGTGGATGTGAAAAGATATGAAATGAGATGAGTGGAATGCAACAGTGGTATATGATGAGGTGGTAAGATGCAAACACAAACACAGTCAACAATTCCCTTTAACCATCATAGTCATGTAGTACAAAGGGTTATCAATCCAAAATGGGAAACTTGTCACTCTATGAGAATATGAAACAACCAGGAAGTCAAGCAAGCAGTTAATAGATTTGAAGTAACACTAACAACCTAAATAAAATGAAAAGCAGTGCAATAAAAGTAAACAAAGCAGTGAAGTACAGCTCGACCAAGACTCGAGTCGAGTCAGAGCAAAGTACCAGCTCGATCGAGTTTAGGGACGAGTTGAGACAAACAAAGCTAAAGGTGACGACTTTAACAAGATAAAGAGAGAATTAGGGTTCAAGACAGGGTTTTGCAATCAAAGGAATCTACACTTAATCAATCTAGCTCTTAAAACTCCTTGTATCAAGGCTTCTCTTGATATTGGGCTTCTCAATGCCTAGCCAACCCTTTCCCAAGGTGGAGGCTATCAACCAAGGAATGATCTCAGAAACAGGGGGTTAGCCAGTGAGAATCAAACCTTGGAGGCTATAGGATCATTGCCCAAACTAATCCATCCAACCCCTTAGACCTCTATTGTCTAGAGCAAGAGATATTGGAGCTCTTAGTGGATCTTTTCCAGCGAATGCCATCACTTTCGTGTGGGGAGTCGCCTAAGGACTTACAAGCCAGGGGTAGTGGTCATGTAGCCTTAAGATCTATCCAAAAGAGAGAGAATCTAGATTAAGACCATAAGCTAGAAGGATTAAGCATATGAAACCTCTAATCTATCCCATCTCAAACCCTAATGGGTAACTACTCACTACACATGAATGTAAACACAAGCAAATGCAATAAAAGAGACATCATAAGAAAGAGGAGATGAAATTAAACAACTTTTATTGAAATAAGCAAGTGCAAATACAAAGAGAGATTATCCAGGATCTAGGATTCAAGAAGCAAGAGCTTCAAGAACACAAAGATGGGATTAGATCTCTAAAAAGTAAAAGACAATAAATTAAAAGAAACTAAAACAAAATAATCTAAAGCTTGGTGGTTTTTTCGTGGCTTAGAGCCTTTAAATACAAGAGGATTAGGTTTAGGGTCAAAGGAAAGTCAAGGGGGAAGCAACATTTTTCGGGTTTGACTGTTGACTTCTCAGCTCGATCGAGTTGAAGCTTGGCCGGTCGAGTTGAGGAACTCGACCGGTTGGTCGAGTAGACGGTCGAGCTGGTCTTCAAGATGGCTTCTCCCTTCTTCCTTTGCGTATCCAGTTGAGCTGCTTCCATGTGCCAAGTCCCTCCATGCTCCTTATGTCCCATATGCTCCAGAATGCTCCAAAAGACCTATTTCAAAGGACCAAACATGCATATGTATGCAAATGCAACCTAAAACTAACATGAATGCATAAGAAGAGAAAAGGAACAAGATATGATGCAAATGGAAGCTAAAACTATGCAAAAGATGCATAAAAGATGTGCTAAAACTATGTAAAATGCAAGTACATCACGGCTCTCCCTTCTAATGAGGCTAAAAAAGTGTATTTATAGTGCCCTAGGTCTTCACAAGTCGGTTTAGGTTAAATGGGCTGAGAATAGTCGAAACTGCATAAGTGGGCTTCTTGTTCGCGGAGATCGGGTCGAGCGCGGTCCTTTGCTTCCCGGGTCGCACGGTCTGGTCGGCCGTGATGTGATGATCTCGGTCGATCGTGGTCCATTTCCTCCCGGGTCGGACAGTGTGGTCGTGCGGCCGGATCGGTCCTGGAGAAGGCCGATCGAAGCCAATTCCCTTCCTGTCCGGCCGAGTGCGTTCGGCCGGCTGTTAACCAGTCTTCAGTACAAACGTGATATCTCCTAAACGGCGCATCCAAATTGCATAATTCCAACGGCATTGGAGCAATAACTCATCTGCCTATCTTGGTATCGAGTTTCATGGAAATCCATTGAGTTTAAGGGTCCAAGCCGCTGCTGCCCGTTTGACGTACTGATGCAGTCCGATTAAGCTCTCTCGTATATGTCTCAGGGAAATAGAGATATCTCCCAATCTACTCGGTCAAATTGATTGATTCCAGTTGCATTGCAAAGCTAACTCATGTATGCATCTCCTCGAACTGTATTTGATGAAGTCCATTGAGTAGAATGGTTTTAAGGCCCTTCTAAAGTTGATGCTACGTCCTGGAGTGGTCTTGAAGTCCAAATCCTGTGTTTTGCTCCAAAATGCATCTTTTAACCTGTTTAGACTCTAAGTACTATAAATCCATAAAAACTACCTTTTTAGATCAGAAAGCCATTAAAAACCTTATGAAAAGCATAGTAAAACCATATAAAAAGCATGTAAAATAGAGGTATATCACGCTTATCCATCCTTTGAAGGACCTAGCCGAGACGAGCATCATTACCATCATCATCAAAACCGACCTCCGGTTTATCATCAACCACCTAGACCAGTGTTGCATTCACACCACGACCATGTTCTCAATAGGCGGAGAGATAGCCATTTCGATGCCGTGCTTGAGGGTTTCATGGAGAGCCAAAGAAAAACTAGCCGCGACATTGAGACAAAGCTAGAGTTCACGCGATACGAACTAGATGGAAGACTTGGAGAACTCTCTACCCAAATAGAGAGAGTAGAGTCAAGATGCTTGGACATGGAGGAAGATTTGAAGAAGCAAGGCGAGGCCATTGAAGACAATAGGAGAGCGATACACTTTACCAAAGTTTCTACCAAGGAGATGGACAATCACTTAGATGAGAAGATCTCAAGTCTTGATAACAACCTCGATGGCACCACCAAGAGTCTCAATTCAATAACAGCAGTAGCTCATCAAGCTAAGAGGGAGGTAGCCGAAGTAACCCTAAAGGAGAGGCAATGTTACTCGACGATGCTTACATTGGTGGAAGGGCAAAAACAAGTGAAGGCACAAATCCGAGATTTACACATCTCTCTAGACAAGAGGAGCCAAGATATTCAAAGAAGAGCTAGAGGGCTTGAAGACAAAGTAGATGGAGTCTCCAAGGAAGTCAAGGATTTAACCACTCGCTTAGCCAACTTGGAAGAGAAGGTCTTGACCGAGGCAAAGACGACCGTTCTAAGCACAACCATGCCGCGCCCGTCTTTACTATAAGAGAGACCGACCCAAGAGTGATTTGGGATGAAGAAGAAAGGAGAGCTGATCAAGAAAGAGCCACAAGGCTAACCACTGGAACAAGAGAGAAGATAGCACCAAAAGGAAGAACCCTTACTCAAAGGTCTTCACAACCGCCTCCCACCAAGGAGAAGAGGAAGACAAGATCATCACTTGAAGAGATCATAGATGATTTCAACTTTATGGCGAGGAGATTCCCTTATGGTGTGCCGTTTGATAATGCTTGCAACAAGAGTCCATTCATGCAAGACCTAGCTTGGACACAAGATTGGAGTCTAGCTGAATTGGAAAAGATGTACGAGGAAGCAAGAAAGGGAATGCCTAAACCTAGGTTTCTACACAAGCTTCATGACCCAGGTTACTTCCTTATACATTTCTCTATCAATGGAAGCTACTTTGATGATGCTCTTTGCGATTCCGGTTCTAGTGTGAACCTTATGCCGGCCGAGATAGCCAAGAAGTTGGGATTGATCAATTCAATTGTGAAATCTCGAATGGATTTAAAGCTAGCTGATTCATCATTGACCGAACCACTTGGAGAGGTTAAAGACATTCAGCTTGATTTTGGAGGCTGCATAGTTCCAGCCAACTTCTATGTAGTAACCATGAAGGATCCGGAGGACTTAAAGCTTTTGCTTGGAAGATCATTCCTAGCCACAGCTGGAGCGATCATGGATTGGCCTAATAGAAGAATCTCTCTAGCCAATGTTGACAAGGACACCTTCTACGATGCTGCACCTCCCGGTTTCTCATCCAAGCGATTTCGCTACACAAGTGGAGGAGAGTGCTCACAAGTAAGAGGAGAGTCGCATGGCTACTTGATCAAGGAAGTTCTACAGGACAAGATGCACTTGGAATCATCAGGCAACAGGAAGTTCTTGGAGCCACCAATCCTACCTAACTAAGAACACAAAGGAGTCGAGCTACAAAGACTTAAAACAAGCGCTTGTGGGAGGCAACCCACATTTTCTTATCCCTTCCTCTTTTTATTTTTGTTTTTATTTTTATAACTACTTATTTGTTCTATTTATAACTCTTAAATTTTTGAGAGTTTAATAAATTTTACAAAAATAAAATAAAAAGTGTTTTAGGAAAAAGTACCAAAAAGGAGGCTTACATGAAAAATGCATTGGAAAAGCTACATCGCCACTAATCGGCCCAAGGATTAACCATCTTTGGTCTAAGTGTCAAGTTTGAGTCTAGTTTGAGTCCCACCCAAGTCCCACCCATGTTTCAAGAAGTCCAAGAAGGGCGCACACGGGCCATTGGAACACTATTGCACAAGGCAAAGGTAAGTATCACTTCCATTCTTAAATGTCATTTCTTTTAAACACATTATCTCTCATTACACATGAACACTACTTGGATCTCTGATCAAGATCCAAGTACATGTAGTGGTCACGATCAAGTCTTTGATTGGGAAGTTCAAACTATTTTGAACAACTCAATCATTGACAGAGTTTAACAAAGAGTTACTAGTGTTTTTCAGATATAAACATGACAGGAAAACCGGTTCAAAATATCAAACAAACATGGCGCGCAAGGAAGCCACAACCGGCCAAAGGAGGATTTACATGCCAAACATGAGAGATGAGGGAAATCCAACCACAATTCAATCCAGGAGGGATAGAAAAACAGTTCGGTCGAAGCAGAACTCAATTGGCCCGAGTAAAAAAGGAGATATCACATTCCAATCACTCTCTCGGCCAGAATCGACGAACCAAGCGACAATGCTCGACCATCTCCCAAACGGCACGACCGAAGTCCACCAAACTTCACAGGCGACCTCAAACATCATTTTGGTCGGCAAATCCAAAAGATAGGACGAGAAAAGTGCCTGCTACGTGAGATAGACGAAGGAAGCTCAATACGGCCGACGGCGATGCATAGAATGGCCGACGAACTCAAAACCTCAAGAAGGCGCGAACACCGGTGGAAACTGATCCTCTGGAGTCCAAAAAACACCAAGGAAGAAGAAAGGAAGGAGACGATCGAACAGAATACAAGATGGCCAAAGGAATCACATCCGACCCATTGGCGCGCACACGAAAGATCTCCGAATCCACACGTTCAAATCGCCTCAAACTTCACAAGGAGCCACAAAACATAAGGTTGGTCGATGAAATTCATTTCAGTACAATGAATTCCTTACAATTCAAGAGATGGCCGATGGAGTGAAATTTGGCCGATCGCGAGCAAGTAAAATGGCCGACAATCCAAATCACGGCATTTACCGCGGCCACCGGCTCAAATCACCTCAATCAAGCATCCACATCGCATCTAAAGAAGAAAATCCGGATTGGAACGAGCAGAATTGGAGAAGACCGAAGGAAGACGTTCCCGGAGCCAATTTGAAAATTTTTCAAAGGAGATCTCAAACCACTCGTTCAAACGACCCCAAACTTCACCAGTCGCCATATTATACAATATTGGTCGACGAAATTTCAAGATAGGTCGAGGAAATCTTCACGGTTCGAGCTGTAGTCCATACCATCACCATCCGGTCGACCAAAACGGACCAGTCTCGGCCAAAAAGGCGAAAAACAGAAAACCAAGGGAGAATTGTCACATTCATCCAACCAAATCCAACAGCTATGATGTTTGCACCAGTCAGTTCATTCCTGGAAGCAACTACAAGCGCACAACCGATCTTCACATCAAAGGCCAAAAATTTGGGTACAATTTTCTACAAACTCTAACTTTTCCATTCTATTTATCATTACCTCTCTTAATTGGATTTTTCTTACACCGAGACGGTGCAAGTTAAGTCTGGGGGGATTACTAACAAGTTTGTTCTTTTTGAATTTTCATTGAGTCGTTTTATTGAGTCAAAATTTTGTCAAAGGATTATGACCTTATCTTGGATCTAACCATTGTTGTGCTAACGTTTAAGTGACCATTGAAGCAGTCTTGGCAATACATCTTACCACAGGGACACTATGAGTTGATCGATCTACCAAAAACGCCCACACCTCCAAGGACTTGAGAAGGATCCACTCTTGACTCCGCCCTTAATGAACTTAATCTTCTCAGCTAGGGGCTTGGCATACAAATGGCATGATTCCTCATCCTCTCCATCAAATGAAAAAGTCTTAGTGAGTTCGTGCTTCCCTCTCTCTCCCCTTCAAATTTAAAGAAAAAGCGTAAGGTCCAAGTAACCGGGGATTCGGTGGCAAACACCATCAATACTCGCGTCTATGGAAGGCCTATGAATCCAAGCAACCGGGGATTCGGTGGCAAACACCATCAATACTCGCGTCTGTGGAAGATCCAAGCAAAACCTCTATAATAAAGAGAAGGAGTTGAATAAAAAAATACTTCGCTACCCTAAAAAAGGGATGAATCAACTCAAAGAAGTGAGAAGAGAGAGAGGAGAAACATGGAGTAAAAAGACAAGTGCCAAAACAAGGGGATGAGTAAGAGTCTAAAGCCGGCTGATCGATACTCCCTAGTTGAGACCACACCTTTAGAAATGAAAGGAGTCAAGGAGGGTGAATTGGATTGTCCAAAGAGAGGTGGGCCGCCTTGGAAAAATCGCAAAACTCATGGTATGTACTCTTGTTCTTAATTCAAATATTTGCCTTTACTACTTTCATGTGGATTACTAAAACCAAGCCAACCCGGATTTCCTAATGATTTGAGAGTTCTTGCGTTTTCAAACCTCTCTTCCTCTCTTAGTTTGCTTGGGGACAAGCAAAAGGCTAAGTCTGGGGGAGTTGATATACCATATCTTTCATGTTTTTATCAAGGTTTTCACTATGTTTTTAATACAAATAATGTGGTTTTTAAGCCCAAGAGGTAGTTTTCTTGTATATTCTGGTTTTGAGCATCATTCAGGTCAAAATAGCAAAGAAGAGTCCAAAATGGAGCAAAAAGAGTCAAATCACCAAGTTCCCAAGTCTAGAGCACCAAATCTACATTTCTCGCTAAAGACCAAACCGGAGCATCCGAAGTACGACCGCATGTTCATGCCTTCCCGACGTCCAAAAGTCATGATTCTTATATGGAAAGATAGATATTTGAGTCATGACCCGCGGCGAAGTGGAAAGAGGTCATTTGGATCACTCGTTGGACCGGAACTTATTTTCTACCAAGACATGTCCGACGAGCGCCTAAGTAGAGCCCATGGAGACTTTGATGGATCAAGAGGCCCGGATACCGCGCCCAAGGCCTTGGCTCATCTTGACACTAGCATAACTCAATCCAGAAGCTTCCATTGGCCTGAACGCGGCCCATTCAAGAACTTGGAGAGCAAGCTCAAGCGGCTAAAGAGAAATGGAAACTTTCCTCTTCTGCGCGCGCTCAACTTTGCCGACCTAGACCCGCTCTCTACCTATATATACTTGCTTTTAGCCTCTTGTAATAAGAATCACCAGCCGCATAACAAGAAACACTTATTCAATAAAGTTCGGAGCCACTTAGGTGGTCTCCTTCTTCTTTCTTTTCTTCTTTTGCATTTGTATATAGCTTGCATGTTTCAATTTATATAGTCTAGAAGTAGAGATTTCTCCCTAAGGGTGAGGCGTGGTTTAGTCCATATTCCGCCGCCTCTCTCTCTAAGGATTCATGAGACTTCATCTACTATCTAAGACTCATTGTTGAATTATGGATCCTTCCAATGAGGACGTGATATAATGGCCATCGAAAATCGATTGTTAAAAGGGGAAACCCTATGGTTCTCCATCTTTATTTATGCTTAATGCTGTTGCTAGAGTAGCTAACTAGTGACTTGATTTTAGGTTGATATACTCTCCAAAAGCTTGTTATATCTCCGGATATATTTGATGGGCAAATCGTTTTAGGCTACGAAAGTAGACCTAAAGAGTTTTGTGAACAATCATTACTTGGATGTAATGCATGTCTCACTCTACAATGACCAACGAAAGCTGAGCCCATTGGTTTAAGAGACATAGGGGATTGGAACCACGAAAGTGGAATAATCCTTCCTTAGTGTTTTGAGTTCAAAAGAATCGGATTTTAACAAACTTTTCAATCGACTTGGCTCATGTTTTCAAAAGAGTTTTCAATAGTTCAATAATGTTGCTTGTATAGAATTGCATTGTTATTTCTTTTGCGTGTTCTAAACAAACACAAACCCTTGCATCTTTTGATTTAGCTTAGACATTTAAACCAGAATTAAATGAGGGGTTTTTTTTTTATTACATATATTATATCATAAATTTCAAAACAGCGCAAGCAATGGAAAAATAACCAGAAAAATAGAAAAACCTGAAAACTTTAAAACATCTTATAAAACGAGAGTACAAAACAATTTTGATGTTTATTTCACGTATACGAGTGAAGTCTACGTGTAAAGTCTAAAGGAGAACTCTACTAGAACGAGGTTGTACAAAATTAGTAAAATTCAAAAAGCAGCATAGCAGACGAACTTCGGCGTGCGCACAGACTTGAAGTAGCAGGGACGGATAAGCATTTAGATCAGAGTATCTTTAAACCAAAATTAAATGGGGATTTTTTTTTATTACATATATTATATCTTAAATTCTAAAACAGCGCAAGCAATGGAAAAATAACCAGAAAAATTGAACAACCTGAAAACTTTAAAACATCTTATAAAACGAGAGTACAAATCAATTTTGATGTTTATTTCACGTATACAAGTGAAGTCTACTAGAACGAGGTCGTACAAAATTAGAAGAAAAAAAGCAGCATAGCAGACTAACGATGGCGCGCGCGCAGACTTGAGGTACCAGGGACGGATAAACTAAAGCATTTACCCCACTTGCACTCGTTTAAACTAAGCATTTAGATCAGGGTATGTTTAAACCAGAATTAAATGGGGGTTTTTTTATTACATATATTATATCATAAATTCCAAAACAGCGCAAGCAATGGAAAAATAACCAGAAGAATAGAAAAACCTGAAAACTTTAAAACATCTTATAAAACAAGAGTACAAAACAATTTTGATGTTTATTTCACGTATACGAGTGAAGTCTACGTGTAAAGTCTAAAGGAGAACTCTACTAGAACGAGGTTGTACAAAATTAGTAAAATTCAAAAAGCAGCATAGCAGACGAACTTTGGCGCGCACAGACTTGAAGTAGCAAGGACGGATAAGCATTTAGATCAGAGTATCTTTAAACCAGAATTAAATGGGGGTTTTTTTTATTACATATATTATATCTTAAATTCTAAAACAACGCAAGCAATGGAAAAATAACCAGAAAAATTAAACAACCTGAAAACTTTAAAACATCTTATAAAACGAGAGTACAAAACAATTTTGATGTTTATTTCACGTATACAAGTGAACTCTACTAGAACGAGGTCGTACAAAATTAGAAAAAAAAAAGCAGCATAGCAGACTAACGATGGCGCACGCGCAGACTTGAGGTACCAGGGACGGATAAACTAAAGCATTTACCCCACTTGCACTCGTTTAAACTAAGCATTTAGATCAGGGTATGTTTAAACCAGAATTAAATGGGGGTTTTTTTATTACATATATTATATCATAAATTCCAAAACAGCGCAAGCAATGGAAAAATAACCAGAAGAATAGAAAAACCTGAAAAACTTTAAAACATCTTATAAAACGAGAGTACAAAACAATTTTGATGTTTATTTCACGTATACGAGTGAAGTCTACGTGTAAAGTCTAAAGGAGAACTCTACTAGAACGAGGTTGTACAAAATTAGTAAAATTCAAAAAGCAGCATAGCAGACGAACTTCGGCGCGCGCACAGACTTGAAGTGGCAAGGACGGATAAGCATTTAGATCAGAGTATCTTTAAACCAGAATTAAATGGGGTTTTTTTTTATTACATATATTATATCTTAAATTCTAAAACAGCGCAAGCAATGGAAAAATAACCAGAAAAATTGAACAACCTGAAAACTTTAAAACATCTTATAACACGAGAGTACAAAACAATTTTGATGTTTATTTCACGTATACAAGTGAAGTCTACTAGAACGAGGTCGTACAAAATTAGAAAAAAAAAAGCAGCATAGCAGACTAACGATGGCGCGCGCGCAGACTTGAGGTACCAGGGACGGATAAACTAAAGCATTTACCCCACTTGCACTCGTTTAAACTAAGCATTTAGATCAGGGTATGTTTAAACCAGAATTAAATGGGGGTTTTTTTATTACATATATTATATCATAAATTCCAAAACAGCGCAAGCAATGGAAAAATAACTAGAAGAATAGAAAAACCTAAAAACTTTAAAACATCTTATAAAACGAGAGTACAAAACAATTTTGATGTTTATTTCACGTATACGAGTGAAGTCTACGTGTAAAGTCTAAAGGAGAACTCTACTAGAACGAGGTTGTACAAAATTAGTAAAATTCAAAAAGCAGCATAGCAGACGAACTTCGGCGCGCGCACAGACTTGAAGTAGCAAGGACGGATAAGCATTTAGATCAGAGTATCTTTAAACCAGAATTAAATGGGTTTTTTTTTTATTACATATATTATATCTTAAATTCTAAAACAGCGCAAGCAATGGAAAAATAACCAGAAAAATTGAACAACCTGAAAACTTTAAAACATCTTATAAAACGAGAGTACAAAACAATGTTGATGTTTATTTCACATATACAAGTGAAGTCTACGAGTGAACTCTACTAGAACGAGGTCGTACAAAATTAGAAAAAAAAAAAAGCAGCATAGCAGACTAACGATGGCGCGCGCGCAGACTTGAGCTACCAGCGCGCAGACTTTTGAGGTAGCAGGAAAGGATAAGCATTTAGATCAAGGTATGTTCCATAATTAAATGGGGATTTTTTTTTTTTTTGAAATAAAATTTAAATTTAAACTAATATTTTATAAAATTAAAGATAATTCTTATCCAATTTAAATTTAAATAAGAATAACTATTTAAAAAACTATATGTACGCTTTTTACAAAAACAAAAAATTATATGTACGCTTATTAGTTTGGTGTGTATTTCACGTATACGAATAAAGTCTACTAGTGAAATCTACGTGTAAAGTCTAAGAAGAACTATACTAGAACGAGGTCGTACAAAATTAGAAAAAAAAAAAAACAAGCCCACTGACACATTGAGCTTATATTATAAAACCAAAAAAAAAATTATCATATTATCAATTTGAACGCCACAACTTGGCATTGGAGTAATTTTTATATTATTACCAATTAATGTAAGTACATAAGTCTAACTAAAAGTCTGTCACCTTAAGCCAAAAAAAAAAACTAAAAGTCTGTCACCCTATACTTTCTTCTTTTGCAGGCCGTTTTGCTGCCCGAAACCTTTGCTTGTTGACTGTTACTTACTTAACAGACCGTAAGTAAAAATACCTAGAGAGAGAAAAGCGGCCCCCACCTCTCTTTTATTCAAATGGACTATTTCTCTCATTTTCATTTTTAGGGGTACCCGCTAGACATTAGTTCCCTAAATCAAACTAAATCAGAAATCACCCCTTAAAAATATGCTCACCGTTCGTACTCATGTTATTAAGATAAAATGGCATCTTAAGTCCTGAGCCCATAGAGATCTTACTTGAAAACAATAAACCTCCAATAAGCTCAATGTGTCAGTGGGCTCGCATTCAGGATTTTCAAATCCAAAAAGTCTAAAGATGGCCTACGATATGCGCGATAGCTGCTTCTTTTTTTAATAGGAAATGTGAGTTCTTGTAAATTATGAATTCGCTTCATTATCCTATTCTTAGGTCTTTTTGTATTTCATCACATAATGATGATAATAGTCCACAATCATTTGACTCTCACCGTATATGCTCTTCTACAGCGAGAACAAATACTCATTTTGTCGGTTTTATATTATTGCATTCTCGCCGAATAATAAACGAAAAGGAAACGAAGAGTAATATTCGAAGTGGGCTCCTCTTGTTTCCAAAAAGCGATTCATTGAAGAGCAACTTTAACTGAATACATCACACACCCCTAACACAAATCATTAACAACTCCATTTACTATGTTTAGTTTATATTGGCAGAAACCTATCACTATGGCAGGATTTACTGATTATATGAAGTTATTATCTTGTAACCACGGATAGGATTTACTGATTATATGGAGTTATTATCTAGTAACCACGTTGGTTATATACTTATCTACCATGTGCATATGTGCCATTAATTGCTTTATCTGCCATCTGCGTCACACACAGTCCTCGTTGTAGTAGAGATATGTATTCCTTCAACCACCAACTACAACACAATCGCACAAATGCTTCCTCTCACGTAGTGGAATTTCCATATTACCATTCGTTCCTACTGAAATATCAAAATCAATAGTATCTAAAACATTCCAGTTATTCATGTCTTCCAGAGTTAGGCTCCATATCATTACTAAGTCTATGACCAAAAATAATAATATTGAGAAATGGCAGAACATAATTTTGTTTTTGTCAATTAACTCGGTGGAGGAACAACGAGAATACATAAATAGTGATATTCTTCAGAGAGTAATAAATACAATAAATCTTTTATCCCTTCCCATAATTCATATGTTGACACATAACTTTTTCATTTTTTTTAGAAAGCTATACTCTGTTTCAAATTAGTTGTCATTCTAGAGATAAAATTTTGTTTCATATTACTTGTCGTTTGTATTTCCAATATAGATTAATGATATATTTTCCAATTTTATCCTCATTTTTTTAGCTTATTGATTACTTTTATCAAAGAAAACAAAGTACTGAATAGAGATAAAATAGAAAATTTATAAGTTTCTTAATATGCATAAAAATCTCTATAACAACAAGTAAAAAGAAACGGAATGTATATATTTTTTAATATGTGTAAAAAAAACTAAAACATCTTACTAAGAAAAACAGAAGAGTATGTTAGTGTCTTCTCATATTTCATTTTTTTCCAAAAGTAAAACATCCTTATTTGAAAATCTAGTTTGAAGATGATGAAAGAATGAGCCTCGGATATGTAAATGAACGTAAATTATTATGCTATTTCACCAGTTTAATTAGAATCATAAATCTATAGATTCTTTATTTAAAAAAAAAATGTAAGCTGATTTAGGGGGCATTTAGTCATTTATTAACTAACCTATTTATATAACTATATTTACCTTTAATGATTATTTTGATGGTAGTAAAATGAGTCCGTACATATAATTGCACGTGTCTCGCATTATAACCCCCCAAAATATTCCAAACGAATTTTTGGCTAACCGATAAATCACATGACCACCAGCTCACCCCATAACCCCATTAGGCCATTACATATTTATAAGCAGAGTAATTAAAACATGCGAGTAGGATAAAAAAATGTTATCGGAGAACAAAGTTTCAAATATATCCCAATTATTGGCCTTGCCAATGTTTTTTTGATAAAGCCTTTGCCTTGCCAATGTTTAAAAACCTTCAAGACAATGTGCAAAATCATTTCATGTCTGTACAAGTAAATAATGTATACCTATCTTCTAATTTAAAAAATATCATTCTCATTGGCATTTGTATAAAAACACATCTTCTTCCTCATGAAGAATAGAAGTAAGGAAGGATATTTGACAATTGACTCGAGACAACCAAGGGCATGAGAATATTTGACCAGGAATGCACGTGTGGGTGGACAAGAGCACACGTGTGCTTTGCTGTCATGGGTGGTGTGGCTCGCTTAGGAATGTGTGCGCCACGTCGGTTCCACATGGGAGGATATATCGCACGAGCCAACTTGGTCCTTTTCTGTTTTAATTACAAGCATTCCTTGAAGCTTCATTTTCTAAACATAGATTCCCAAAACCAATTCTTGTTTATTTATCATGATGATAGCTAGAATCTCAATAATGACGCAGGTACAACAGTAATTAATATTCATAACATTTGATGCGTGAATCGAACATTTATGTGAAACGACGTTAAATTCGAATACCTTCTTTTTACTGCTAGGCCACTTTCTTACTCAGTAGTCATTGTTTCGATGTCAATGGCCATTTTCTTTATAAATTTTAAAAAGCACTCGAATTATTACATGTACGAGAGACTATATAATATTCGAAACATAATAGGGAAGTTAGGTCCAAACATTTAAAGTTCCTCAATGATGACGTTAATCTACACTCGAATTATTACATGTACGAGAGACTATATAATATTCGAAACATAATAGGGAAGTTAGGTCCAAACATTTAAAGTTCCTCAATGATGACGTTAATCTACAGCCAATTCTGCAGAGAATAATTAAGCTACACATCAAACATGATTAACAAAATTGATAATTATTAGTCCTACCGAAAAAGCAGAACATATGCATACGCCTCAAATGATTACATCATTAGAAAATACGATCTGTATTATTCAAGTTTTTATATGTGGATCTTTGCTTTATAATATGTATTGGTTGAGACTGTATGGTTTAGTTACAGTACCCACATCAAATGTTTTTCATGGGTTTGAAATTTCTTTTTACATGTGATGTTTGGGAAAATGCTCGATTAATTCCTAAATTATTTGTAATCGCACGATTTATTTCCTTAATTGCAAGATTTATTCTTTTGTATCTGATTTTATAAAACTGGGTCTGAATTAATCAGCCGTTAACTTCATTAAACTAACTTTTCCCATATGTATGTTTTAATCAATTTTCATAGTGATTTCATAAGTGATTTTCAAAATTCCCAAATCACAAAACACTAAATGAAAAGATTTGTATGTGTTCAATTTTACATAATGTGATTCCGATTCTGAAAGATATGCGGGTTGTGGCCTAAATTTTTCTAGTAATTTAAGAAGAACAAATCTTTAACAATTAGTATATATTTATGGTGATATAAAAAATCCGAATTTCTATAAATTTTGACCTGGTTCTTTTTTTTAGAGAAGCATTTGCTCATCAACCATAAGAATTTTTTTTTCAAATTTCTGCGTATAATGATTACAAAGAAGCGAAAATGATTAAGGCGCGTGGGTGGAAATGATATGATGTCGGCGCGTGAGGAAACAAAAGAAAACGCACGGCCGGGTGAGTGTTTTCGGGTCCCTTATAGTCACGTGAATGGACCCACCTGCCCATGTTACCCTCTCGAGCCCAAACACTATAGAGTTATCAATTTCACACTCTGATTTTATTAAAACCCTAATACTCATCTTTCCGCAGTTTAAAACATACTTTTTACATTTTGTTTGTCAGCGACAAAAATTATACACTCTATAATTATTGTGATTGGTAAGGCATATAACTACATATGTTAAAAATATGCCAAATTAAGGTTTTTTTTATCTTCGATTACAAGTTAAAAATATGCCAAAACTCTACATTTTTTATTAGAAAGGAACAATGATGCTCATAAGTCATAACTTAACTATTTTCTTAAGAAAATGAACATAGAGAAACAGTCATCCATGAACATGATTATTGTGTTATTGTAATGATAGATCCCACATCCCACATGGATATGATTGGATCACAACAGTCGACTGGCCCACAAATTTTGAAGGAGTTCAGATTCATGTGGATTGTGTTTTGTACCAACCACTTGATTTAGTCCAATTTTTTCTCATTATTATATCAACAAATTATTGCCAGCTATTTCTTTGATATTTGGTCTCATCTGTATGTGATCTTGACTGATTGCGTATAGGGTATTTTATTTTTCAAAGAGTGCATGTTATATATTATTAAAGTCAGTATTTTCCTTTTTCAAGATATAAGTTGTGTGAAACCAAAAAGATATATACATAACAAATGATATTACTGAAAGAGAGAAAGAATGGTGGTTTACAACCTTTACATAAATTTGTGGTAATTTGTAATTTTTCAACCAAAATATATTTACAACTTAGAGTATTTTTCTACCAATAAGTATAATTGTTTAAATATGCACAAATAGTGATTGATTTGTGCCACATATATCCCCAATTCCTAATACAATTTATTTTTGTTTGTGTGTAGTGTAGCTCATAAATATGTGAGAACATGTGAGACATATAAAATGATAGAATTGAAACTAGACTTTGGATTCCATACATAGAATGATAGAACATCGTTTAGGTTTATGGAAACATATAGCATAAAGAGAGGACTTATATCATGTACTATAATAGTAAAAGAAGAAAAAAGAAAAAGATAAAGAGAAGACAAAGAGGGAACAAGTTGGGGATACAATAATGGAGGTTTTCGAAAAGGGCATTATAGATTATAATTGGCCAACCTGACAAGTGACAACCTCTCATTTCATTCAACTCCTATATTAATCATCTCTTCTCATCCCCATTTCACATCTCTCCATCTCTCTCTCCATTAAGAACCCTAGAAGGTTGCTCTTGTCTTCTTTAGAGCGTTTAGACCATTAATCTTCAAAGCTTAGAGTTATATATCATGATGATGGGAAAAGAGGATCTGGGTTTAAGTCTGAGCTTGGGATTTGCACAAAATCACCATCCTCTCCAGCTTAATCTAAAACCCACTTCTTCACCAATGTCCAATCTCCAGATGTTTCCATGGAATCAAACCTTTGTTTCTTCCTCAGGTACGCTTCTTTCTTCTACAAAGTCATCTTCCATAAACAAGATCTTGAAATGACCCATTTTCATATTTTGCAGATCATCAAAACCAACAGTTTCTTAGGAAAATCGACGTGAACAGCTCGCCAACAACGGTGGATCTGGAAGAGGAGACGGGAGTTTCGTCACCAAACAGCACGATCTCGAGCACCGTGAGCGGCAAGAGGAGGAGCGAAAGAGAAGGAACTTCCGGCGCCGGAGGAGATGACCTCGACATCACTTTGGATCGATCTTCCTCACGTGGAACCTCCGACGAAGAAGAAGAATACGGAGGAGAGGCTTGTCGGAAGAAGCTCAGGCTGTCCAAAGATCAGTCTGCCGTTCTTGAAGACACTTTCAAAGAGCACAATACTCTCAATCCCGTAAGTTGTTTGTTCATAAGTTGTAGTATTCAGGGTATTCTTGTGATTACTCTGATTTAACAAGGACTTTATCGTCAATCTGCAGAAACAGAAGCTGGCTTTGGCTAAGAAGCTAGGCTTAACCGCAAGACAAGTGGAAGTGTGGTTCCAAAACAGAAGAGCAAGGTGAGACAGAGAACTCATTCTTAAGATATTAATTGACCATTTTACCCCTCCGGAGTATGTTTATTTAATATTTACAAAGAAATGTCTTTTTTTATAGGACCAAACTGAAGCAAACTGAAGTGGATTGCGAGTATCTGAAGAGATGCGTGGAGAAACTGAGTGAAGAGAACCGGCGGCTAGAGAAAGAGGCGGCGGAGTTGAGGGCACTAAAGCTTTCACCACGGTTGTATGGTCAGATGAGTCCACCGACGACGCTTCTCATGTGTCCATCATGCGAACGAGTGGCGGGACCAACGAACCATAATCATCAACGGTCTGTGTCATTGAGCCCGTGGCTACAAATGGCACATGGTTCTTCAACTTTTGATGTGATGAATCCTAGTTATAGGTCTTAAGTCTTTAACTTGATTTCTTCGGTCTCTATGGGTTATTATTATGATGTGTGTGGGTGGGTCATTGTACTTTTTTAGATGATTGACTCTCGATATGTATCCTTAAAAGCCCTTAATCTGATTAATTTAGCTATTCATGTCTTCTTGATGACACACAAAATATATAAAAAATTACTTCTTTTTCTTTTTTTTTTTGTTTTTTATTCAGCTCTTCTTTAACCACACTAGCTACTACATGTCGACAAAATCATGGATGTATCTTACTTTTACGTTTGGCAGATCTTAATTTACGCCACCAGTTAAACCTTTAGGAAAACGGAACCGTTTTATTTTTCTGATGTTAAGCAATCTTTATTTCGTAGGATTCTCCATAATATCGTGAACGAATAATGCATTTAAATGGTGATTTGTCTTTCATATACAGAAAAAGTTGAACCATCAGGTTAGATTTTATTTCTTTCTGGCACAAACCTTAAAGAGCCCAAGTAATGGTGATTAAATACCAACAGTTTCCTCATGATCTGAGTTTTAACTGAATTTTCATGTTTAAAATATACTCCATGTTCTTAATTTAGTAGTGTTTAATGTTTTTACCTACATACTAGTGTTTTTTCCCCTAAAATTAAAACATGTTTTTATCATCAATCTCAATTCTCAAACCAATCAATGGAAAAACAGTTTGCATAATTTAATGAGTCAAAACTACAAAAATACAATTAATTTTTGCATTGATTTGTGAGAATGTCACTTATTTGTGAAGAAGAAAAAAAATCTAAAACACTACTTATAGAGAACAGAGAGAATATAAAAGTCTCTTGATACAAGATGGAAACTATTTGGATAATGACGACGAAGCATGTACTTTAATTTATCACTATATAAACTTATTGCAAAGATATAGGACCTTGCAATGCATTTCTGTTGAGTCTGCATCAAGAAGATCACGTGCCTTACCTAGGCTAGTTCTTGAGGTAAGGCACGACGTGTTTCACAACGTCATCTCGCGCCATCTGGAGGTGCTTTCCAGGGACACTGACAAACTTCACTTTTCCGGCAGCATCCAATGTTTTCAGACCAATCCAGTCCTCAGTATATAGCTTTGTCTGGATAAAAATGCATAGTTTAGAAGACAAGGTAGTGGTTGATTGAATGATTGAAGAACGGTTAAGGTTTTCTTTCACCTGTTGAGGAGGCAAAAGAGGTGTTGAAGCTCCCTCCGGGTAATATCCAAACCAAGAACTTTCTTTGGGAACCACAATTGTATCACCTTGAAACTGTTTTAAGAAATGTACAAGACAAGAACCAATGAGCTATATCCATCAATGATGTTCGGTGAAATCTCAAAAGGATCATTGGTTTAGGCGCACCATGACTAGGACCAAGTTGTGTAAACTGGTGAAACGTGCTTTAAAAATGGAGTTCCTCTGGTTAGGTCTCTCGTTGTTGAGCTTCGGCAGATACTTGGAATGTGCTAAATACTCTGACATATTCTAATAAACAAACACATTTTTTCGGATTCTAATACGAAAATGATAATAAGGATTGAAAAGAAAGAAAAAGGTTTTGAGTTTACGGTAGGGATTTTGACATAACCACTTGGAGCAATATTATCCTACAGAGTCATTAGAGGTGTTGTTAATTAATCTTGGTTTAATGTTTTGAATTCTGATTAAAGAAGAAGAAGAAGAAAGAGATAATGTTTTACTTGAGCGTAGTCGGTGTAGACCATTGCTCTCAGCTCTTGGCAATAATCTGGAGACTTTAAAACAGAGAAAGCTCATTGTTGTTGTTGTTGTTGTTGTTATTGTGGCTAAGACACAAAGATAAAGAGAAAGAGAAGAGAGCTCACAGGTCTCACAGCACAGTCGGGGATGTCGGATATGCCAGCGTGAGGACCTCCTAAGGAGATATAGTTGACGACAGGAGGAGCATTGTCGCAGAACTCGATCAAGCCACTAGCGACTAAACTTCCTTGAGACTGTGCAACAATGTTGTAACCTTGACTCAGCTCTTTCATCTTTTTCACTTTCTCACACGCTATCCTCGCTTGTTGCGTTAGCGGCATGGACGCGGAATCTTCTTCTCCGTTTCCTATTTCTCTACAAGATCATGACACATAACTAATAGAGATAGAGAGCGATAAAGACTTTTCCAAGATTATGATGATGAAACAAGAAAGAGGAATTAGGTTGAGGGATTACAAGCAAGAGCCAGAGGAGCCTGAGAGGTTTCTAAGGAGCTGTGTGAAGCTCCTCACTCCACCATTAGAGCATTGATCTTGGAACCCTGTTTCAATCAAATCCGTTGATTCATTTGATTTTGAGAACATAAAAGAGAAGCAAGAAGAAGGATCTTTAGTTACCGTGAAAGAGGATGAATGGGACAGAGATTGATACCGGAATGAAGAAGAAGAAGAGTGACAAGGTCACAAGCAGAGCAGATCGGTAGAAACTCGTCTCCATGGAAGAACTAACTCACAGAAATACTTTACCTTTAATTTTCGTGGAAGCTGAAGAACCAAGAAGTGGTAACTATTTTTTCTCTAAAAATATAACTGTGCTTTAATCATAAATGAAACTAAGAAAATTTTATTAGTTGGTGGTTGGTGTGTATGGCAGGATCTTTTAAACCCTTCAATGGGATGAAATGAAACGCTATCGGTGGTTGTTATTAAAAGCTTGTTTTCTTATCGACTTGGAAATTTCATCGTAGCTTCTTTTTTTTTTTTTTTTGGTTTTATCGAAGTTCACTTTCAGCTACAATTTGTTGTTACTCAAAGAACATGATAATGTCAAAAACTTAGAAAAATCTACACATTCTTACAAAATATATATGACAAATAAGGATTAACTAGGGAAGCCCCATTGACCCAATGGTTTGGTCAATGCTTCTAATAATTGAGTGATAAAATAAAATAAGGATTAAGTGTTATGATCCTGGTTTTCATTTACTACAAAGAGACTGTGCCGCTCGATACACTCCAATTGGTCAAAGCGGACGCATGTACTTAGATTGTTTCACAACTAGTGGAGGAATAGGAGAAGACATGTTTGGACATTTAGGTTTATTAGATTAGGAAACTATATATTCCTTCCCACAATTTAGGCAATCGTATATTAGCCTCCAACGGCTCTATTGCCCTCTGCTTTGTATATAATCCTTGATAGTGAATACACAACTCACCGATTCAGTTTACATAATCCAATATGGTATCAGAGCGACTTTTCTGAAAACCTAAATCTCTCTTCTCATCCGCCTCTCACCTAAATCTCTCTTCTTCTTTTCTCTCTCAAACTCCCGTCTCTTGTCTGAAAACCTAAATCCCTCTTCTCATCCGCCTCTTATCTAAATCTCTCTTCTTCTTTTCTCTCTCAAACTCCCGTCTCTTGTTTTTTTCTCCTCTCTGCTAGCGTTCTCTTCGTCACTCTCTTTCCCTTTCTCATCTGATTCATTTATTTCTCCTCCTCTCTCCAAACTACAATGTCTGCCTCTGTTACCGATCGATCTCTGAACCTCATTCCAATTAAGGCTCATATTCCGATCGTTCTTGATATGGATCAAATGAACTACGACCTTTGGCGTGAGCTCTTCGAGACCCATTGCCATAGCTTCTCAGTCTTAGGCCATATTGATGGCACATCTCTTCCAACAGGTCCAACGGACAACGTTTGGCAGCAAACGGATGGTACCATCAAGATGTGGATATACGGGTCGATCTCGGAATCCATTCTCAAATCTATCGTCCAAACAAAGTGTACTTCTCGTGATTTATGGACCACTATCGAGAATCTCTTCCGCGACAATAAAGAGACCCGTGCAATCCAACTTGAAAACGAACTTCGTTCGTTAACTATTGGTGATCTATCAGTTCACGAATACTGCCAAAAGCTGAAGACGCTCTCAGATCTTCTCGCCAATGTCAACTCTCCAATTACGGAACGTAGCCTCGTGATGCACCTGCTCAATGGCCTCAACTCCAAGTTTGATAACATCATCAACGTTATCAACATCGCTCCCGTTATCAACATCGCTCCCCTGCTTGTTCATTCAACGACGCTCGCTCGATGCTCAAGGATGAAGAATCCCGCCTCAAAACCAACCGTCGACCAGAACCGTCACACCATGACAACGCCTCCAATCCGCAAGTCCTCATTGCCGCATCTCCACATCAGTACGACCAGAGGTCATCGCCACAAACATACCAATTCCACAATTCTCGTGGCGGAGGCCGTGGTAATCGCAGCAATCGCGGCGGTGGCCGTGGAAACAGAGGTTGAGGCAACCCTAACTGGAACAACGGACATTGGAACTCTGCTTCTCCACCACCGTGGGCGTGGCCGACTTATCCTCCATGGGCCAACACACATCAATGGCCCAATAACCAACATTGGCCCAATAACCATCATTGGCCCAACGTTCAGCAATGGCCCACTCCATCGCACGGACACACTCAGCCGTGGTCTCATCCAGGAAATCAATCCCGAGTTCATCAAACGACGCCGACGAATTCAAATTCCGCTTCTGGCATCCTTGGTCATGCTCCATCAAATTCAAACTCCTTGGTCATGCTCCATCAAATTCAAACTCCGCATACATCACCACTCACAACTCTCAGGTTGCGCCTCCTCCCCAAAGTCCATCTTCCGATCTTATACCTACGGCTCTTGCCAATGCCTTCAACACAATGACGCTTTCTGATCCATCCACCGCTGACTGGTATATGGACACTGGAGCAACAGCTCATCTCACATCTCAATCCGGTACTCTCAACTCTATCTCTACTCACTCTTCTCTTCCTCTTATCACTGTTGGTAATGGTTCAATTATTCCTGCTATTGCTTCTGGTCACTCATCGATTGCTTCTACATCCCGTCCTCTTTCTCTGAATAATGTGCTTCTTTGCCCAAAAATACTAAAAAATCTCATTTCTGTACGACAATTTACTATTGATAATCTATGTTCTGTTGAATTTGACCCATTTGGTTTTGCTGTAAAGGATCTCCGTACCAAAACTCCTCTCATCCGATGTGATAGCACCGGACCCCTTTATGCTGTGACACCGCATTCACCATCGCACACTGCACTTCTCACCTCACTTCCTGTGTCACTTTGGCACAACCGCTTGGGTCATCCCGGCGAAGCTGTTCTTCGTTTTTTAGCATCTTCTGGTTTTTTAAAGTATTCTAAAGCCGATGTGTCTTCCCTGTGCCATGCTTGTCAATTAGGGAAGCACATTCGACAACCATTTTTTTCTTCAAATTCTATTGTTTCTGAACCTTTTGAACTTATCCACTCAGATGTTTGGACATCTCCAGTTTCAAGTATTAGTGGAATCAAATATTATGTCATTTTTCTTGATCAATTCTCACATTTTGTTTGGATTTATCCTCTCCGCCAAAAGAGTGAAGTTTTTAGCAAGTTTTTACATTTTTCCAACTTTGTCAAAACACAATTTCAAAAACAAATTAAAGTTTTCCAAAGTGACAATGGAGGTGAATTTAACAATCGTGCAATGCCTGATTTTTTTTCTGACAATGGAATACAGGCCAGGTTTTCATGCCCGCACACATCATAACAAAACGGTCGGGCTGAACGGACATTGCGGACAATCAACAACCTGGTTCGGGCTCTTCTGATTCAGGCCAAACTATTAAACACATATTGGGTTGAAGCTTTAAACATGGCGGCTCACTTACTCAACATCCTCCCCTCGAGCACCATCAACAATGACATTCCTTTCACCCGTCTGTTCAACAAACAAGCGTCTTACAAGCATCTACGAGTCTTTGGATGTCTTTGCTACCCGAATCTTCTACCAACGCTCCGAACAAACTCTCACCACGGTCAACTCGATGCATCTTTCTTGGCTACCCCACCAATCACAAAGGATATAGATGTCTAGATCTCTCTACACGCCGCATCATCATCTCCCGTCATGTTGTCTTCGACGAAACTTCGTTCCCTTTTACACCTACGGCATCACCATCTTCTCACCCTATGGCAGCACCATACTCTTCTCCGCAACCTCTTCTTATAACCACCGCTCCGACACTTCTCCCCATGACAACCACACCACCGGCTTCACCAGCGAGTTCTGTTTCTCCGCAACAATCTCCATCGCTGCCTAGCTCTAACACTCTTCCGAGTGATGTCTCTCCGACATCATCACCTCCAGCCTCTTCCCCGCCTTCTCCAATACTTTCCTCTACTGCTCTGTCACAGTCCATTTCTTCATCACACGATACAGGTGCCACTTCCTCCTCAACTTCTGTCTCACATACTTCTTCTGCTTCACCAATGCCACCTCCGAGTCCACCTCCGAATCCACCTCCTTCTAATACTGTCACAGAGCCAGCTCCCCCACCTCCGACCAGAATGACTACGAGAAGCCAAAGCGGTATCATCAAACTAATAAAATTATTTCATTACATACTGCTCTTGTTTCACCCCTTCCTCGCTCTCATATTGATGCAGCACGTGACCCTAACTGGAATCCTGCAATGAATGACGAATATGGTACTCTTAAAATGCGGGACACGTGGAAATTAGTTCCACGACCTCCTAATACTAACATTATTCGTTCCAATGTGGCTGTTTACACATAAATTTAAAGCAGATGGGACGCTCTCTCGGTACAAAGCTCGACTAGTCGCTAATGGCAAATCTCAACAAGTCGGTGTCGACTGTGACGAAACTTTCAGCCCCGTTGTTAAACCAACCACGATTCGCACCGTCTTGCACCGAGCAATATCTCGAGACTGGCCCATACATCAGCTTGACGTCAAAAACGCTTTCCTCTATGGTAACCTTGAAGAAACGGTTTATATGCATCAACCACCAGGATTCACAGACCCGACAAAGCCTGATCACGTGTGTCTTCTGAAAAAATCTTTCTATGGCCTTAAACAAGCCCCTCGTGCTTGGTATCAACGCTTCTCTCAATCTGCGTCTAAGATCGGATTCAAAAACAGCAAGAGTGATGCCTCACTCTTTATTCTTCGTCAAGGGTCTGACATTGCTTACCTTCTGCTATATGTCGATGACATTGTGCTCACCGCTTCCTCCAATGCACTTCTCAGGTCAATTCTAACCTTTCTCAAAAATGAATTTCAAATGACAGACCTTGGATCACTCCATTTTTTTCTTGGAATCTCTGTTCTCAGAAACAAAAATGGGATGACTTTGAGCCAACACAACTACGCAGCAGACATACTTCATCGAGCTAACATGTCCAATTGCAAACCATGCTCCACCCCTGTCGATACTTCCGCAAAGCTCCATGCAGACGCATGACCACCAATCTCTGATCCCACTCTCTACCGAAACTTGGCTGGCGCTCTTCAATACTTGACATTTACGCGTCCCGACATCGCCTACGCAGTCCAGCATATATCTCTCTACATGCACGACCCGCGAGAGCCACACTTCAACGCTCTAAAACGCATTCTCCGTTACATTAGAGGGAAAATTGATCATGGACTCCATCTCTATCGCTCTACAAACACCACACTCACGGCATATACCGACGCAGACTGGGCAGGTTGCCCAAACACACGCCGCTCCACCTCCGGTTTTTGTGTTTACCTTGGTGACAATCTCATCTCTTGGTCCTCCAAACGACAACCAACAGTCTCTCGCTCTAGTGCAGAAGCTGAATACCGTGGAGTCGCCAACGCAGTCGCTGAAACAATATGGATTCGAAATCTCCTTCTAGAACTTCAATGTCCCATCACCACTGCAACCCTCGTTTATTGCGACAACGTAAGTGCTGTTTACCTCTCTACAAACCCGATACAACATCAACGGACCAAACATGTTGAGCTGGATATCTTGTTTGTTCGGGAACGTGTCGCACTTGGTCAAGTTCGAGTTCTTCATGTGCCATCATCACACCAATATGCAGATATCTTCACCAAAGGCCTCCCAACTGAATTGTTCAATGACTTCAAATCCAGTCTTCACGTCACACGCACATGACGTTTTGACTGCGGGAGGGTATTATATTAGGAAACTATATATTCCTTCCCACAATTTAGGCAATCGTATATTAGCCTCCAACGGCTCTATTGCCCTCTGCTTTGTATATAATCCTTGATAGTGAATACACAAGACTCACCGATTCATTTTACATAATCCAATAAGGTTCTTATCACCGAGAAGGATATGCGGGTTGCTTTCCAATGTGTCAAGTTTATGCATCTTGAGCAACAAAATTTATTTAGTGGTGGTTTTGTAACGGACAAGACACTTTTAAGACTCTTTGGCACGGGACAATGCATTGTTCCCTTTACTTGTCGAGTTCCATACCAAACTATTTTTTTTTTTTGATAATTCAGAGTAAATCCCAGGCCTATGGAGAGGTCCAGACTAATCTCTGGGGAGGTGCAGCCCACGGATAGACACTCTTTCTGGGTATTCAAATGGGTTAAAAGAAAGGCCCATACTATATGGCCAAATAGGATAAATCTAGTTTGAGGGGGATCGATCCCTAACCTTAACCAATATGGCAACTCCTCCGTCAAGTGATCCATACCAAACTATCCTTTCATGATTATTCTTTCATGAGCTTTGAATTAGATTGCTTACAGCTTATTAAGTTGATCGAAGAAGATGAAGACCGGCCTTCCTTGGCAATTGAATTAGAATTACATCTTACACTTTCTACTTTTAGCTCTTTCTCTTTTTAGTCGGAATGTTGGCACATTTTAATCGGAGCTGATTCAGATATTTATTCTAGATCTTGATTTACTCGACTCATCTCTCCTTCATTTCGATCACAAAGTAAGTGAAATTCACGAAAGCCCTGAAGCTATTAGGTAATGAAGAACTTGTACTTGGTCTCTCTAGCATCTAAACAAAGCTTAAAGCAAAAGGCATTTATCCCACAGTTTCCACATCTTATAGAAACATAATCGAGTTTTTATTGAATCTTTCAAGGCCCTTTCATGTTTAAAATATAGGTAAAAGCACGATTAAAAATAGTAGTCTTTGGCGTCATGTAAGATGGAAATTATTGGATAAAATTTGAGTATTCTTGATATATGATGAAGTTTTCTTGTTTTCGTTTATCACTAAACTTCTTCAATGTTGCATAGATGCAAACTGTATACAGTTTTTCGGAAAGAGTTTAATAATGAGACTTTTTTTATTCCATTCCATTTATGTTGAGGACTTTTTTTATTCCATTCCATTCCATCAAGAAGGACGTGCCTTACCTAGGCTGGTTCTTGAGGTAAGGCACGACGTATTTCACAACGTCAGCTTGCGCCATTTGGAGGTGCTTTCCAGGGACACTGACAAACTTCACTTTTCCAGCAGCATCCAATGTTTTTAGACCAATCCAGTCCTCAGTATAGAGCTTTGTCTGGATAAGAATATGCATAGTTTAGAGTTGGTTAAATGATTACGAGGAAAAGAAAACGAAGCTAAGGATGTTTAAGGTTTTTCACCTGTTGAGGACGCAAGAGAGGTGTTGACGCTCCCTCCGGGTAATATCCAAACCAACAGCTTTCTTTAGGAATCACTACTGTATCACCTTGAAACTGTTTATGAAATGTAAAAAACAAAAAAAACAATGAGCTTATTAAACAATTTGGTTCCAAGATTTAAGTGAAATCTCAAAGGGTCATTGTTTTAGGCACCATGACTAGAACCAAGTTGCGCAAACTGGTGAAACGTGCTTTAAAAATGGAGCTCCTCTGGTTAGGCCTCTCGTTGTTGAGCTTTGGCAGATATTTGGAATGTGCTAAATACTCTGACATTTTCTGAGAAAGCAGACAACAACGCTTTTCTTTGGATTCTAGTATTTAAAGAATAGGAAAATGATAATAAGGATTAGGAAGAAAAAGGTTTTGAGTTTACGGTAGGTATTTTGATATAACCACTTGGAGCAATATGATCCTACAGAGTCATTAGAGGTGTTGTTAATTAATCTTGGTTTAATATTTGTATTCTGATTAGAGAAAAAGAAGAAAGAGAGAATGTATTACTTGAACATAGTCGGTGTAGACCTCTGTTCTTAGCAGCTGGCAATAAGCTGGAGGCTGTAAAACAGAGAAAGCCCATTGTTGTTGTTGTTGATGTTATTGTGTGGTTCAGACACAAAGATAAAGAGAGAGAGAGAGAGTAGAGAACTCACAGATTTCCCTCCACAGTTGGGGATGTCGGATATGCCAGCATGAGGACCTCCTAGAGAGACATAGTTGAGGACAGGAGGAGCATTGTCGCAGAACTCAATCAAGCCTCTAGCGACTAAGTTACCTTGAGACTGTGCAACAATGTTGTAACCTTTACTTAGCTCTTTCATCTGTTTCACTTTCTCACACGCTATACTCGCTTGTTGTGTAAGCGGCATGGACACAGAATCTTGTTCTCCATTTCCTATTTCTCTACAAGATCATTCAAGAGATAAAGATTTTTGCAAGATTATGATGTTGACACAAGAAAGAGAAATTAAGTTGAGTAATTACAAGCAAGAGCCAGGTGAGCCTGAGAGGTTGCTGAGGAGCTGTGTGAAGCTGCTCACTCCACCATTGGAGCATTGATCTTGAACCCTTGTTTCAGTCAAATTCATTATTGCATTTGGATCATTATTTTTTAGAACATAAAAAACAAGAACGACGAAGGATCTTTAGTTACCGTGAAAGAGAATGAATGGAACAGAGATTGATACCGGAATGAAGAAGAAGAAGAGTGACAAGGTTACAAGATGAGCAGATCGCTGGACACTCTTCTCCATTGAACAGCTCGGAGAAAAAATTGGAGGAAACTGAAGTGTACGTTTGATACAGACGAAAGAAAATCTATTACTTAGTTGGTTGGTGTATGGCTTTAGGTATAATAGTATAAAATACTCTAAACTGAAGAAGCAAGAAGATCTTTAAATTCTTCAGTGGGATGAAATGAAATCTCAAGATATAGTATGAATTACTCGAAATTGATTTTCACAATATTTGATATCCAACGTATATTAGTATGAGAATTTATGGAAAACTTTTTAAAATCTTTCAAAATTTTAGGATTTTAAAATTTCTATTTGTCTTGGTCTCTATTCTCTAGGAAGGGATAGCATCTAATCATATTAAACATTATTTATTTGGATAAAAGTGAACTAAACAATCCTCTAATATATTAAAGACCATACAGATTTGCTGACATGGCACGCTCACAAATTTTTGGGGTTATTTTTGATTTATTTAATTAAACATTATATTAAAGTCGGAAAAGGACGCGGACCCTACCGGGTCGGATATTGTTTTTTATCGAAACTTGATTTGATCCAGTAACGTATTGGGCTTTATCAAAACTCTTTAACACATGGGGTTTTTATACAATTCGATATTGATCTTTTATACTTTCCTTGCTAGCGCGTTGCCTTATTCGGAATAATTTTATGACATTTGATTTCATAAAATATCCCAAGACATACTGATAATCGTATCTTCATTACCATATCTCTCAGACTTTCCAATTTCCATGCAAAAACTCTAAAGTATGGCAAAAAATCCAATCATAAATTACGGCTTATAATTTTTTGACCATCCAATCATAACTGAATTAAAATATTTCCTTATTAGTCATCAGAATATTCAGATAATTCTGTGACCATCCAATCATAGATGTGATTAACAGTTTGTGGTTATCTCAGAATTGGTAAGAATAATATTTAGTCTTTAATTGCTCATAACTATCGATTTTGTTTTTGATAATCCTAAAGAAACGTCTACAATACACTTTATTCATCTATATAAACAAATCTCTTCTGACTGTGATGAACACAAAATTTCAATGTTTACCTTTTTATTATGTTTCGTTTTTATGTGTTCATTTTCCTTTATAAACATCTAATTCTTTATCATTTTTTTGATGCTACAGGTTCTTTCGTGAATCCCAAACCCATCTAGCTTTTCTTCCTTCCCGTCTTCTAATTCCAAATTATATTGATTAGTGATTACCAATGTTTGTTGTTGTGGTTTTATGTGTGATAAATGTGCTCGGTCGAATGTTATTGTGCTTTCTCTTGACGTGGATTGTGACGAACTTTGATGTACGTCCTAATGGTGGTCCTTTCAGTACTTCAGGGCACATTTACAAGATGGTATTTGACTCTGGCATTAAACCAGGGAATTTTACTGAAATTCATGAAGGGAGGCTCAATCCTGATTTGTTTACTCGGTAAGTTATCAATATTACATCTATATTTGTAGTTCGTTGAAGGACGTGATGACATGATTGAGAGATGTTATCACTTATTGTTACAGAAACGAAGGCAAAAGAGTTAATCTTTCTGATCACGAAGACAGTGATGAGAAGCTTATTGGAGATTTCGAATACCACCAGGAATTAGCTAAAGAAAAAAAGAACACTCATCCCTGTATTCTAATATTCTATTAGGTATTACAAATTGTAATCTACTATTGTTTCTGTTAACGAATGTTGTCTAATACTCTGGTGTTGTGTGTGTGTTTACCTAATTAAGGATGTGGCCAATACATGGAATTGAGATGTTCTCTTTTGGAACATTTAAGATCTGTTCCATCCTTCATGTAAAAAAAAAATCTGATCTGCATATTTTGAATGTTATTTTTGAAATTTGTTTGGAACTCTTAGACGAACGTAAGACGGGTGTTTTTGATGTGTCAATAATTTTGGTTAGTGCTGCAAAATCCTTTGATGCTCCGATAAAGGTTAGTAGAAATGTGTCAAGAAGTATTTATCAAAAACAATGTGTCAAGAAGTACATAAACAGAATTAATTTGATTTGTCTTAATCATTTTTTCAGTTTGGGCTTGGTGTCATTCTTGGTATGCCCTTAAGACCAATGTCTAATATAAACTCAATATAATGCTTTTCGATATTATATGAACATTAGACATTACTTTTTTTGCTTTCCTTTAGTTATCTATAAACTCTTTTGATGATTCTAAAACATAGGGAATCCTTAGCGTGGAGTATTCAATCCCTGAATACGTAACCGT